ATTATGTACTTTTTGTGCGTGATCCTTTCCAGATTTTAATAACCAAGTAAGTTTTTACTTTTCCTCGATAAAGATAATCCAAGCTTTATTTAGGGAGCATCCATAAATAACGTTATACACGATTAGGGGAGGGGGGGGGGTGGTTGAAAAATGCAACTGATTGCAACAAGGAGGGAGGTGGGTGATTTTGAAATGTAACGTTGCAAAATGTTTCTTAATATTATTATAAATTATTATTGTTGTGTAAATCATTATCAGAGTTAATTTTAATAAATAATAATAATATGAGAAATAAGAAAAATTACTTCATTAATCCAGAAAAATAATATAAATCTTATTTTTGGGGGTATAAGTCATTTTTGCAACGTTCTATTTAGGGGAGCGTTCATAAACTACGTAGCATGCTAGGGGGGGGGGGGGGGTCGTCGGAAAAAGTCTACGCTAGTCTACGTGGGGGGAGGGGGGAGATCGACTCTTACTACGTAGTTAATACATATAAGCTAAAATTAATTTTGCAAACTTACTACCCGTCGCCATTGTTAAATGTTACTATATGCCAAGAATAAAATATTTTATTCAGAATATTTGACATTGTTTTTAATTTAATTTTTAATTGTTTTTAATGCGAATATAGTTAAATATGCAGTTTGAAAAAAACTACGTAACACACGGGGGGAGGGGGGGGGGGGTTCAGCAAAAGTCTACGTAAGTCTACGCAGGGGGAGGGAGGGGTCAAAAAATGACAAAAATAGGTCTACGTAGTTTATGAACGCTCCCTTAGGGGGGGGGGGGGTGTTGGTAATTTGCAACCAAATGCAACGAGGGGGGGGGGTAAAAAAACCCGAAAATCAGTGTAACGTTATTTATGGATGATCCCTTATTCATTTATCTAAGATTGTTATAAATTTATTAATCAAATTTCCCACTAGATAAGCGATATTCAAAAGTTAAATTAATTGTAAAAGAAGTTAAGATTTTAGATTTAATTTGCAACATTTGCAATAAATACTATTTTAAAAATATCCGAGTACTTTGCGCTGAGTAGCAAAAAGCATTAGGCGTTATTCATAATTCCACACCATTTGGTTGTTTGCATTAATTATTTTATTTGTTTTAAAATTTTTACTTATTTAACTTTATTTTTTGTGAACGCGTTTTAATTTACCTTTTTGTTAATATACATTTAATGCATTCACCATAACACTCAATGCGCATTTTCTTGAATTGCGCATTACGAGAGCCACACTCCCACAGCGTTATTCCATACCTTCCAATACTTTTTTTTACAGGATCTGTTGTTAAAATCTAAGATGGGGTGGCTGATTTTTTGTCCATTTTAATGATATAATTTAAAAATAATAAAAAATTGTTGAATTTCTTCGCTCACATGTTTCATGAAAAATACAATTCAATTACTAAATACAAGCCACATAATATATAATTTCTTGAAATATTTTTAAAATCTTGATTAGCTTTATAATAACTATTAAACTAACTCATAACTGATATTAATTTTTTCTAATAGACATAAATTCTTGGTTATTTTGCAGTCACATCTTTATAAAATTTCAAGAGTATTTTTTTAAATATTTATAAACTTTTTTAAATATTTATATATTTATTATTTATTTATCTCATTTTAATTTTCTAATCATTTTATAGAGTAGTTGCACCATAAGAACATTTAAGGGGGTCCAGTGTTGGAAAATTAAAATATGTGACAATCGGCGCCATCATTGGCTTAGCAATTGTTACATAATACAAGAAGAGAACAAAAAAATTCTTTTTGAGTATTTTTAGTTCATTTTCGCAACTTTAGATGGCATATTTCACAAGGCCTTTTATTCGGGAAGACATAGTTTCCGGGCAACCTATTTTACATAAATTAAAAATTCCAACGGGATTCTCTCTTCATATAAGACTTTTTTCTAGACAACAAACCTCAAAAACAATTTTTTTTAAATGTTTTACAATGTTTCATAGACATTTTTCTTAAAAAAAATCGAAAAAAATGCTGTGTTTTTGGGTCAACTTACCCCCGTAGAAAATAGCAGGAGGTGAAAATAATGTAAATTTTTAGAGATTTGTGCTTTTTTTTTGAGAGATTTTGTTGCTTTTTAGATAAAGAATCGAATGGTTTTTGGTTTTTTAAAATCAGTTCAGTAGATAAAAGAAAAATCGATTCTTTTGAAATCCTTGACCAGAAAGTCCCCTGAAACTTATTTGTTGAAATAATTAAAAGTTAAAAAGAATTTTATTAGCAAATGTGACGACGAGCTCCGAAGAAAGGTTATGTTTGTCTTTTACCTTAATTAAAGGACTCTGTTTAATTGTAATAAACTAAGATCAGTATTTATTCATTATTTTAGAAGTATTACATTAATACTAATTTGTCAGTATATTATTTATACAACATTATCGTGAAAACATATCAAAACCGTTCCATTCAGTTGCATTGTTTTCGTTATATTTTTAAATAAATTTTTTTAGCATTATTATCTGGCAAAAATTTTCAGACCTTATTTTTTAGGCAACCCGAAGTTTTATTGTTAAACGATTCAGCCAGTCAAAAATAAAAATAAACTTTACGAAACGTATCAACGAGGAAATAATTTAACAATAATTATTGACAATAGTTTTCAAATTATCATTAAAATGCACCATAATAACGATCAAACACCCTATTTCAAAAGCAAAATGAATAGTTCTATTATATTTAAAATAAATTTCATCCATAAAATTTATGAGCTTAGAAATCATGCAGTGGGATCTTGAACTATAATAAATGATGTCATGGGACTGTGGCCTTATATAATTATTACCATCTGAATGTTAATTTCCGTTTTCATGTTTCTTGTAAAATTACTTAATTGTAACAGCTCGTTATTTGCTGTTACTCTTCAATTATATAAGTTTTGATAGGAGAAATGTCAAAAGAATTTATTCAATTATTAAAGGAATTATTGGATATTTGTGTAAAATGAGGAAAGAGCCCAGCTGAGTTCAGTGTGAACAATGACGCTATACGCTTATTGGCTCTTTTTACAACTTTTTTTTCTTTTTTTCAAAATTAAAAATTAGTCCCCTAATATGCGACACCAAGTGCGATTCCACAATCAATTAATTAATTGTAAATTCGCTATTTGGTATTTTTTTAATGTTTAAGATCAAATGTTTGAATATTCGATTTTCTATGTATTTGAAAATTATTTAAAGTTTTTTTTTGCCTGCGTTGAAAAATTATATATTTGATATAAATACTGGAAAAATGCTTGTAAAAATGTATCGATATACGATATTGTGAATAATTATAATTATTAAACTAATTGTCTTTTTAAGTCAAATTGGTTGATAATATTCTCATTAATAAAATTTAATCTAAAAAATGTCTTATTATAAACAAGACAATTAGAATGATTGATCTATTAATATAACTAAGGTTTGAAAAATGTGTAAATGTATGTAAATATTTTGAATTAAGATCAAGACTGCAAAAATAGCGTTTAAGTTTCAAACAAATTTTTATATTTTCTTTTTTCCTGAGGAATTTTTTCTACTTTATCAAAATTTTCTTTTCCTTATCAAAAATATTTTTACTAGATACATAGAAGCATTAACAAATTTTGTTTTTTGTACTTTTATTTCATACTTTTTTCTATATTATTATATCTTATTTATTTTTTTTACTTGATTAGATTTATTGAATTTAATTATTTTGTTATAATTGTAAAATATTCTTGAAATTATTAGTTTTATTTTTGTTAAGAAAAAGAAAATTAATAATTATTATGGATCTTAATAGACAAATTAGAAATAATGATTAAACGTTTTTGTGTTCAATTCTTTCCTATTATCTCGAAATAACTTAATTATTGATAATGGGAAAGAATTTCCTGTTTGTTGATAGTATTTATAAAGAATGCATTATACATATAGTATGTATATGTATATGAGTATTGAAAGCAATGAGAAATGTCATACACCTCAACGGAATAATACATATATACACAATTATTAAATGTTACTGTGTATAATGATTATGTAAATAACAATTGTCCATGAATAACTGTAAATAAAAATATTATTTGTTTATACATTTATATTTTAGAAAGACTGCTAGATAAAAAAAAATGATTGTGAGAAAAATACATGAGATGAAAGATATCTATATATATACATATTTATTGGTCTATTTTATTTCCTCTCCACGCTGCAAAATTTATCTAAGAATTGAAAACTTTTATTATAGACAATAAAGCCTAAATTATTAATTTGCGAACTAATAAAAGCAATTTATAACAAATATTTCAAAATTTCAATAAAAAAATAAAGATTGTTTTGATAAGGGCTAATAAATTAAAAATAATGTGGATTGTATTTTAGCTTGAATAAAGAATTTGACGTTTTATTTTTTAATCCATACATTATGATTATTATTATAGTAAAATAATGAACAAATGGAATTGAAGGTTATGAAGCAACCCTTAAGGGTTGCTTCACAATTCCATACGAAACTCAAGGTGTATTCCGTGCGGCGTGCATGATCTTTTCAGCCGAAAAAGGCTTTCGCACAATACCTTTATTTTCATTGGAGTAAGAGAGACAGACTGTGTATCTGACTCTCTTACTCCAATGCAAATTTTCCTTTCTGGACAATTCTTACAGAAGGTGTAAACGCTCCTTTATATAAATGCATTAAGGTTGAGTCCACAATATGCACTTTTCTTAAATCGATGCATACCCTCTACATCGATTTCCATTGTTCGAACAATAGAAATCGATGTAGATGGTATGCATCGCTTTAAGAAAAGTGCCTATTGTGGACTCAACCTTAGGATCATATTGGAGAAAGGCCATAATAAGGATAGAAGTATGTGTATTTTCTCTCTCTCTCTCATTGCTCAACGCAAAATGCAGCGTTCGAACGGAAATATGTAAACACTGCCTTAATTAGTATAATTTACAGTATTTTACGTAAAGAACCTAAAGTGACGCGTCGCTTCCCATCTCTGCATTGTTACAAAGAAATCAAAATCAAGAAGAGTCTTCTTGTAAGAAATAGACGAAATAGATATTTTTACGAGTGTTATTAAAACAAAAATAATTATGGATAATTCATTTTTTATGCGTGCTATGGATTTTTGTAAGTCTCAGCATGTAAATATGACAGACATACCTGAGGAAAAATTATTTTTCTTTCCAAATATGTGCTACATTTGTCGGTGTTTCGGTGAAAATGTCAACTTAAAAAGATGCAGCGCTTGCAATATGATTTCATACTGCAGTAAAGAACACCAGAAACAAGATTGGCCGAATCATAAGGAATTTTGTAAAGTATTATGCCAAATGAAGAAGGCTTATAAAGTTGATAATCTATTTCAGTCATTGAAACCGAACACCGAGGAAGAAAGAATGGCTGTTTTTTCACAGATTGACATTGATGGAAAAGGCGACATGTTGTTAGTAAGTATACAAGATTTCAGGTTTTGATAGATTTTTTATTTTCATAGAATTAAATATATTAGTCCTAGTTGAATATTATTTTTTTTAAATATAGGAAGTCTGCCATAGAATAAGAGTTAGAATTTCGTGTAAATTTTATTTTCTTTTTAATTATTATTACAATTGAAATTAGGAGGTTCACAGCAAAATTTTCTAACCTGTAATGGTTGCACTTTTTTAGAAACGTTATTATTCAAAAACTATTAAATATTATTACTTACCAGAAACATATTAAATCAATTTCGGTGTAATTATACTATTCAAAAATATTAATTTAAATTTTAGAAATTTTCAAAAAAAAATTTCACAATTTTTGGAAGCTTTAAAAAATTTGGGAATTTGCACATATTTTAATATTTTTATTATTTACCTGCTATTAAGGGCATCCGGGAAAAATCGAGCCCAAAAAGTGTTTTCCCGCGTGTCGTCTCACTCCTAAATAATTAGAGATATTTAGTTCGGATTTAGCATGATAATTAGGGGAATTCATGATGATAAAGAATATTCTCGAAATTTGCAAGTAATTTTTGAAATAAATATTGAAAAACGAAATTACAAAAGTTGGATTTTTGGCGAAAGTGAGAGGCAATATGGCGGCGAGCACACAGACAAGTGGATCTATGTGTCAGTGGTCAAGGAGGTGGCGCCAATTCTCGGAAGCGGTCGCGAGTTGAACTGAGGGAAATGTATTAATCTCAAATTACTCCACTTTCAATCGTTAATAAAATAATTTCCTCGCAAAATTATTGCAAAAACGGAGAGGGCCGCTCCTCGGAGACTCTTCCTCTATCACCCCTCCAAATATGAACCCGAAATATTTTATCCTCTCAAAATGAGACGTCTATACTGAACCGTTCAAAACCCCTTTTTTCCGTATATTTCAACAATTTTTTTCAATAATTATTTATCAAAATTTCTCTAAATTCCGAGAGGACCGCTGGTCCCAGAGCATTTCTCTATATTTACCAAAAAATCCCGACTCAAAATATTCTTTTCTTTTTAAATGAGACGTCTATCACGAAACCAGTATTATTTCCCGGATGCCCTTAAAATTTGATTCATAGGTATAATTGAAGTAAGCAAAACAATTACTCGTTTCTCTGTTTTTATGAGAATAGAGAGAGATGTAAAACTTTTGAAGTCCTAGAATTAATTGATACCTTTTTCAGTAACAATTTTTCAAACGAAGCAGAATACTCTCATAAAATTTATATAAATATTAAAATATCGGCAAAATCCCAAAATTTTTAAAGCTTCTACAAAAAACTGACTATTTTTTAATAGCGTTGTTATTAACAATTTAAGCTTTATATAATTGAACAAAACAAAAAACCAAATTGTGTCAAAAATGGAAAATTAGATTTCTTTTTGTTACACGATGGTTATCAAAAGTTAATAAAATTTGCAGTTATTGCTAAAATGTTTTATTTTAAAACTTAATTTGTTTATATTTTATTCAATTTTTAAAATAAATTTGTTATTACAGGAATGTTTGAAGATGATGGCAGCCTTATTACTAAAGAGAAAATTGAAAATGTCAGAAATACAAATGATCCAGATACCAAGAATTTGTTCAGTCTGTTATGAAAGTAAACAAGAACTTCTTGTAAATTGCAAGAAATGCCCTGTAATAACTTTTTGCAAGGAACATTTAAATAATCGTGATCATCAAGAGGATTGTCAAAAATTATTCTTCAGCACCATTGTTGTATCGCCATCAATAATGGAAATGACAAAGACAATAAAATTGTCCCCTCAAATGAAAATCGACAAATTACCCTCCACAATGATGGAATTTCTGGAGACTTGCGTATCAAAGAATTCAACTGATTCATATTTCGAGGAAACGAAAGATTTATGGAATAAATCATTTTCAGACAAATATTCAAGACCGCTGTCAACAATCTTCGCCATGGAGAAATTGGACTTGCCTAAAAATTCAGAGAGCTTAGTGATTCATGTTGTAGGCGCATCATTGCCGGAGGAATTCTTCAACGATTGGGAAATATTGTTGCACTTTTTTAAGTGTTTGCGAAAACTTTCGATAATTCTCATTGGAGACGAATTAATGTTTTTTGACGATAAAATGGAAAAACTTTGCAAATCCTGCAGAAAAGGAAACAAAAAAGTAACTATTGAGACGCATCATAAATTATATGATGTCTACTGTGAAGAATCGAGTTTTAAAAAACCGGATATTATTGTATGCTTCAATGCAGGTCTTCATGCTTATCCTACTTGGGAAAAAGGTGTACGAGTGTTTAATAAAGGACAGTGTCCTTTGGTAGTTACAGCTTATACTAAAGCTGAAAGTCTCGAAGACGAAAAAATGGTTAAATCTTCATTTCCTTCTGGAAATTGTGTCTACAGTGGTTGCAATCCGTTTGAAAGTTTGAGTTATACAAAGCGGAGAATTGGGTTACCTGTAACTTCGTCCAGTAATTTTATTTTTATCTACAAACATCTTGGCGCAAACATTACATCAAAGTGATATTTTACATCAGCCAATAGTAATCATGCAACATTGCTATAAGAAAATTTAAACTTTTTTTTATATTACAAAATACTTATTGTTATTCTTCATGTGCAAACATATTTTTTTATACATTTACAGCAGAGCTGTCAGTAGATTTGTAAACAATGTTACAAAGTAAAATGTGGTAAAATGTTTTATTATAACAATTTTTTTAAATAATTAGTGTAAGATTAATAAACAGAGAATTTTTAAATTCAAATTCTCTTAGTTAAAACAATCTAAACTTTTGAATCATTTTTCCAAAATAGCAAATGTGATATAAGATTAATTGTTTATTGGTTTAAAATTATAAAGAGTTTTATTAAATTTTGTAAATGGTGCACATATGTATACCAGAGGCACGAAAGGGTTAAAACAATTTTTGCGTTCTTCAGAACTGGAATTAGGTCCGTAAATTTGCTTGAAGTTCGTAAAAGGTAAAAGTCAGTTTTTTTTAAAACGGTACGTAAATTTTGTAATTTGATAGAAAAAGAACGAAAAGTTCGTAAATTGTACGATATAATTTAGAGAATTTTCGAGAAATTACAAATGATTGGAGAAATTCAATTATTTTCAACAGTAATAAAATTCTTCGCAAAAATTGAATTGTTAAAAATTTTTTTAAAATTTTCATCAAAATTTCAATTATCTTTAGAAATAATTACTTAACTTCAAAATTCAATTATTTTCAAAAATTTTAATAAAATTCTTGTCAAAATTTCAATTTTCGTAAATAAGAAAATTCTTTATAGGAATTCAATTATTTTCATAAATAATAAAACTCATTGCAGAATTTCAATTATTTTTAGTAAAATTTTACTCTAATTTCTCAAAAAATGCAATTATTCTTAAAAGTTTTATTGAAATTCGTCAAAAGAATTTAATAGTTTGAAAATTTGTTGATAAAATCGTTATGGTAATTGAATTTTAAAAAACATTCAATTATTTAATAAATACTTTTTTTTATTTAAATAATTGAATTTTCGTAGAATTTTCTAATAAAAATTAATTTAAAAATAGATTTCAATTAAAATTTTAGATAATAATTGAATATTAAAAGCAATAGAGCGTGAATTTTTAGAAATAATTGAATTTTGAAAAGGTTTCAAATTAAAATCTTTGAAAATATGAATTTTTCATATTTTTAACTAACAATTCTGTGGAATTAATTTTTTTTGAGAAAGTTTAATATTGATTGGACAATTTACGAATAATTTAAATTTTGTAAAATTGAATTGTAAACAAATGAATTTGAAAATTCTCAAAGAACTATTTCAAAAATTATTCAAAATAATTCAATTTTATAGAAGAATTTTAGTTAAAAACCTGAAAAAAGAATTTAATTTTGGAAAAATTACAAATTATTGCAGAAATTCAATTATTTTCAAGAGTAATAATATTCTAAGCAAAAATAAAATGTTGATCGAAAATAATAAAATTCTTCTTAGGGATTCAATTATTTTTTACAAATAAATAAAACTCATCGCAGAATTTCAATTATTTTTAATACAATTTTAATCGAATTTCTCGAAAAATGTAATTATTCCTAAAACTTTTATTAAAATTCATCGAAAAAATTCAATTATTTAAAAATTATTTGATAAAATTCTTTGAAACATTCAATTATTCAAGAAAGTGTTTATTTTTGTATTTAAATAATTGAGTTATAGTAGAATTTTCTACTAAAAATTGATTTAAAAATGAATTTGGGTTAAAATTTAAGATAATAATAATTGAATATTAAAAGCAATATATAGCGTGGATTTTTAAAAATGTTTCAAATGATTGTAGAAATTCAATTATTTTCAGAAATAATAAAATTCTTCACAAAAATTCAATTATTTTCAAAAATTAAACAAAATTCTCGTAAAAATTTCAGATTTCTTTATAAATAATAAAATTCTTTTTCGTAATTCAATTATTTTCAAAAATTTTTCTCAATTCAATGATTTTTAACATCTACATTTCCATTTAATTATTTTTAATACCATATTTTAATCGAATTCTTTAAAAAATGTAATAATTCTTATCTTTATTAAAATTCGTTAAAACATTTCCATTATTTAAAAATTTGGTGATAAAATTCTTTATGAGAATTCAATAAATTATTTACTTTTGTATTTAAATAATTGAATTCTTGTAGAATTTTCTGAAAAAAAACTGATTGAAAAATAAAATTCAGTTAAAATTTTAGATAATAATTGAATATTAAAATATGGCCTGAATTTTTAAATTTACCTGATTACTGAATTACAGGAACGACGGTATTCGGGGATGCCCATTCCTAAAAGGTAGGAGAGCATAAGGTCGTATTTTATGCAGTCTTATTATATTTATTTCTTGTGTTTATTAATTCCTTGAAATACTTTACTCGCTTTACTCATTATTCATTTATATTACATACATGAGAAATATTTCATTAAATTTAATATTTATCTATAATAACTTCATTTATTTGAAATATTTCAATTTCCCGCTCAAATCTATGAAATGCCGATGATTCCGATGCCGAAAAGGCGGAACAGTTGTGTTCCAATGCTGGTGCATTTGTTTTTCTTTTTCATTCTTTTTTATTTGCATGTCATGGTAGTTGGTGTTTAAAAAGAATAGACATAATTATTATACTTTAGTCTTTGCTATAAATAAAAATATGGATAAATTAAGTGAATCATTTTTAAATGCTATGCTAGATCAATTACATGAGTCGGAAGAGAGTAAAGCAAAAGCAGTTTACTTTACAAATATGTGTCATATTTGTCACTGTTACGGTGAAAAAGTCAAATTAAAAAGATGCAGCGCTTGCGACATGATTTCTTACTGCAGTAAAGAGCACCAAAAAGAAGATTGGCCGAGTCATAAGCAGTTTTGTAAAGTATTATGCCAAATGAAGAAGGATTATAAAGTTGATAATCTATTTGAGTCATTGAAAGCGAACACCGAGAAAGAAAGAATTGCTGTTTTCAAAGAAGTTGAAGATGATGGGAAAGGCGACATGTTAGTAGTAAGTATAGATTTTTCAAAAATTTGTCAATTTTTTTAAGCTCTAATTAATTGTAATAAATAATATTCGATTTTATTAAATTTTCTTGGGTATTAGATTTTATACGTTTTTTTTAATAAATTTCATTTTTATTCAAATTTGTGTCAAATTAAAATGTCAATTTGGGACAATATGCGACACTTTTCCCTCAATTCGAGTAATCAATTTGATCGAAATTTTACATCAAATTGATGAACCATTTCTTTTTAGAAAATAGGATCAAAAATTATACTTATCTTGTAAATAGTTGATTTAAATAAAAAAGCTAAAACCAAATATCTACAATGATTGCTAAATTTGTTTTTTCAGATCCAGCTGTTGACGAGAGCAACCGCACTAATGAAGAGAACGTTAAAACCACATGAATCACTTATGATCATGTTTCCTAGAATTTGCTCAATTTGCTTCGAAAGTAGAAATGAACTTCTTGTAAATTGCAAGAAATGCCCACAAATTTCATTTTGCAAAGAACATTTATTAAATAATTCTGCTCATGAAGAGGAATGTCATAAATTTGTCCTCAATTCTATTTATAAACCGATGCCAGTTATAGAAAAGGCGGCGGCAGTAAAATTGTCGACACAAATTAAAATTGACAAGTTACCGTCTTCAATGATGGAATTTTTAAAGATTATCGTCACAAAGGATTCAGTTGATATATATTCGGAGGAAACAAAAGATTTATTGAACTCAGTATTTTCGGAAAAATATTCAAGACCGCTGTCAATAATTTTCGCTTTGGAGAAATTAGATTTTCCTAAAAATTCCGAAAGTTTAGTGATTCACGTTGTAGGCGCCTATTTGCCAGAACAAACGTATAACGAGTGGGAAATATTTTTGCACTATTTTAAATCTGTGCAAAAACTTTCAGTGATTCTCATTGGAGACTCATTGATTCTTTACAATCAAACGGAAGATCTTTGCGAATCCTGCAAAAAAGAAAACAAGGAATTAATAATTGAATCGCATCTTACAGTATATGATAAGTACTGTGAACAATCAAATTTTGAAAAACCGGATATTATCGCTTGTCTCAATGCTGGTTTTCATGCTTATCCTACTTGGGAAAAATCTATTAAAGTGTTGAACAAAGGACAGTGTCCTTTAGTGGTCACAGCATTTTCCAAAGCTGAAGGTCTTAGGGACGAACAAATTGTCAAATCAATATTTCCTGCGGCAAATTGTATCTTTAGTGATTACAATCCATTTGAAAGTTATTTTTATACAAGAAGGAAAACTGGGACACCTTTAAATTCCACTAATCAATTTATTTCTATCTATGATCGACTTAGGGAAGAAAATACATCAAAGTGATGTTTTCGGTTTTTCAAGCTAATAATTATGCAATATTGCAGTAAGAAAACTTATACTTTTTTGACTTTCCAAAATATTCATTCTTCATGTAGACACATAGTTTTACATACATTTACAGCAGAGCTGTAAACATTGATTTTGTAAACCATGTTACAAAGTAATTCAATGTTTTATTATAAAAGTTTTTTATAAAAGCTGTCTGCGTCCTTTTCTTTCCAATGTCCTGTTTCCGTATCCGTATTCATTTCGCATTGGCCTTTATGTTTTCTGGGGATTCACTCTCCGAGTTCAGCAGAATTTCATGGGTTAAAAAAGGATGGTCAGATGGCTCTATCTATTAATAAATCTTTAGTGGCAAAAAATATTATAAATAATTTAAATATTATTAAAACTGTCAGTGAATATATTCAAACTTCGAGGTCGATAATTGATTTTTAAAACGTAGCTTTCAAACTAAAAAAAGTAGCTATCGAAAAGTAAAAACTTGACGACCAAAATACTCGTTTTATTCACTTCACAAAATTGACAAAAATTTCATTCCATATTTTTTATTTTCCTCACTTTTTCCTAATTTTCACAAGAAATATTTACTTCTTTCTTATCCTGCTAATAAATTAAATTCCTGCAAAGAATTTTACTATTCATGAAAGAATTTCAATATTTAGAAAAATAATTTAATTCTTGGGAAGAATTTTATAAAAATTTTTTAATAATTGATTTCTTTCGACTAATTTTATGCAAATTCTAATTTAAATAATTCAATTCTTGAGAAATTTTTATTATTCATGAAAAGAATTGAATTCTTACGAAGATTTTTACAAACAATTTTTTAAATAATTGAATTCTGTTTAGACATTGTTTTAAAATAGTAGATATTGAAAATCATTGAATTGTGAAAAGTTTTTAAGAATAATTAAATATTACAAAGAATTCTATTATAATTTTTGACAACAATTGAATGTCTGTGTGGTATTTTATTAAATTCTTTTGAAAATAATTGAATTCCTAAAAGGCATTTTATTATTTATGAAAATAATTGAATTCTTGCGATGAATATTGTAATTTATGAAAATAAATAAATTTTGCAAAGAATTTTATTAAAATACCTCAAAATAATTGAATTTTCAGGAATAATTTTGTTATTTACGAATTAATTGAATTTTTTCGGAAAATTATTTATGTCAATAATTGAATGTTTTGGAAGAATTTTATTAACATCTAAAAGAATAATTGAATTATTTAAAAAAAATTTAATTAAAATTGTATTTAAAATAATTGATTTTTTTCGAAAAATTTTATTAAAATATTTGAAAATAATTGAAATGTTATGACAAATTCTAATATTTTTGTAAATAATTGAATTCTTCTAATGAATTTTAAAAAACAAAAAATTCTTCCCAAAAATCCAATTATTGACATAAATAATTCTTCGAAAAAATTCAATTAATTCGTAAATAACAAAATTATTCCCAAAAATTCAATTATTTTGAGCCATTTTAATAAAGTTTAATTTAATTTGCAAAATTTAATTATTTTCTTAAATAACAGTATTTATCACAAATTTTTTGTTTTTTAAAAATTCTTTGGAAGAATTCAATAAATTATTTACAAAAAACAAACAAATAATTGCTTTTTTCGAGGAATTGAAATTAAATTTTTAAGAATAATTATATTTTTCGAGCAATTCCTGTAAAATTGTATAAAAAATAATTGAAATCCTGCTATGAATTTTATTAAAATTTTTAAAAATAATTTAATTCCTGAGAAAAATTTTATTTTTTATGAAAATAATTGAATTATTCCGAAAAATTTTATAAAAATGTTTTAAGAAAAGTATTGAATTTCAGTTAAAAATTTTGTTATTTTTGAAAATAATTGAATTCTTCATAAGAATTTTATAAACATTGTTTTAAATAATATTATTATTATGAAAATTTTGTTTTAAATGATTGAATTCTTGTGGAAAATTTTATTTCTGAAAATAATCAAATATTCAAATTCTTGCGAACAATTTTATTAGAATTTTTTTTAAATAATTGAATTCTTGTGATGAACATTGTTATTTATGAAAATAATTGAATTTTGCAAATAATTTTATTCAAATGCCTTAAAATAATTGAATTTTCGATGATAATTTTGTTATTTATCGACATAATTGAATTCTTTTGAATGATTTTATTAAAATCTGAATGAAAAATTGAATTAGGTATTTCAAAAAAATTTAATTAAAATTGTAGGTATTTAAAATAATTGATTTCTTTTAAACAATTTTATTAAAATATTTGAAAATAATTGAATTTCTGTGAAAATTTTTTATATTTTTGTAAATAATTGAATTCCTCCAAAGAATTTTATAATTGATTTTTCCGAGGAATTGAAATTAAATTTTTAAGAATAATGACATTTTTCGAGCAATTCCTGTAAAATTGTATTTAAAATAATTGAAATCCTGCGATAAATTTTATTATTTATGAAAATAATAGAATAGTAGCAAAGAAATTTATTAAAATATTCAAAAACAATTGAACTCCTGAAAAGAATTTAATTATTTATAAAAATAATTGAATAATTATTGCGAAAAGTTTTATTATTTATGAAAATAATTCAATTTCTACTTAGAATTTTATCAAAAAATTTTGTTAAATAATTGATTAATTTCATTTTTTTTTGAAAATTATATTTTAATTTTATTGAATTTCTGTGGAAATTCTATTATTTATGAAAATAATTGTATTTTGGATGAATTTTATCAATTTCTTTTTAAATAATTGAATTCTTTTGCAAAATTTCATGAAAATACCAGATATTGAAAATAATTTAATTTCGAATATTTTTTGAAAATAATTAAATCGTTTTAAAGAATTTGATTATTATAATTTTTGAGAATAGTTTTTTGATTTCCAGTATTAGCGAATTTAAAGTAGTGGAAATTCTCAAAAAAAGCAGAAATAGTTTTTTGAACTCTGATGGCTACGCATTTTTTCTTAATCATTTATAGCTGCGCAATTCCTTTATAAAAAATAATAAGTGATTATAAAATAAAAACATATAATATTTTGAAGCAGTTTATTGATTTCAGTTACAAATCGATAAACGAGAACTACATAAGTCATGTCTGCGTAAACTTATCACACAATTTTCACTTCTATCAACACTAAATTTCATTTCTATCGAGTTTCACCTTAATGCTTCTCTTCAACGAAAAGAAAAATGATTTCTTTAAATTTACATACAACTCATATATCTTCCTTGATATCAAATTTGGGGAAGAATTTTAAAAATTTTATATCAAGCATTAGATCGTCAGCTCGATAAAAATGAAAAAGAAACAGTTTTTTTGTATAATCAAATTAATCCACCCTTTTTTTCGGAACGAATTATTGAATTTTCATAAATAATAATAGTATAATAATGAAAAAAAAACTTAAGAGTCCTGCAAGTGAAGATGACAAACAATTTTAAAAAAACTTACAATTAATTAAATTTATTGAATTAAACAGCGTGATAGGCGTATTTTATTTGATCCTTTTTTTTTCTTTTAATTTTTTCCTCTCACATATTGTACACCGTTGTCTGTCGATTATTAATTTATGGTAATACTTTTTATCTTTTCGTTATAATTCTAGCATGTGTAGTGTGTCTACACACTTTACGGATAAAATATAGAATCGTTAGCAGACATATAATCTGTAAGGAATCATTTTTTCCATTCCATCATATTTAGCAAAACTAGTGTCTGCAACGAAGTCTAAGCTTAAACCTTATAGTACATATAACAAATCGCATACGGATTATTGCCCATCTATACCTATAAAGCTATACTTTCAAAAAAGAAATTAAACATCTTCAGCTTCAAGTATATTTATCATTAAAATAGAAAAAAAAACTGGAATCAAGTTTAAATGATAGAAGGGAAGAGAGTAGAAAAAAGAATCATTTTCTGAACAAAGCAGCTTGCGATACTCTTTAAAAGAAAATTATCGAAACAATTCAACAAATTTGTCTTTCAATTAAAAAAAAGTCAATACAATTTTTACAGTTTTAATCAATCAAAAATTAATTCATTAATAGCGTATCGAAAGTAACGAATATAAAATAATAAAAAATTCTTAGGGTCACAAGTACAAAACTTTGCGTTATAAATTGTCCATCATAAAACCCGAGTTTCGTTAATAAAATTAAAATTTAAAAAGAAATTTTTTATGCAAGTTCTTTTGTTTGCAAATATAAAAAGAATGAAACAAAACTCGCTCAAAGTGTGTACTGGGATCCTAAATGGCCTACATTCATTAATGTTAATCGGCTTTTTTTTCAAAAACCACATACGACGGGCAATAAATCAAAATTCAGGGCGTTGTTTCAAGATTCTTTTTGAAACAAAATTCAGTTTTAATTTTGCAATAATCTTAACGCAACGAGATAAATTTTGAATTATTGCCGTCAGCATTTTGCCATTTTTTTTTTGAAATTTTCAAAACGATCAAGCTACTGTTTTTTTACACAATTCAGTAGCATGAGAAAATTTCATTTTCTTTCTTTAAATACCTTCATATAAACATTAACATGAATATTTTTTCCCAGAATGCTTCTAGGCCCCTTAGAAAAGCAAATTGGGACACAAAAACAGCTTATACATCGAATTACCTATTTATTTGTTTTATTATTTATTATATTAATTTTTTTTTCTTCTTCGATGGGGGAGAAGGAAATTTTATCATTTTAATGCTAATATTTCCTTTACAATTTTACGATCAACAATTATGGTTCTATTGAATCTCCCTCTAGTTTATTTTAGTTTTTTTTATTTTTTTCTTTGAACAAAATGTTTTTTTAATTACCGCTTTTATAGCGTCGTGGACTACTTGCAATTAAATTATGCCAAACTAAATATTTTGATAATATTTAGTTCAAAAACACCAATTTGTAAAAATTATATTAGGAATGTCATATTTTACACGTCAACATTTTTGTTCTTCTTTTTAGTGATTTCGGACAATTTCGGACAAGTATTTTTTAAATGCAATTTTTTTAAAATTAAAATTGCAGTTGACGGTGTTAGGTAATTGGACGAAGCCTTTACATTCATGACAATGAAACAGCCAAGGTATCAAGTTTTGTAAAATTGAGATGGCCGCATTTCATCTCAGATTTTTCAGCAAATTAATTATTTTTTTCGATGGCCATACACCAGAAACGTTTGGAGAATGACCACATTTGTATTAAGAATTTATAATGTTCTTAATACATTGTTGGTAAAGATTTTAACACACATTTCAGAAGAACGCAAATTACAAATTGTTGATGTGTATTTTTCTTGTTTTACGTTCTCCTAAATCGTGTGTTAGTTGGCTTAAATTTTAATAATAAATAGCACATATTCTTAAAAATACTTTTTCGTAACGTAAACGTTACTATTATTGGTCGGGCGTCAATAAATTTTCTAATTCCTTCTCTTTTCTTTTTTTGTAAGGGGGGAAAAATTTAAGAATTTAAATAAATTTTACAAATTGTAAAATTTGTAAAAAAGATGGACCGGACTTTATCTTACAATTCGTTAGAACATTGACAAAAAAGTGTAAAAAATAAAACAAAGATAATAATATATTCCATGTTAATAAAATCTAGTCCATGACTAATTCTCGAAAAATTTAAGAAAACAAAGTACGAAGAGTTTGTATTTATTGACACCCAAGCAATGGAATTATTCAACAATTCTGCTTTTTTGTGTCTTTAAAAGAACTTATTCAAATATTTTTCTCAATATTTGAATTGGATTAATTATTATACTGTAATAAGCAAATTAACAGTAATAAAGCTGGCTATTGTATTCTCTCAATTCCTTATTTATCCAGAGCTCCGTTAATGATGTTGTTTTTCACCTGATTATTAACGTGAATACTGTCACCAGCAGCGCCTTTATCCTTTTTGTTTTGCGAATTAGTCACACTGTCTAATCCTAATTTGCTGAGTGTGCGTAAAGCTGTAAGTGCTGCTTGGTCTTGAGAAGCTGCCTTCGTCGCTCCATGACCGTGGCAAACCTGAGGAGGGTCTGTGTTCAATGACACAAGTGATAGATATTCCCTGTACAGTCCCTGAAACTGTAAATTAAATTATTAAATTATTAAATTCTATAATTAGTTTCAAATGAAAATATATCTGACACGTTCTGAAGAAAGATACCTAAAAAGCAAAAAAAAAAAATTTCTAATTGAGAGAATCAACTCTCAATATAAAATAATTAATAAAACTAATTTTAGTTTTAAATTAAACACTCAAATTTTTAAGGTAAAAATAACACAAACATAACCTTAATATTCTAATAGAAAAATTCTATAAGAATCATCAACGTTCACTCCAGTGAAAAAATTTTGTCGATCAGTGTTATTGAAAGACGGATTATTGTAGTTATATACAATAATTTTTTTATGAAATTAAATTTAGTTAAATACGGTCATTTGGGGTAAATGTAAACAGAATGCAGATTCAGGGCTTGGATCATCTTTCAGACTCAAAAAAAAGTCGCTTTAGTCGCATAAATTCACAACAAAAGTCACGAAAAGTTGCGTAAAATTTCTAAAAAAGTCGGAAAAAAGTCGCATGAAATTTTAGAAAAAACGACAAAAAGGAAACACGAAATCGTCAAAATTGTAAAAAAAATCAAATTTCTCGACAACACATACTTTAATATCAAACAATCCGGAATAATATTTAATAAATAATAAAATTTAATAAAATTCATAGCAAAATTTTAATTAGGTATTTTTAACATTTTTTTTTAAAAATCTATTCAAAATTTCAATTATTTTTATAAATAATAAAATTCTTCGCAAAAATTGATTTATGTTCAAAAATCAAAAATAAATTCTCGTCTAAATTTCAATTATCTTTATAAATAATAAAATTCTTCTCTGAAATTCATTTATTTTCAAAAGTAAGAAAATTCTTCGCAGAAATTTAATTATATTCAAAAATTTTTTTAAATTTCTCGAAATTTAATTATTTTTAAAAGTTTTGATAAAATTCTTCCTAAAAATTCAATTATTTTCGAAAGTAAGAAAATTCTTCGCAGAAATTCAATTATTTTCAAAATTTTTTTTAAAATTCTTCTCAAAATTTCAATTGTCTTTATAAATATCAAAATTCTTCTGCAGAATTCAATTACTTTTAAACATTTTTAAAAAAGTCTGTTCAAAATTTTAATTATATTTATGAATAATAAAGTTCTTCTCCGAAATTCAATTATTTGAAAAAATTTTTAATAAAATTATTGGCAAAATTTCAGTTATCTTTATAAATAATAAAATTCTTCTCTGAAATTTAATAATTTGTAAAGAATTTTAATAAAATTTTGTCAAAACTTCAATTATCTTTATAAATAAAAAAATTCATCCTAGAAATTCTATTATTTTCAAAATTTTTTTTTAATATCTCGTCAAAATTTTATTTATTTTTATAAATAATCAAATTCATCCTGGAAATTTAATTATTTTCAAAAGTTTTGATAAAATTCTTTGCGAATTTCAATTATCTTCAAAAGTAAGAAAATTCTTCGCAGAAATTCAATTATTTTCAAAATTTTTTTTAAAATTCTTCTCAAAATTTCAATTGTCTTTATAAATATCAAAATTCTTCTGCAAAATTCAATTACTTTTAAACATTTAAAAAAAAAAATCTGTTCAAACTTTCAATTATCTTTATAAACATAATTGAATAATAAAATTCTTTTCTGAAATTCAATTATTTGCAAAGAATTTTAATAAAATTCTTGTCAAAATTTCAATTATCTTTATAAATAATAAATGTAATTTATTTTTAATTTATAAATGTATTTTGATAAATAAATAAATAAATAAAATTCTTTTCTAAAATCCAATAATTTGCAAAGAATTTTAATAAAATTCTTGTCAAAATTTCAAATATCTTTATAAATAATAAAATTCATCATAGAAATTTAATTATTTTCAAAAGTAATCAAATTCTTCGCAAAAATTCAATTATTAAAAAAATTTTTTTTTAAATTCTCCTCACAATTTCAATTATTTTTTATAAATATCAAAATTCTTCTTCAAAATCCAATGACTTTTAAACATTTTAAAAAAAAATCTGTTTAAAATTTCAATTTTCTTTATAAATAATAATATTCGTCCTAAAAATTCAATTATTTTCAATTTTTTTTTAAATTTCTTGTCAAAATTTTAATTATCTTCATAAATAATATAATTCATCCTGGAAATTTAATTATTTTCAAAGGTTCTGATAAAATTCTTTGCAAAATTCAATTATCTTCAAAAGTAAGAAAATTCTTCGCAGAAATTCAATTATTTTCAAAAATTTTTTTAATTTCTCCTCAAAATTTCAATTATTTTTACGAATATCAAAATTCTTCTGCAAAATTCAATTACTTACTAATGTTTTATTAATTTCTTTCCAATAATTCAATTATTTTCATAAAAAATAATTAATATTTTTTTTTTTTTTTTTTATAAAATCTTATAATATAAAATAATGATTTTATCACTCGGTCATCTTTAATTATTATAAAACATGAAGAAATCGATCACTCCGAGTCTTTGACTTTGAATCTTTTGAAAAATTTTAATTCCTATGGAAAAATAATAATTAAATATTTATTTAAAAAAGAAGTTATTGATGTTTTCGAAAAATTTGAAAGAAATTTGTAAATAAATGTAACAGAACATTTTTTTCACTCAAACTATTTCCTTTAATTTTCTAAAAATTTTAAAAATTTCAGTCGCATTTTACTAAAAAAAATCTCGAAAAAGTCGATTAGTCGCATTTTTTTACAAAAGAGTTGAAAAAAGTCACATTTCCTTAGAAAAATCGAAAAAAGTCGAAAAAGTCACACAATCCGAGCCCTGCCGATTTTTTTACCAAAAACGCAAGTTTTTTTCGTTGAACGATGAAACTGACGGAATTCTTTTGAATAAACTTGTTACTTCACTTCCCTAGAAAAATTTCATGGGATCCCACTTTGAAATTTTCAAAAAATCGTAAAAATTTTTTTTTTTTGCTTGAAATACTCTTTATGAACACCAAAATTATAATTTTGGTGTCCATAAAAAGTATTTCAAGCAAAAAAAAAAATTTTTTTCGATTTTTTGAAAATTTCAAAGTGGGCTTAATTATTTTTAGTCTTGTCAACTGTCGAAGATTTAAAAAATATTCCACATATATTGAAAAACTACAAAATATCCGCCTATACATGCGACTATTTTTCAGAAAGTTTACATTTCCCTAGGTATGACCCAAAATTGATTGAAAGCTTAGCATTTTTATTTTTGCCCCTCCTTAAATTTAATTATTTTTATTTTAACGATTTGAAAAAAATTTCCTAATAAAATTGTTTTTTAATATATCTACATTTTTTTGTAATATTACTTTTTCCTCAAAAGGTAACAAACGTCAAATACTATTAAATAATAATGATTTCTTTCATTATGTAATGTAATTCTGATATTTGTTTGGTAACATTATATTAATTATTCTGTATAGGTATCTTAATTGATGTCTGAAAAGATAAGGCAAAACATTACAATTTCTATTTTCCAGAAAGAAAATATAGTTTCGCTATTGGGAACTCCACTTCGTGAGCGATATGTAAGATATAAATGTAAATAAACGTGTTGAAAAAGAGGAATGCAAACGTAAACAATGTTTTCGTATATCGGTGTTTTTTAAAGTTACTGCCATGTTACTGCGAATTAGGTGGAAAGAAAAGAAAATACACAGTTTAACCTAGTTGAGCAGTATTCATCGACACAGAGAAACCTCCACTCCGTAAAGCAGTGAAATCTCAATTTTTGTAAGTAAATATCAAGAAAATAATTTAAATATTTCACAAAATTATTTTTAAGGTAATTTTTTATGAGCAATTCAATAGTCATAAAATACGCTGACCCTTTTTGAATTTTTAATTTACTCACAAATTGGTAGATTTTGAAATCCATGCGTAATTTTGTAGAATATCAGAGTGGCCATAAGTTTCAGTTTATCAATTTCCCTGATATTTTCCTGACAATTTACTGACATTAAAATTATTCTCCCTGACAAAATTCTTTTTACAAGAAAATTTGAATGTTTACGGAAAATGGGTAAAATTTATGAATTCAATTATTTTTTACAATTTTCAACTAAACTTCATATCTGAATCAATTAATTTAAATAATTATAAAAATCAAAATAAGTTGCACTATTTCACTAAAAATTGTGGTATTTTGTTGCAATGTTTGGAAGAAAAGTCGAAAAAGTCGAAATTATTTAAAATAAGTCGAAAAAATCCTCAATTTTCTTAATTTCCCTGACAAAAATAAAAAAAAATTTTAAATAAATATTTAATAATTTTTTTTCATTGGAATTAAGATGTTTAAAAATTTCAAATACAAAATTTTCCAAATTGAACAACTCATAAGAATATTATTATAAAAGATGACCGACTGACAAAATCATTATTTTATTATTAGAAGAATATTGTTACTGTGATTTCTTCAAAATTATTTGTATCATTTCAATTCAATTAACATTTTCTAGAATTTTTAACTAAAATTCTACTTTAAATCAATAATACCAATTATTATTCAATTAAACTTTTTAAAAAAAAATAATTCTACAGAATTGTTAGTTAAAAGTACAAAAAATAATAATTTAATTCTACGAGAAATCAATTATTTAAATAAAAAAATAAATAATATTGAATGATTCTTAAAATTTAATTTTTACGAAATATTTAATTTCTTTTAAGGAATTTAATTAAAATTTTAATGAAATTTATTGAATTAAAGAATTTTATCACAATTTTTGAAAATAATTGAAAACTTTAGAAGAATTTTATTAGAATTTTGAAAAATAATTGAATTCCTGAGAAGAATTTAAATAATAATTTTTGAAAACAATTGAATTCATGAGAAGAATTTTATTAAAATTTTTGAAAATAATTGAAATTTTGCCAAGAATTTAATTAAAATTTTTGACAATTATTGAATTCTCGAGAAGAATTTTCCTTATCTATTTATAAAGATACCTAATTTAATTCTTGACGAGAATTTTTAAACAATTTTGAAAATAATTTAATTTCTACAAAGTATTTTATTACTTTTCAAAAGAATTGAATTCTTGTGATGAATTTTGATTTTTATCAAAATAATTGAATTTTAGAAAAGAATTTGATTAAAAATCCTTAGAATAATTGATTTTATGGAAACAATTTATGCGATTTTGTTGTTTATCAAGCTAATTTAATTCTTTTGCAAAGTTAGGTACTTAAAAATTGTTGAAAATAATTGATTTTCTGCGACGAATTAAATGTTATTTATGAAAATATTTGAATTATTGCAACGAATTTTATTGTGTTATTGAATAATTGAATGTTTCTTAAAATTGAATTCTTTTCGCAAGTTTTAATAAATTTTTTAATAATAATTGCATTTTTCAAGGAATTTATTTAAAATTGTATTAAAAATATTTGAAATTCTTTGATGAAAATAATTGAATTCGTAAATGAAATTATATTATTTATGAAAATAATTGAATCTTTTCGAAGAATTGTGTCAAAAAGTTTTTTCTATAATTAAATCTGTTGATAAATTTTATAAAAATAGTAAATATTGAAAATTATTGAATTGCAAAAAATTTTTGAATATAATTGAAATTTTGCTAAGAATTTTATTAAAATTAATTGAATTATTGAATTTCGGAGAAGAATTTAATTATTTGTGAAGATAATTGAATTCTTGACGAGATATTCGTGAAATTTTTTAAAAATAATTGAATTCTTGGGAAGAATTTTATTAAAATTCCTAAAAATTATTGAATTTCTGTGAAGAATTTTGTTATTTATCAAGATAATTGCATTAAAACTTTTGTAATAATTAAAAAATAATATTAGAAAAACAACCAACTTTTAAACATAATTGAGACTTGAATTCACTAAAATACAAATCTTACAAATTGTATAAATTTCATGAAAAATTTGAAGATTTGAAACTTTCAAAACAAAAGTTTCCAATTGAAAGTTTGAACGGCACTTTGCTAAATTTGGTGTAAATTTATCATTAAAATATAAAAGAAAAAATAGGGTAAATTTTTAAAATAGGGTACGTTTAGGGGCCAAAGTTAAAAAAAGGTGGCAGACTGTGATGCCTGTTCGAAATGTAAAATTCATCAAAGAAATCGTAGGCACAAGCAAAATATAAATTGTTCTCCTACCTTCGGAAAATCGCTGAACTCCACTTCGAAGTTTAACAGTTGTGCCAGGTATTTGAGTTGGTCCCTTGGAGATACTCCAGACGGAATTTGTTGCTGTTGTTGACCTCGAAGTTCTTCAGCGACCACTTGAACACTGGGTCCGCTACCAATTTTCGAATCCTGACCACCATCCATTAGAAGCAGTCCGGGAACAAGTTGACGTCCAATGGTTCCTGGAATATTTTTCTCATTGTTTTATACTTTTCGAAGCAAAAAATATAATAAACAGGTGATGAACCATTTATCAAGTATGAAAAGAAAATACAAAATTAAATCATACAGTAATTCAGCTAAATTATAAAAAAAAATTGAACACAAAGTAGTGATAAATCAAGTTAAAGGAAAGGAATTTGTCATTCGGTATTAATTATATCAAAGGTCGAAGAAGTTAACAAAATTTATTTAGAGAGATTGTCAACTTCTTCCACCTTTAATAAATCAAGTTGCTTCCAAAGAAACGTAGTTTTAGGAATACTCAAAGAAAGTGTGATAATACCTCCAGTAGGATGACTCTGAGTGTCGTTGGTCTGTTCATCCTCTAAGAAAGTGACTTTTCTTGATTTCCCCTCTGTATTGTCTTTGTCACCTGACTTAATAGAAGGTTTCGCCGGCTGTGGCTGAGGCTTGCTGTAGCCCATGGCAGTTAAGAGTGCCTCGGCAGCGGCTCTTTTCGCCAGTTTCTTGTTAGGTCCTATTCCTTGAGCTGAATGCTGTCCAACAGTGACTTCCATGATGAATTCCCTTCGCCTCGGAGCACCTTTTTCTTCAATTAGATTGTAAACAGGTTCCTTCTCCCGTTTTGCTTGTTGGATCTGAACAAGACGCGAGATCGGATTTACCTCCTCGATAATTTCAGCCTCCTGGCGTGGCTCCTGATAAACTTTAATCAAGTTTCGCGACTTCTTCTTAGTTGTTGGTGGCTTTCGTTTAAGACGTAAAGTTCGCGGTTGTATATTCGCCTGTATTGCTGGCAGTCGTTTTAACTCCTCCAACATTGCCTCTGCTGCTCGTTTTTTCGACACCTTCAAAGTAAATATTAAAATCGGATAGTAAATAACATATAGTACATTTAAATTTTAATGTTTGAATGTATTTAAATGTTAGTGTCTAAATTTAAATTTTAAAAACAATTTGAATGGTGTCTTACTTTCTTTGAGGATCCTTCACCAACTGTCATTTTCTCGCCCACTGAACACTTGGTCATGAATGTACGAATGTGAGGCTTTCCACTTTCAGAGACAACTTCGAAAGTTACCGACAATCCTCTCTTCAATGCGGTTTCGTGGACTAATGAAACGGGACTTTTTAATTCCGCATTTGGATCATCAATACTGCTTATTGTTCCGTTCTCATTCGGGGCACACGTATTAGCGATTTCCTCGGGCAAAGGAAGTTGACGCAGTTGTTCAAGAGCTCGGCCGGCTGCGTCATGTCGAGCTGCTTGTCCTGTCATTCCCCTTCCTATAAACTCACGTTCTCCGACCTATCAAGATAAACAATAAATCGGTGTCGATCAACTGTCATTTTCAATTTCCCGAATTTCCTTTCTTAACACTTTATTTATATGTTTTTATTATTATTACATTTGGGTCAAATTTCATACTTGATCATGGATTTTTCAATTTTTTTTTTTAAACTGTTGTAAATTTTGTAATTTAATATGAAAACTTTAAGTCTAAAAATATGTTCAAAAAGATTAGATGTCAATATTCCAATATTCAAAAAGGCGAAGCCAATATTGAGAATGATTTTTAAGAAATCAATCTGATTTGTTTCAAACTTGTCACTCGGGGTTTTCTGAGATTTCTCAATAAGAATCTCAACTAAAAAATATTCGATTTTCAAAAGAAAACTTCTTCAAGCATTCATGTACTATAAAATATACAACTTGGAAACTTTTAGAATAAATTATATTTTTCTAAAATCTTCCCTCGCACAAAACTACATTTACCCTATGTTTAAAAAACATTGAAACATCCACGATTAACTTTGATTTTTTTCAGGAAATTTGACCCATTTCAGAATATAGAATAATTTTCCTTATTCTCAGACTTCGCACTCGATAATTAATTTTAAAAAAGTAGCAGAAAGTAGCTTTCAAACTTAAAAAAGTAGTGAAAAAGTAGCTATCGAAAAATTAAACTTGACAACCAAAAAAACTCCTTTTAGACAATTCACAAAACTGACAAAAATCCCATTCCCTATTTTTTATTTTCCTGACTTTTTCCTAATTTTCATCAAAAAATATTTACTTCTTTCTTATCCTGATGCTAATAAATTGAATTCCTTCAACGAATTTTATTATTCATCAAAGAATTTCAATATTTATAAAAATAATTCAATACTTGTGAAGAATTTTATTAAAATTTTTAAAGAATTGATTTCTTTCGACTAATTTTAAGCAAATTATAATTTAAATCATTGATTTCCTGAGAAATTTTTATCATTCACGAAAATAATTGAATTTTTAAGAAGATTTTTACAAAATTTTTTTTAAATAATTGAATTCTGTTTGCAAATTTTTTGAAAATAGTAAATATTGAAAATCATTGAATTGCGAAAAGTTTTTAAAAATAATTAAATATTACAAAGAATTCTATTAAAATTTTTGACAATAATTGAATGTCTGTGTGGCATTTTATTGAATTTTTTTTGAAAATAATTGAATTCCTAAAAAGCATTTTATTATTTATGAAAATAATTGAATTCTTGCGAACGATTTTATTAGAATCCTTGAAAATAATTGATTTTTCAAGAAGAAGTTTATTACTTTTAAAAATAATTGAATTCTTGTGATGAATATTGTTATTTATCAAAATAATTGAATTTTGCTAAAAATTTCATTAAAATACCTCAAAATAATTGAATTTTCAGGAATAATTTTGTTATTTATTAAAATATTTGAATTCTTGGGAAGAATTTTATTAAAATCTAAAAGAATAATTGAATTATTTAAAAAAAATTTAATTAAAATTGTATTTAAAATAATTGATTTCTTTCGAACAATTTTATTAAAATTTTTGAAAATAATTTGAATTGCTGTAAAAATTTCTAATATTTTTGTAAATAATTGAATTTTCCCAAAGAAGTTAAAAAAAACAATTTATTTAAATAATTGATTTTTTCGAGGAATTGAAATTAAATTTTTAAAAATAATGACATTTTTCGAGCAATTCTTGTAAAATTGTATTAAAAATAATTGAAATCCGGCGATGAATTTAATAATTTATGAAAATAATTGAATAGTAGCAAAGAATTTTATTATTTATGAAAATAATTGAATTATTGCGAAAAATTGTATTATTTATAAAAATAATTGAATTTCTAAAAAGCATTTTATTATTTATGAAAATAATTGAATTCTTGCGAACGATTTTATTAGAATTCTTGAAAATCATTGATTTTCCAAGAAGAAATTTATTACTTTTAAAAATAATTGAATTCTTGCGATGAATATTGTTGTTTATCAAAATAATGGAATTTTGCAAAGACTTTTATTAAAATGCCCCAAAATAATTTAATTTTCGGGAATAATTTTATTATTTATTGACATAATTGAATTCTTTTGAAGAATTATTTATGTAAATAATTGAATTCTTAGGAAGAATTTTATTAAAATCTAACAGAATAATTGAATTATATATGAAAAAAATTTAATTAAAATTGTTTTAAAAATAATTAATTTTTTTTCCAACAATTTTATAAAAATATTTGAATTCCTGTGAAAAATTCGAACATTTTTGTAAATAATTGAATTCTTCCAAAGAATTAAAAAAAAAAAATTTGTTTAATAATTGATTTTTTCGAGAAAATTAAAATTTAATTTGAAGAATAATTACATTTCTCGAGCAATTCCTGTAAAATTGTATAAAAAATAATTGAAATTCTGTGATGAATTTTATAATTTATATGAAAATAATTGAATAGCTGTTAAGAATCGTATTAAAATTTTCAAAAATAATTGAATTCCTGAAAAAAATTTTATTTTTTATGAAAATAATTGAATTATTCCGAAAAATTTTATTTAAATGTTTAAAAAGAAAATTGAATTTCAATGGAAAATGTTATTTTTTTAAATAATTGAATTCTTTATAAGAATTTCATAAACATGGTTTCAAATAATTAATTTTCTTCGAAATATAATAAATATTATGAAAATTTTAGTTTAAATAATTAAATTCTTGTGCAAATCTTTATTTGTGAAAATAATTGAATTTTTTTATTAATTAATTGAAAATAGTATTAAAAATAATTGAAATTCTTCAATGAGTTTTATTATTTATAAAAATAATTGAATTCTTGCTTAGAATTTAATCAAAATTTTTTTTAAAAAAATTGAATTTCCATGAAAAATATTATTAGTGAAAGTAATTGAACTATTGTGAAGAATTGTACAAAGATTTTGTTAAATAATTGATTTTTTCGAAATTTTTTTTGAAAATGCTATTCTAAATTAATTAAATTCCTGTGGAAATTTTATTATTTATGAAAATAGTTGAATTTTGGATGAATGTTATCAATTTTTCTAATAATAATTGAATTGTTTTGCCAAATTTGATGAAAACACTAGATATTGAAAATATAATTTCGAATATTTTTTGGAAATAATTGAATCGTTTTAAAGAATTTGAGACTATAATTTTTGAGAAGTTTTTTGATTTCTAGTATTAGCGAATTTAAAGTAGTGAAAATTCTCAAAAAGAACAGAAATAGTAGCTTTTAGAGTCTGAAATCTAAAAAAAGTATCCAAATAGTTGCATAACGTGAAAAAAGTAGTAAATAGTATAGGTTTTAGTGGATGAGTGCGAAGCCTGTATTCTTAATAATAAACTTCCATGCAAAATCTGAAAAATATTATATTTTTGAAGAAAGGAAAGAACCTTTAATGTAACGAGGTAAAATCCCTGAGGTTCTGGATGGTATCCACGATTGTAGGTTGGGTAACGTGGAGGAAACATCCGAGGAAAGTTTCCAAAGCCGTGTGCCACGAACTGCTGTGGAGTGGCTGGTGGTGCGTGTCTAAAAGTGTAGACTGTTGGTTCGCCCCTTTTCATCGCTAAAGCGTTAAGTTCAACAGTTGGTGGCAAATGACCTGCAAAAAAATTTTAAGGTTCCATGAATTGATTATTATAGAAAACAATTTGTTTTACTACGTCTCTTTTTGCAGATATTGTGCAAACGCTAAAACAGTTTGTTAATTTAAAACCAAATTCGTATTAAAAACGAAATCACTCTGACAAAAATCAAGTTGGTGAAATTTTTAGAAATTCACAAATTGGGAAATATATTTAGCTACAATAGAAATAAAGTAAATTACCGGAAGCAGCAGGACATTTGCCAGGAACCCTCAGTGCTCTCGGTGGTTTCGGCGGCGGTTGTCGATACCATGTTTTTGTCAGCGCCTCACTCGCAGCACTATGTTGAGCCTTCTTTATGCTGGGTCCTTCAGCGACGTATTCCTCCTCGCCAAGTTTCAGAGTCACGGTGAATCTCTTCTTATGTGCTGGTCCCTGCTCATTCGTTAATCGATATTGGTGTTGAATTTTATTAAACCTAGCCAGCTCATTTACTAAGCACATTGGTGTCTTTTCTTTCATGTTTGCCAAATTTGAATTCGTCCCGTTGGCATGATTTTGCATCGAATCATCATTAAGAATAGAATCATCATTTCCCTCAATAATTGTCAATTTATTTTGTTCAATTGTATTCTTTTGCGCCTGAATATTCGCCTGATTTTGGAGGGTCATTATTTGATCTTTAGCCAACGTTACTTGTAAATTAACATTAACCATCGTCCCTGTTAAGAAACAAAAGAAAACAAAATTCAACACCATAAGAAAATATTACAAAAATTTCGAAAATAATAAAAAAGTTCTTAATTAAATTGAATTCTTTTCAATTATTATAGATATATCTTTTCATTATAGATATAAGTTGACGAAATACATATCTGAAAAAAAGTTGCGAGTGTATAAGAAATAAAAGAATTAAAAATTATAAAATTATAAAATGGGGAAAAAAATAGAAAACTAAAGTGTTTAATTTTAATATAAATAAATAGTAAATTGCGATCGATTTTTGATAATGAAATATTTTTAATTATTTGACCTTATGGTGGGCTATAGTTGTAATTTTAATTACTGTCAAAGAGATGTAAAATTATCCAAAACCTGAAAGCAAACAGACCTGTAAAACAGCCCGTTGTACCAAAAAGTTCATGCCAATTGTCTGGGAAATCGATGAAAGGCACTTCAATTTTTCCGGCTTCTGATCCGACAAAAAGTATGAGGAAAGTTGTGAGAACAAGTACGCGATGTAGTGCTAATAAAAATAAAAATTGCGATACATACTTCTTTTGAAATGATACAATTCTTTTCTCATATTTAACTATATTCGTATTCAAAGAATGGAATGTTTCATTTAAATAATTAAAAGATTTGGCCAATTCAACACCAATTCGATGCACTGATTTTTATTCGGTTAACTGAAATTTAGCTCTAGATTTGTAAATTCGTGTCTTTAGTATACTGATTAATGATTCCTTTAAATAATTTCTTTAAATTCACAAATTTAGTAGATTTGAAAACTTTTCGTTCCTATTTCAATCAAAATTAAGTTTCGGTTTTTTGACAAACGCTTCAAGTTCTTAAAATTTAACTTCTTTTTCATGATCTATGTATCTTTTTGAATAAAAATAAAAACTTTAAAAACATTTTACTTAAAACTAAAAATTAAATTTTTCATAACTATAAATTTCTTCATGTTTTATAATAATTAAAAGATCACCAAGTGATAAAATCATTCTCAATTCAATTATTATTTTCAAGAATTTTTAACTAAAATAAAAATTTAAATTAATTTAATTTTAATTTTAATTTTCAATAATATTCGAAAAAGTTCTTTGACAATTTTTAAATTCAATTGTTTACAATATTCAATTTTACTTGAAATTTCAATTATTTGTAAATTCTTCAATTAAATATATCAAATAATATAAAAAAATTCAATTAAACTTTTTTTAAAAAAATTAATTTCAAAATTCAATTATTTCTAAAAATTCACGCTACCTATATGTATTTTAAAATTCAATTAAACTTTTTAAAAAAAAATTAATTTTAAAATTCAATTATTTTTAAAAATTTACGCTTTATTTTAATATTCAATTATTATCTAAAATTTTAACTGAATTTCATTTTTCAATCAGTTTTTTTTTAGAAAATTCTACAAGAATTCAATTATTTATATACAAAAGTGAATAATTTATTGAATTCTCATAAAAAGAATTTTATCAACAAATTTTTAAATAATTGAAATGTTATAACGAATTTTAATAAAGTTTATAAGAATTATTACATTTTTCCAGGAATTCAATTAAAATTGTATTAAAAATAATTCAAATTCTGTTATGAGTTTTATTATTTATGAAAAAAATTGATTTTCCTAAACAGAATTTTATTATATTAAAATAATTGAATCTCTGTAAAAAATATTATTATTTATGAAAATAATTGAATTATAGCGAAAAAATTTATAAAAAATTTGTCTCTAAATAATTGAATTCCAGTGAAATTTTTATTACTTATGAAAATAGTTAAATGGAGATGTAGATGTTAAAATTCATTGAATTGAGAAAAACTTTTGAAAATAATTGAATTACGAAGAATAATTTTAATATTTATTTAAAGAAAACTGAAATTTTTACGAGAATTTTGTTCAATTTTCGAAAATAATTGAATTTTTGTGAAGAATTTTATTATTTCTGTTGAAAATAATTGGATTTCTATAATTTAAAACCTTTTATAAAATTCAATTATTTTTTAAAAATTCACGCTATAATGATTTTAATATTCAATTATTATCTTAAATTTTAACTCAAATTCATTTTTAAATCAATTTTCGGTATAGAAAATGCTACTAGAACTCAATTATTTAAATACAAAAATAAATAATTTATTGAATAATAATTGAATGCTTCATAAAATTAAATTCTTATAAAGAATTTTATCAACAAATTTTTAACTAATTGAATTCTGCCACGAGTTTTATTATTTATAAAAATAATTGAATATACATCCTAAAAAGAATTAATGAAAATAATTGAATGATTGCGAAGAAATTTATGAAAAATTTGTAAATAATGGAATGTCTGTGAAATTTTTATTGTTTTATAAAAAATAATTAAAGGCTTGCGTAGAATTTTATTGAAAAATTTTTGAAAATAATTGAAATTTTGCCAAGAATTTTATTAAAATTTTTGAAAATAATTGAATTTTGAAGAAAAATTTTATTAGTTTTGAAAATAATTGAATTTCTGCAATCATTTGTAATTTCTCTAAAATTCTCAAAATTATGTCGTACATTTTACGAACTTTTCGTTTATTCCTAATCAAATTACCGACTTGACGGACCTTTTCTTTAAAAAAAAATGACTTTTACGGACTTCAAGCAAATTTACGGATTTAGTTCGAGCCCTGCAAACTGCAATACGATTTTTATTTTTAAAATCAAAAATCAGTTAAACAGAAGACTTAGGTAATGTACACACTTTGTTTGAAAAAAGTACAAAAATTTAAAAATATATTATTAGTATTGCAAATTAAAAGAAAGTATTTAGTCATTGTTTATTACTATACTAAATACACAAATTCGTAAAATTAAAACCAAATATGAATCAATGTATCGAATTAATGTCAAAAACATCATTTTAAATAATTTATAGCTTTCGCTTATGTGATACTTTCAAAAATTGAATAAAGTAACAAAGAATTAATATTTACAGAATTTATTAATATATTATTATTATAAAAACCAGATGAGTCAGATTATATTAAATACTATAAATTTCCGTTCATTATTAATTCATTCTATATAATAAATCTGATGCTTTTAAAATTTATTCTACATTCACTGGTGTGTATGATGATGAACAAGGTGACAATGATGGGTATTTTTCCGAAAACAAAGGGCATGGCAGGTCGGCAATCTAAAGTATTATTCCCAGAAAAAAAAAAATTTTTTTTTTAAATTTTTTAAAAATTAAAAAATTTTTTTTTGTTTAAAAAAAATAATAAACAATTGCTTCCCAAAAACGGTTGAACTGATTTTACTAAATTTTATAATATGTTATGGCTATAAAAAGAAGATTTGAAATGTGGAAAAAGAAAGTAAAATTATGATAAATACATAGAATATAAATAATGGTTTAGACATACGAATCCTTTTCGTTCCATTACGTCAAGATTTTTTGTAACCGCAAAAAACATTTGGATTTTTGATGATATAAGAATTTTTTTTAAAATTGATCAATTTGTTTTGAAACTTAGTATATATAGGGATTCTTGAGGTCGCTGATTCCGAATCTAAATCACTATCTTTTCAAAGTTTGTAAACATATTATTTATCATCATTTCCCAATTTTAAAGCAAATTACTTTAATATTTTTGGGCTCTTCAAAAATACCTTTCTCGTTTTTTAAACTACTCCTTTTGGTCAAAAAACTACTCTGACCTATGGGAATTGACATAGGGGCGTGGCTTATTCAATATGGCGGCTTATATACCTCAAAATAGTGCAAAATACACGTGTAATATCAAATTTTTTTTCCAAAATGCTAATTAAAATAGAAAATATTTTTGCTTGGGCGAATACGACTTCTTCCCATAGAAACATGATTGAAGGAAATCGCGTTCTTAATCCCAATTATATTATTATGATTGGAAAACTTAAAAATAATGACATTGACAATATCAGTTTGACAAAGCTGTCGCTTTGTGTTTGCAAACGTCTAATTTGAAAGAACTGCCGCATGAAATTAATAATTATTAATTATTATTTATGTTGTCTTTTTTCTTCATTTATTACAATTTATTTATAAATTTCATTTTTAAAATGAAAAACATGATTAAAATTTTGTTTACTATAGGTTAGGTTACTCCAAAACAATTTTCAACTGTAAATAATTAAAAAACAAAGAAGCACACTCTTTTCTTGATTGTAACTTTATTTAATTTCACAGCGATTTTCTAAGCCTTTAATTTATCCATTTTTTCTCCCTCCAAAAAAAATATTCAACTTCTACCATGCAATAATTTGGTTTTGGAAATCTATGTAGAGATACTAATAAGTCTTTTTTTGCATTACTGTTACATCCAGAAAGTGAACAATTATCCCGATAAGAAGTTTTAGAACGATTTACTAGCTTTACACCTTCCATTTTTCGAAAATTAAATACATTTACATTTGACACTGTTAACTTTGATCAAATCGGGGTATTTAAATAGTTTGATTTTCCGCCACCAGTTGGCGTCCGATTTATGTCAATTCCCAATTACGGATTTAGAAAATATTTTCGGGTGGGGCGATTGTATTAATCTTATCCTCCCTCCTAGAATTAATATGAAGCACCTTACGAGATACCTACATTACTTATCAAAATCTTAGGTGAGGTGATCGCCGCGTCTGCTCCCAATGTAGATCCACCACTGACCAAAAAACAAAATTACACTGAAACCCCACTTATTTAAAGTCTCATTTACTTAAAGTCGCTTTTATTTGAACCCGTTTTTGCTTCAGTTATTTTTAGTTAGAATCGTTAGAATCAGCCCTAACCTCACTTATTTTAGCTCATGCGCAGTACGCGACCAATGGAAAGAGACTTACATTCTCATTGGTTGAGTTTAAACAAAACCAACCAATCATGTCAATTTATCGAATTACGTCACCAAAATAGGTTATGTCGACCAAAATACAAATAAACGCGACACTTCGTGTCGAATTGCGTGGACCATGTTCAAATAAGTGGGGTTTCAGTGTATCTAACTTGCAGCGAATGCCTCAATTTATTAGCTAATTAAATTAACTGCGAAAATTACTTATTGAAATCAAATAAAAAACTGATTTTTAATTATTTGAAAAGAAGCATAACAGAGCATAACTTCTTATATCATAATTCTCATAAATTCTCTACTGCGAGGAGAACTGACGTTCACTTACCCTGTGTGAAATAAATTATGCACATGTACTTTTCGTGAAACATTCATTTCCATCAATTTTGTTTAGGAGGAACAAATGTCAGTTCTTCCTTTTTAAAAGAAGGCTCTCAATAAATATTATCTATTACCGTGCTACCCGTCAGTCTAGCACTTGACAGTTACTACAAAGTATAAGGAAAAATAAAAGCAAAAGTGCAAAAGACAAGGAACAAGAAAAGGCATACCATTTTGACTCATCATGTGTCGCTGGTTACTGTGTGACATCACTGGATGTTGAATATGATGAGGTATATGAGTCTGTTGAGTGTGATTGGACATCGAGAGAATTTGATGTCCAGCATGCGGATTCCGATGCGAATGAGGATGCTGAGGCTGTTGAGGGGGGGCCATACTTGCCTGTTGCATCGGACGCATCGGTCCTTCCATTCTTAAATAGAATCAAATATAGGCAAATTTTACTAAATATTTCAACATTATTTTAATAGAATACATTTTTTTAACTTAATCGTCTCCATCACTTTTTTCAGTGATTATCATTATCCGTCTAATATTAACTCTTTATTCGGTAAATATAGTGTTAACATTCTGCCGTCCTAATAAAAATAGTCGGTACTTGCAAATTTAAAATGCCGGACAAAAAAATTTTAAAGTTATCAGATTGAGCTGAAAATACTTACTAGGAGGTTTTTGAGGTCACTGAATTCAAATTTGATGGCAGATTTTCAAAATACAAAATGATAGATTTCCAGCTCGATCCGACAACTTTAAATTTAATTTGGCTGCCATTTTTAGTCATTTCAGTTATTTGTGACTGAATATGGTAAAGAATCAACCTTCAACCCCTATTTTCAATGTCAATGTTTTTATCAACAAAAATTTATACAGGGAGAACTCCATCCCAGCGTGGCATTTGAATATTCCTGGTAAAAAGGCTTGAATAGAAAGGTATTAAAAATTATTTCTTCAGACGAATTCATGGATATTTTCAATACTTCTGAATTCCTTTTTTCTTAGTTCATAACTACATTTCAAAGTTGAGCACCATTAATTAATCCGGACACAAAAATTTCATTAAATACCCATAAAAAATTATTATTGATTTTTCATTTATTCCCTAAAATTCAGTTTTAAAAAAAAATTTTATTTGAAAATCTAAATTTTATTTTTATTTTATATATTATTTATTTATATATTTTTTTAATTTACATTATAAAATTATATTATTTTATCAAAGAATTATAAAATTAAACCTACTGATGGAAATAAAAAATTGAGATTTAGTTAAAAAAAAATTTTCTTTATAAATAATTTCATAAAAACATTTATTGGCAATCTGGTAAATAATATGATTTCGTGTTCACAAAGAGAAGAAATGCATACACAAATATTTAAAGAGCATTTTGGTTAAGACACTTTTGTAAATAAATGCTGAGATAGCATAATTTTCTCAAAATACACAACTTGTTTATTGTTCTTTTTTAGTCTTAGTAATTGACGCACTTACCTTATATTAAAATCTAACGAAAGAACCGAAAGTGCAGGTAAATTTAATACAAACATATTTTAAATATTATCTTTGTGACTAATTTTTCAAGAATTAAGTAATATATTCAATAACTTCTCACTGAGTGTCCGATAATCGGCTTTTCATTTTGTTTTCTTAGTTTCTTATGCACATTATTCTTTTCAAATTATTTAAATATTTAAACGAATAAAAATATTATTTAGTATTTTACATTATTTATTATTTAAATTATTTAAAGAATAAATAATAAAACTGAACTTAACAGAATTGTATTGAATTAAATTATTAATTAATTAATTGACTTACAATAATTGAAGTATTTGCAGATTTTTTAGACATTTAATGAGTTTGTTAGCAACGTTTTTTGTTTCTTAAGAAATTTTTTTCACATTTTAAACAAAATGTTATTATTTAGAAACACTCTGAGGATGGTATTCAATTTGTACCGAAACGAGTTTTTTTTGTAATTATTTGAATTAAATTCGTAAATTAAATTTGAATTTGAATTAAAATCATTTGACCAAAAAATAATTAATAATTTTATTATTTCCACAAAATTAATATTTCCTATTCGGATATGGTTAAAATTTTAAGCTGCGCTTATACTTAACAGACTGCCAAGTTTTACTTTTATCGGTAGAGTCGTTTTTAAGTAATGCCCGTACAAAATATCTCCAACAGACAGAAATTTTATTTATGGCACATTTGCAATCTTTACTACTTAAAACGATATATTATGGAAGGAAAATTTCATTTTTAGCAATGTACAGACAAAAGTCCGATTTTATTAAAAATTTTTAAAACTTATCCTTTGCATTAAAACGAATATCATTTAACTTCTTAAATTAAAAAAATCCATAAGTAGAATTACAGTTGCAATTTTTAGAAATAATCTATTATTTTATCACTTATTTTGGTATTTAAATGATTAAATTCTCGTTCAACTTTTTAATAAAAAAATGTCAGTTAAAATTTAGGAAAATATTTGAAGAATTAAGATTCTAAATTTTAGAAATAATTACACGGAGAGAGAATATATATTAAATTTGGTAAAAGTATTTTACAAATTGGGGAAAAGTGCGACAAAGCGAAATTTTGATATAAAAAATACTAAACTTTAAAAAAACTTATGTGAAATTTATTAAAGTTATATTAGAATTTAATATTGATATAACTTTAATAAAATTTTTAATTAATTTAAAAATTTTTAATTTTAAATTAATTTACAAATTTTACAATGAAAAATTGAAAAAATAAGAAATTTTCACAAATTTCATTAAAATAAATTTTATATTTCAAACAATTTTATTTTCTTACTTAAAAAATTATTTTTCGAAGATTATAATTACTTTGTTAAAATTCTGAAAAATAATTGAATATCAGTATATTTTAGAGAAATAATTAAATTTTAAAAGGTTTTTAAATTTAAATCTTTTTTAATATTTTAATCGCCGTAAAAGTATAATTATAATTTAAATGTTTATTTAAAAAAATTATTAATATATTATTTTCTTTTAAAAACTATTAAATTCTTGAATAATTTTATTCAAAAAATAATTGTCTTTTGGAAAAATTGCAGTTGCAATTTTTAGAAATAATTAAATTTCAAAAGGTTTTACATGGAAATTATTTAAAATTTCAGTTAAAATAAATAAAAATAAGTTTTCAAATATTTGTTTAACAAAAATAATTGAAACTTTGAAAAATTAAATGTAGAAATTTAAAAAAACTTAGTTTTTTGAAAAATTGTAATTAACATTTTCTTTAAGACAATTGAATTGTTTTGATTAAATTTGATTAAAAAATGTAGAAATTTACAAAAAATTAGTTTTTTGAAAAATTGTAATTAACATTTTTTTTTAAAGACAATTGAATTATTTTTAAAAAAGTTTTTCTGGAATGATTAATAAAGCGATTGGCCTACAATTTGTTTAGAAAGAATTGTAAAATTGAAAAGAATATTCTCGAACGTTTTCTCTAGGAGAAAGCAAATTGCTTATCACAATGAGGAAGGTAAATTGTCATGAAATGAACAACTTGTCAGAATTTTGTTATCAGACTAGAAATGTAAAAACAGTGTTAAACTTAAAGGCGAATTTTTTTCAATTAGTTTCCATAATAGCATAAATATTTACTTACAACTTTAATTTTCAAACGTCTCGACTTATTTAAAAAAAATGACATAGCTAAAAAATCGTTACTAAAAAGAACAAGCAGCATTTTTAAACAAGCTGGTAAAAAATGATTAAATTTGAACAAGATTGATTAATAGAAAAGTGATTGACTTGTTTTTGTTTCGATCTCAGTAAATAAATTCGAAACCCAAAAGAGTTCAAGGATGACATTTTCTTCCGGAGAAATCAATCTTGTATTAAAAAATTGTGTAATAAAAGAAAACGTTAGCGAGCAAAAAAACCAAATACTAAGATCTATTAAAAATAAACTTATTATACTTTATACAGAAGACGATAAATCGTTTTTAGAAAATTTATATTCAAATGTTTCTCTACCCGGTAAAACTTGTATAAAATGTTGGTAATTTTCGGCTTTTTATTTAAAAACATTTGCAAAATAAGGAACACTAATTGAACAACTAAAAGGCAGTAAAGTTATTGTAAATAAATTTTCACTTCTTTTTAACTGTCAAATTAGGGAAATTATTGTTAATATATGAATTTTAATAAATAAGTGGATATTCAATGGGCTTGGTCCGGCAATATGAAAACTTATTCTTTTGGAAGATATTCTTACCAAAGTATATAGGTTATTAAGAAAAATCTCAGCTGTTTCGTCGATAAAATTTTCGGCGAAACAGACGATGTCACTTTTTCACAATCACTGTCAGGCCCTATTAAACAACTATTGGCAAACAGTAAAGAAAACGAATCTGCAGACTAAAATGCGGCCATTTTGCTGTAGACTCTACTGCTCAAAAGGAAAGATTGATTTACTGCTACTATCATTAATCGAATTATTATCGATTGTTCGATAGTCGATTGGTAAAGGCCAATGCACAATTGTGTCCGGGAGTTCTTACATGAGATAGAAAAGGATAGGTGTGAGGGTACATTTATACACTATAAAGGTGCATTTACAATAGTTTTAAAATAAATTTGTTTTGTCTGATCCAACGTAATTGCACATTTTGCATATGAATTTAATTTAATTCACTAAATTCAAAGCAAATTATCGTAAATTCATATGCAAAATGTGCAATTACACTCAATAACATATAATATGCTTTACTTCCGGTTTGGACAACTTTTTGAAAAGTTGCTTTCTATAAGAATGTTTTAAGTCTATGGACACAAAGTCCTGTGTTGAGCAAAAAACGCAAATCAAAACACTTCCGGTTTGACGGCATTCTAAAAAATCGTGACACATCTATCAAAATTTTGTTAGTTCGTGACCTATGAACGAGCCAACACTGTAAAAAAATCTGGTGTAAAATAACACGAAACTTGTAATTTCACACATCAAAATTATAGGTTGTACGTAGTAAATTTATTTCGTTCCAAAAGTAGTTTTACTATTTTTAATAATTTTACATTATACGACTATGTAATTTAATAGTTTTGTGTAAATTTACTACGTCCGACGTAGGAAAATTTGATCACTATGTCCGACGTGGTATTTTTACATTGCGTGTATTTCTACACTTTGACGTAATATTACGTCGCACGATCTGTACAATTACATGGCGAATGTAATTTTCTTATTCCTTTAAGATTTTCAAAAAATTTTCAAGTTTTTATAAATAACTCTAAAAAAGTGTATATAATGTACATTTATAGAAAGTATATGCTAATTTATAAGTAAATAATAATATAACAAAAAGTTTTGGGCTATATTTCATAAATACAAAAAGTTACGATTGAAAATATTATTTCAAAAAATATTTGCAGGTTATGTAGATTACAGTCGGCGTGTAAAAATACCACGTCGGACATAGTGACCAAACTTTCCAACGTCGGACATAGTAAATTTACAGCAGATTTTTTACAGTGAAGAAGACTAGAGACAGGAGGAGTAACTTCGATGTATTCCTGTAGAGAGCGGTGGCAGAAAATGTGAGGGCAATGGAGGCGGATAGTTGAAAATGTAGTTTGTGCAATAGACCAAAATTAGGTTTCTGCGCACGCTGATTATTCAAACGATTCAGATTCAAACACGCGCTAAAAGAAATCTTTTTCCACGTGCTGCACATTGTCATTGTGTGATATTGTGTTTACCGCAAAGTTTTTATGAAAACAATTTAAGTTGTTTTTAATTACCTACTACGTATTACAACTAATTTTCCAAGGTTATTTTTTAAAGTTATGAAATAAACGTCCACCTTCTATCAATATAATATGAATACAAACCAAGGTTTTTTTGAGGTTATGAAATAAACATCCAACTTTTATCAATACAATTATTAATAATTTCTAATATTTTTTCGACATTAGTTTGGGATTGCAATTTATCAAATTTCTTTCAGTTTACTACCTTATTATGTCGATGAATTTCAAAGTCAAAGAATCATAATCGTTAAAATAACCTCTTCATAATATAATATATGACATTTCTATGTTTTGACGTCTGCTATTCTCTCTCATCTTTTTCCACTACTTGCGCAGTAACCTATTTTGCGTTTCTGCACTAACTACATTTCTATATTACTACTTCCCCCATTGTCCTCATCTACCAAGCCATCCCCACTACCCGAGTTATCCCTCCTGTCTCTAGTCTTCTTGGAACGAGCTTATACGTCACGAACTAACAACATTTTGATAGATGTGTCACGATTTTTAAAAACGCCGTCAAACCGGAAGGAAAGCATTGAAGCATCAGGGTGTACATGTGAATGCACCCTAAGGCTAAAAAGTATAAAAACCGGAAGTTTACACGTTTACCTTCAAATGCTGTGATTTGCGTTGAATAATGAGTGAGAGAATGACAGATATATACTTCTAACCTCGTTCCACTCATTGCTCAACGTATTATGCGCAGCGATCAAACCCTTGTGAACAGAGCCTAAATGCTCAAGCGTTGCCTGCTCAGTGCGAATTCAACAAATTCATATTTCATGCCCGGTCTAATTTTCGCTTTTTCGCTTGTGAGTGTTGATATGTCGGTAGTAGGTTCTTAAATTATAAAAATGGAAATGCTTTTTGAAATATGTTTTTTAAAATAAATATCCAAGCATTCTAAATTGAATTATAGCTAGTGATATTATCTGTAGATATTTATATTTGTATAGTGAATTAATAAATTTCTGTTTCGATGCAATAAACAGAATATTAAACGAACAAAGCTGAACCTCTTGAGATGAAGGAATCTTTTAAAAAGGCATGCGTCAAGTAGGTTAAATCTTAAATGACATTGTTATTCTTTTAAATGTGTATAATTGTTTTTTTCTGCACTGAGCATGTTATTAAATTGAGTAAGTTACTTTATTATTTTTCTCTAAATATTTCGCTTTAATCATTTTTCTTCTAAACTTAATAATTTAATTTCAAACTTATAGCCTTAGTTTCTGATTTGTTTAAAAACTATAGTATGACTAGTGAACAATTATTTATTTATTGTGTGTAAAGTTTCATTGAAACAAGTATCAACAAAAAAAAAAATCTATTCCAATACAGTAGGTTGAATTTATTTTATTCATTTTATTCGAATTCAAGGATTTGACATTTTAGTGAAAAGAAAGTTGATTTTCTATTAATTTTTTTTTAAAAAATGAAAACGTGAAGAATTGTTTCGAAATTAATTTAAAATGATTTATTCCTTGTTTCTTTAATTACTGTTGATATTAAGTAAAGTTTACATTTCTGAAATAAGTTTGAGTTGAAATCATTTATTGCCTTATTTCAGTGATTAGATTTAAGTGCACAATAAGCTATTAAATATTAATTAAAATTCGTTTTCAATTTCAAAATCACTGTTAATAGTTGGTAAAATTTGTAAATAGAGATAGTTGAGGAATTTCTATTAAATATTAAAATATTTATACCTAGGTACATATATTTATAAGTGAATGTCAAGACAACTTAAATAATCACACAGTTCGAGATATTTCATTGTCAAAGAGCTTCCAGTCAATTTTTGTAAGATTTATATTTTTACATTGTTGTTGTTTTTATAATTTAATTTTCTGATTTGAAATGTGAAACAGTTTTTTTTGTAATTTATTTATTTTTGTGACAAGTCAATAATATTTTTTAAATTCTATTTGTTTCTTAACTTATTGTAATTTTGTCTGTTTTGCCAGTTGATTCAAATTTCATTTTAATTATTTCAACTGTCAGATACTTAATCGTAAAGAAATTCATGCGATAAATTTATCAGACATTTCTCGGGAAGTGAATCAAGTGAAAAGTGAAATAATAGAAAAAGATTTTCATAATTTTAATTTGTCAATAATAATTTTTTGATACAAAATTTTCAGTTTCTTCTGAAAAAAGAATTTTTTATTTATTTATATATTCATTTTTTTTTGCTTTGTCCCAACAATATTTTAAAATTATAAACAAAAATTATGCAAATTTTTTTCATTATTTCAAAAAAAATTGTACCTAATTGAAAAATCAGAAGTCGTGATAGGGCAAATTCATTATTAAAGGGCAATAATGTTTATAAATATTTAATTTTAAGGAAGAATTAATGAACTTGAGAAATTAACGCGAGACATTATTTTTTATACACTAATCTCCTAGAATGAGGAATGTAAATAATTGAATAATTTATCCAATTCGATCGTTGATGTGCTAAAAAAATGCAATTTTTATATCTTTTGCTAACTTTTATTGTTTATTTTATCATTTGATAAATTTCCTGATAAGGAAATCATTTAGACTTCGAAACAGAGCAAATTTCTATTACAAGACCATTTATCCGAACGTATGCCTTATTAATTTCGTGCAATTCAATTTTTATTTAATTTTTACTTTAAATAACAGTAAAAGTGAAATTGAAACAAAAATATTTACAAATTCACTGGTCAATTTTATAAATTTGTAAAATACTGCGTGAATATCAGGAGAATTTTCTTCTTCAATGAAATAATAAAGTTGATGATTTAATTTATTTAAAGTATTATTATCTGACAGATTTCTAAGCTATTTACTTGAACCAATTTTATATATATTTTCTCGAGAAAGATAAATTAATTTTTTCTTAATATTATTAACTATATACATATATATATTAATCTACGTATTCTTTCATTCATTCTGTCCACAGTTTGAACTTATAGTTTCTGCGTATGCTTTTGTTTTTTTTTTTCTTTAAAAAATATTGTTAATTGTTTTAATAAAATTCAAAGTTTTTTTAAAACTAAAGGAAAAAAATGTTTATAACTAAATTATAATGTATATAATAAAATTAGAAAATTTCATTGAAAATGAAACTGAAAATTTTTGAATTTTTACAAAATAAGGAAAAAAATTTTATTGAAAAAAATGTTCTGTTAAATTTATTTACGAATATCTTTAATTGTAAAATTATTCAAAAACAATTATTTCTTTTTTAAACATTGTAAATATTTAATTATTATTATTTTTCCATAGGAATTAAGATTTTGAAAAATTTCAAATTCAAATCTTTTTGAAATTAATCAACTTTAAAAATATTGTTATAAAACATAAAGATAACGATTACTCCGAGTCTTCGACTCGGAGTAATCGATTTCTTTATGTTTTATAATAATTAAAGAGTATCGAGTGCTATAATCATTATTTTATATTTTAAGAATACTGGAACTTCTTAAAAATTATTTTCATATTCTTTTTTTATCTAAAATTTGAACTAAAATTAATTTTTAAATCAATTTTCATTAGAAAATTCTACGATAATTTAATTATTTAAATAGAAAAATAAATTTGTATTGAATAATTGAATGTTTCTTCAAATTTAATTCTTATAAAGAATTTTATAAACAAATTTTTAAATAATTGTATTCTTTTGACGAGTTTTAATAAAATTTTTTAGTATAGTTACATTTTTCAAGGAATTCGATTAAAATTGCATTAAAACTAATTAAAATTCTGCGATGAGTTTTATTATTTCCGAAAATAATAAAATTGAATTATTGAGAAAAAACTTATAAAAAATTTTGTAAATATTTGAATTCCTGTGAAATTTTTATTATTTGTGAAAATAATTAAATGTTTTCGTACAATTTTATTAAAATTATTTTTAAATAATTGAATTCTTTTGGGTAATTTTATTAAAACAGTAAATATTGAATGTCATATTGAAATGAGGAAAATTTTTTTAAATAATTAAAATTTTGACAAGAATTTTATTAAATTTTTTGAAAATAATTGAATTTTGAAGAAGAATTTTTTTATTTATAAAGATAATAATTGGGATTTTTGTAAATGATAATTTTTTGTAAATTTTGAACATAATTGAATTTTTGCAAAGAATTTTATTACTTTTAAAAATAATTGAATTGTCGCAAAGAAATTTATAAAAAATTTGTAAATAATTGAATTTCTGGAAAATTTTTATTATTTATGAAAGTAATTAAATGTTTGTGTGTAAATTTATCAAATTTTTTTTTTAAATAATTGAAGTTTTTTGGAAAATTCTTGAAAATAATTGAATTTTGGAGAAGAGTTTTATTATTTCTAAAGAAAATTGAAATTTTGAAGAGAATTTTTTTAAATGTTGAACATAATCTAAAATTTTAACTGAAATTAATTTTGAAATCAATTTTTATTAGAAAATTCTACAAGAATTTAATTATTTGAATACAAAAATTAATAGTTAAATGTTTCTTAAGATTGAATTCCGATAAAGAAATATATGATTAAATTTTTAAATAATTGAATTTTTGTGTCAATTTTTAATAAAATTTTAAAAAATAATTACATTTTTTGTGGAATTTGATTTAAATTGTATTAAAAGTAATTGAAATTTTAAAATGAGTTTTACTATTTATGAAAAAAATTGAATTATTGAGAAGAAACTTATAAAAAATTTGTAAATATTTGAATTCCTGGGAAATTTTTATTATTTATGAAAATAATTAAATGTTTGCGTACAATTTTATTAAAATTGTTTTTAAATTAATTGAATTCTTTTGGGTAATTTCATTAAAACAGTAAATATTGAAAGTCATTGAAATGAGGAAAATTTTTGAAAATAATTGAATTTTGAAGAAGAATTTTTTTATTCATAAAGATAATAATTGGGGTGAATTTTTGCAATCATTTGTAACTTCTTCAAAATTCAATTTTTTTAGTGTTTTTAACTAAAATTCTTAATTATAAATCCATTATTTTTAATAATTAATTAATTACATATTGACAAATTTAACTAATTTTAGAAGATTTTGAATTATTAAAATTTTTCAAAAATCTAAGTTTATTAAAATTTTTAATTAAATTCATTCAACATTGAAGTTTTATAAAATTTTAAATTGAAACCGTTTGAAGTTAATTTATTTATGAAAATTGTAAACGCAACTCTTTTAAAATTGAATTAATTTCGAAATATTCAAGTAAAATTATTCATTAAATAATTTATTTATTTTATGATAGTTGTTCAAGATTTAAGTTATTTAAAAAGAAATTTTTGTCAGAAATTGAAAAAACTGAAGGGTTTGTATTAGAATTCGTGGTAATTTTATAGTTTATGAGTCATACAAAAAAGACACAAAAATGCAGAATTTTTTTATGAATTCTAAAAATTTTATTTTTTTCAGTATTTTTAATAAAAATTCCTGACTTTTCCCTGAATTCCCTATGTCAGTATATATGATTATCATAATTATAATAATATTAAAATTTTATATTCCAATTCATGTTTTATTTTTATAAAAAATAAATTTGAATTAAAAATTTTTACGTTCTATTATTTTTAAAATTACTAATTTTATTTTGAAAAAAAGTGAGTGAGAAATCAGAATTGTTTGCTAGTTTGGTTTTTAATTATCGATGAGTAAAATGATGGGGGAATATAAAACGAAGAGTGTTTGCAATAATAAATTTTTGTTTCTGTTTTAGTAGAGCTGGAATGATAATGCAACGTTTTCGTCAGTATGCTCGATAAGAGGCGGTTACCTGCCTTTGGATCTTCATCATGTTACTTTATCTTTGTACTCGCTCTCACCTTCACTGGATGCGCTTTCTTCTGGTGTCGCAGCGCTTACCAAGTTTTCATTGTGTTGCCGGCTAATGTAATGACAACACCAACTTATGTATTAGTCCCTCCAGGAAACAGTACCGAATACTCACATTCGTTTAAAGTAAGCGAACTTTCTAATGGCGATGAAAATACGCTTATTGATTTAAAAAATTTTAAATTTCTTTTAAATCACGATATGTGTAACAAGACACAACCACTTCTTTTAATGATGGTTCATTCTGCTCCGAAAAATTTCGATAAGAGAAATGTCATTCGCGAAACATGGGGTCGAGCTTCATCATCATCATCATCATCGGTAACAACAATTTTCCTTGTTGGATGGTCTGAGGAATATCAAGCAGAGCTTGAAACAGAAGATCTCAAGTATGGTGATTTAATACAAGGGAATTTTCTTGATGCCTATAGGAATATGACTTATAAACACGTCATGGCTCTAAAATGGGCCACATATCATTGTCCGAGTGAGTAGTATTCAATTTTTATTTTTTACGCCATTTTTTAGCCATTTGGTTCCAAAAGTCAGGCCTCGGACATTATCACATTTTCGACTTTTTTCAACTATTTTAAAAAAATGCGACTTTTTCGACTTTTCTTCCGAATATTGCAATAATTTTTAGTATAAAATGCAACTTATTTTCGAAATTTACAATTGAAAAGAGTTTCAATAAATATTGAAATTTTGTCAAATTTAATTGAAAATAATTGATTTTTTTTAAAGTGTTTTATCCAAATTTTTTGAAAATCAACATTTGAAGAATATTAATTGCAAACTAGCCAAACTATCCGCGCGCAAGCGCGCGGGAATGTTGTATGGGGCTGCTTATTTTAAACAATTTAAAAAATTTTAAAGAAATAATTATTATAACCTAACAAAGAGATTTAACTAAATAAAATTCAAATAATTTCACTCAATGGTCTCAATTTAAATAGAATTTACATTACTAGACTTAAACTATGGCTAGAACAATTACAATTAGTATCTGGGTCATCTTTTGCATTGCTTATTTTATAAAGCCATTTTAAATTAAATACTTTTTAAAGAAATAATAGTTATTACACACTGAAAAAAGTTTTACTTGAAATAGCGATAAGTTTCTCTAGAATAACGAAACTATTAATTGAAGCACTGAATAATTTCGCTACTAAAGTGAAATCTGTAGTTCATCCAGCTAAATATTTTTTGCCGTGCATAACGAAAAAAGAATTAAATTAACATCAGATTTTCTACATTCAAAAAAAAACGAATTCAAATAGAAATTAATCATTTTACAACTTAACCAAATTCACCCCAGAAATCACTGAATTCGATAATTTAGAAGAAAGTCAGACAAAAGCAGGGTTCCTACAGAATCTGGAAATCAGGGAAATCATGGAAAAGGCCTGTAATTTTTAAAAAATTCTAAATTTTTTCAGTTTTCCATTTTTTCTCTTGAATAAAAATTCAAATAATAATAAAGCTAAATGGTATAAAAGAGAAAAAAATTGTTGAATTTTAAGAAATTCAATTTTTCAGATTTTTGATAATTTATAATAATTTTTTATTTTTTTTCCAAAGAGTCGAGACAATTTAATAAGTAAAGTATTTTCCAAAAGCACAAAAATAATGAAGCTAAATCCCATAAAAGAGAAGAAAAAATGTTGAATTTTAAGAAAATCGGATTTTTGAATTTTTTCGAATTTTTGATAATTTTAGATTTTTTACCAAAGAGTCGAGACTATTGAATAAGTAAAGTATTTTCCAAAAGCACAAAAATAATGAAGCTAAATCCCATAAAAGAGAAGAAAAAATGTTGAATTTTAAGAAAATCGAATTTTTGAATTTTTTCGAATTTTTGATAATTTTAGATTTTTTACCAAAGAGTCGAGACAATTTAATAAGTAAAGTGTTTTCCAAAAGCACAAAAATAATAAAGCTAAATCCTATAAAAGAAAGGAAAAAATGTTGAATTTTAAGAAATTCGGATTTTTGAATTTTTGATAATTTTCTATAATTTCACATTTTTTATCAAAGAGTCGAGACAATTTAATAAGTAAAGTATTTTCCAAAAGCACAAAAATAATTAAGCTAAATCCCATAAAAAAGAGGAAAAAATGTTAAATTTTAAGAAATTCGAATTTTTGAATTTTTGATCATTTTCGATAATTTTAAATTTTTTACCAAAGAGTCGAGACAATTTAATAAGTAAAGTATTTTCCAAAAGCACAAAAATAATGAAGCTAAATCCCATAAAAGAGAGGAAAAAATGTTGAATTTTAAGAAAAACGGATTTTTGAAATTTTTTGAATTTTTGATAATTTTAGATTTTTTACCAAAGAGTCGAGACAATTTAATAAGTAAAGTATTTTCCACATTAAAAAGTTTGACATTAAAAAATATATAAAAAATGCCAATACTTAACCCACAAAATTAAATTTTCAAAACAAACAAATGAATGCAGATAATTTGCTAACGGAAAGGAAACTTACGATTATTATAATGTATGTATATGTATATGTATATTTCTATTTTCTATCAAAACGTATAAAAAACAAAAGAATAACTATAACTAACTTCAAGTGTGGACAGAGATCCGGAAATCTGGAATCACGACGATTATTATATATAATAATTTTGAAAATAATTGAAATTAAATTCCTCGGAAGAATTTAATTTTTAAAAAAAATTTTAATATATTTCGAATAAATTTAATTATTTTCTAAAATCTTAATAAATCCTTCGAAACAATTCAATTATTTTTATAAATGGAAAAATTCTTCGCAAGAATTCAATTATTTTTTAAAAATAGTCAAATTCATTGCAGGAATTCAATTATTTTCAAAACATCTTAAAACTTAACTTAAAAATTCCCAGATTAGCTTCACGTACCTTCGCACCGTTTTACCTTTTAACTCCCACATCAAATTCGTCTATTAACGAATTCACAATTATATTCAATTTAATTATAAATTTTAATTAATATTTTAATTATAATATTTAATTTAAATATATTTAAAATTAATCATAGAATTACGCAAAATCTAATGTTGTTTAATCTTTTAAGAAAAAGAAAAATTTATACATATATTCATACTTATATTGTTTAATCTTTTTTTTAAAAAAATATATATATATAGTTACGATTAGATTTACGATTAGATTGTACGACTTCTCGTTACCCATTTATGATCCACTTTGGATCGCGGGATCTTATGTTGTAAATAAATAAATAAATAAATAATTGAATTTCTCGGAAGAATTTAAATATTTTCAAATATTTCTATAAAATTCAATTATTTCCTAAAATTTTAATAATTTCTTCGAAATAATTTAACTATTTTTTATAAATAAATTTTCAAAATTTACAATAAAAAAAGAGTTTCAATAATTGAAATTTTGTCAAATTTAATTGAAAATAATTGATTTTTTTCAAAGTGTTTGATAAAAATTTTTGAAAATAAACTTTAAAAGAATTTTAATTGTAAATTTTGAAAATAATTGATTTCTCAAAAATTTTAATGAAAAATCTTCAAGTGTAAATTTAAAAATGGTAATTAATGAGAATTAGCTTCAAAAAAAATTTTTGAAAAAAATAATTCTTAGAATTTTTTGCATTCTAATTTTTTAAAATTCAATTATTTTCAATATTTTCAAATACAAATTTCCAAAGATTCAAATACATACAAAAAATAATAACATTAAAATTTTTTTACAATTAATTTTAACATTTTAACAACATATGACTTTTTTAAGATTTATTAAAATTTTGGAGAAATCGCGTTTATATTAATAATTAAAATTCTTTAAGAATTCAATTATTTTTTTAATAGAATTTACCAAATTGCAATTATTTGGAAATTTTTCAATTACAATATATAATTAAAAAACTTATCTTTCATAAATTATTTTTAAAATATTTTTGAAAAATTAATGTTAAGAATTTTTTTATTATAATTTTTTGAAAATTAATTAATAACTTAAAAAACATGGACAGTTAGAATCTTTATAAAGAACTGAATTTTTTTATTTAAATAATAAATCTGTTTATATTGTGGTCTATAGATCACAATATGAACAGATTTATTTGACAAAAATTAAGGTTCTGAAAACATTCTAAGTTGTATTTAAATAATTGAATTCTCTAAGAACTTTCGGAAAATTATTAAAAATAATTGATTTCGAGAAGAAGTTTGATAAAAAATTGTAGAAAATAATTGAATTTTAAGAGAATTAAAGATGTAATTTTTAGAAGTTATTAAATTTCAGAAGGTTTTAAATAGAAATTTAATTTAATTTAAGTATTTAAATATTTATTTAACGAAATTATTCAAGTTTTAAATAATTAAATTTAGAAATCAGTGAAATATCAGAAGAGTACAAAATAAAATTTTTCTGACGACACTGAATTAAATAAACGACTTTTTCGACTTTTTTTCTATTTTAAATCGACTGAAGCTTCGGTTAAATTTATAAAAAAACGAGATAGTGTCAAAAAATTGCATTTTCAACACTATTTGAAATGCAGACTTCGCACTCGATAATTAATTTTAAAAAAGTAGCAGAAAGTAGCTTTCAATCTTAAAAAAGTAGTAAAAAAGTATCTATTGAAAAATTAAACTTGACGATACAAAAAATCGTTTTAGAAACTTCATAAAACTGACAAAAATTCCATTCTATATTTTATTTTTCTGACTATTTTCTAATTTTCATCAAAAATATGTACTTCTTTCTAATTCTGCTAATAAATAATTGAATTCCTGCAACGAATTTTATTATTCATCAAAGAATTTCAATATTTATAAAAATAATTGCGAAAAGTTTATAAAAATAATTAAATTTTACAAACAATTCTATTAAAATTTTAAATTTTTATTAAAATTTTTTGCAAATAATTGATTTCTTAAAAAGCATTTTATTATTTATGAAAATAATTGAATTCTTGTGAACGATTTTATTAGAATTTTTTTAAATAATTGAATTTTCAAGAATAATTTTGTTATTTATCTTTAATAATTGATTTCTTTCAAAGAATTATTTTTCTAAATAATTGAATTTGTAGAAAAAATATTTTATTAAAATCTAAAAGAATAATTGAATATTTTTGTAAATATTTGAATTCTTCCAAAGAATAAGAAAAAACATTTTTTTAATATAATTGATATTTTCGAAGAATTGAAATTAAATTTTTGATACAAGAATAATAACATTTTTCAAGTAATTCCTGTAAAATTGTCTTAAAAATAATTGAAATCCTTCTATGAATTTTATTATTCATGAAAATAATTGAATAGTTATTAAAAAGAATATTATTAAAGAATATTATTAAAATTTTCAAAAATATTTGAATTCCTGCAGCGAATTATTATTATTAATGAAAGAATTTAAATATTTATAAAAATAATTTACTTCTTGCGAAGATTTTTACAAAAAATTGTTTAAATAATTGAATTCTGTTTGGAAATTTTATGAAAATAGTTGATATTGAAAATTATTGAATTGCGAAAAGTTTTTAAAAATAATTAAATTTTATAAAGAATTCTATTTAAATGTTTGAAAATAATTTAATGTCTGTGTGGTATTTTAATAAATTTTTTTGAAAATAATTGAATTTTGGAGAAACATTATATTATTTATGAAAATTATTTAATTCTTGCAAACGATTTTATCAGAATTTTTTAAAAATAATTTAATTATGAAAATAATTGAATTTTGCAAAGAATTTTATTAAAATGCCTCAAAATAATTGAATTTTTTGGAATAATCTTGTTATTTATCTTTAATAATTGAATTCTTTCGGAGAATTATTTATGAAAATAATTAATTTCTTAGGAAGAATTTTATTCAAATCTAAAAGAATAATTGAATTATTTTTTTAAAAATTTAATTAATATTCCTTTTTAAATAATTGATTTCCTTCGAACAATTTTATTATAATAATAATAATATATATATATATAATAATTTCTGTAAAAGATATTGTAATTTTTTAAAATATCGTAATTCTTTATAAGAATTTTATAAATATTGTTTTAAATAATTTATTTTTGCGAAATATAATAAATATTATGAAAATTTTATTTTAAATAATTGAATTCTTGTGAAAAATTTTATTTGTGAAAATAATTGAATTTTTCGATTAATTAATTTAAAATAGTATTGAAAATAATTAAAATTCTTCGATGAGTTTTATTATTTATGAAAATAATTGAATTCTTACTTAGAATTTTATCAAAAATGTTTTTAAATAATTGAATTTCCATGAAAAATGTTATTATTAGTGAAAGTAATTGAATTATTTTGAAATTTCGAATTTTTTTTGAAAATACTATTCTAAATTAATTGAATTCCTGTGGAAATTTAGTTATTTATAAAAATAATTGATATGAGGATGAATTTTATCAATTTTTTTTTTTTAAATAATTGAATTCTTTCGCGAAATTTTATGAGAATAGAATTTGGAATATTTTTTGAAAATAATTGAATCGTTTTAAAGAATTTGATTATAATTTTTGAGAATAATTTTAATAGTTTTTTTTATTTCTAGTAATAGCGAATTTAAAGTAAATTCTCGAAAAAAACAGAAATAGTAGCTTTTAGTGGGTAAAATCTAAAAAAAGTACCCAAATAGTAGCATAATGTAAAAAAAGTAGTAAATAGTAGGTTTTAGTATATATGAGTGTGAAGCCTTGAAATGCATTAGCATTTTAAGAACAGAATGCGTCGAATTATAAATTCCAATGAAGTAGACGAATGACATACAAATAAATAGAACGATTATTATAATTGACCATTGTTATCTTGCAGGTGCCAAATACATATTAAAATTGGATGATGATGTATTCGTGCATATCACTGCAGTGTTGGACTTCTTGAAGCATCATTTGTCTCCATGGGGCGCGAGACGTCTCATGATTTGTGATCCAATTAACGCGAAAGTGAAAAGATCGTACCGATCAAAATGGCGAGTATCTCCTCGAGAGTACCCTGGAAGACATTACCCCCTTTATTGCGCTGGATGGGGTATTTTTTACTCTCCTGATACTGCGTTTCTATTATACCGCGAAGCTCAAAAAGAACCTTATTTTTGGATAGATGATGTGCATATCACTGGAACCATAGCTAGGAAAGTTAATTTAACTCAAGTGTCACTACACTCACTTGTACTGTCGAAACAAGAGAAAAATGACATTCTTCAAAATTCTGCTTGTTCTAAAAATTTTTTGTTTGGATCGCCGGATTTAACGGCAGAAGAAATAAGAGCTCTGCATAGTATTGTTTCCCGTGGCTCAATTTTAAGTGATCATAAATTTGTAAACTAATAAATTAATACTTTAGTGAAAATACTCTTACCTAATAAATTTAAGTAGTTCTTTTTGTTGATTTTACATATTCTTGTTTTTTCTTTGTTTATTCATATATTCATTCACCTTTGACAGTGTCTTGGTATTTTACTTCTGTTCAAACATCAGATGTTAGGGGTCGTCTATAAACTACGTAGCTCCATTTTTTTTTTTTTTTTTTTTTTTTTTTTTGAAATTTAACAACATATTAAAAATAATTGTAATTTTGCATTCAGTTTTTTATTTTTCAAAAATCCAAAATTTTTAAAAATTTCTAATCAAATTAATTGAAAATTGAAATTTTATAAAGTCTCATATTAAAAATTTTTGAAGGTCGTCTATTTATGAAAATTATAAACGCAACTCTTTAAAAATTAATTAAGTAAAATTATTCATTAAATTATTTTTAAACAGTAATTTTATGATAGTTCTTAAAGAATGAAGTTATTTAAAGATAAATTATTGTCAGAAATTCCAGGGTTTCCAGGTTGCGTGGCAATCCTGTTCTTTTCTTTCACCAAAAGTTATAGATCTTATTAAAGTAGATTAAAAAAAAAAGAAATAAGGAATAAGCAAACTAGTTTTAATACTAGGGAAAAATAATGTATTTCATCTAGTAATGAAGAAAAGGGAAGTATAACAGTTTCTTTTGGAATGTGTAACGTGTTTTGGAAATTGTGTTACATTTTCAAATATAATAATACAAGTAAAAAAGTTGTATACCTTAAATGATAAAATAATTATGATGTACAATTTGTATGATATAAATGAAATAGATCATAGGTTTAGCGCCAAATAAAACTCTGGGCAAACTATGTGATCAAAGATATCTAATCTTTAGGTTAGATAAACATCAGTTAATGTTAATATTGGAAGTTAGTACAATACTAAGTTTTTCCTGGACCCGAAGCCCGTTGATCTTCCATGCGTCCCGCTTGAAGCCTTTGAATTAGAGCGAAAAGGTCTTCCTCGGGAACTGTGGCACCTGCTTGAACATTCTCATTTGTTCTTTGGTTCTCGGCGTCTTCAGGATCTTGTAGATTCGCAGACATTGGTAATATGCTGCGCTGATCATCTATTCGCGAATCTTGCTGCATAACAAATCAAAATCATCAAAATTTAAAGCAAAGAGAGCTTCTTATTTCTTAATATTAATAGAAATATAGAAATAGGGGACTAAAAATTAAAAAATAGGGGACTTTTTGGGGACCATAAAAATTGGTCAAATAAAGATAAAAATATCATTTATTTATTCAGGGTTGACACAAAAATTTAACTTTATTTTTCCCTGACTTTTCCCTGATTTCCAAACACAACTTTAACTTTTTCCCTGACCCTCAAGAATATTCTGTTTCACTCTAAAAATTATTAGATAGTCAAAAAAATGTTCTATTACATTTATTTACAAATTTCTTCAAAAGTAAAATTATTCGAAAACATCAATAGTTTTATTTAAAATAAAAATTTAATCATTTTTTTTCATTGGAATTAAGATGTTCAAAAATTTTAAATTCAAAACCTTTTCAAATTGAACAACTCATAAGAATATTATTATAAAACATAAAGAAATGGATCACTCCGAGTCTTCGACTCGGAGTAATCCATTTCTTTATATTTATAATAATTAAAGATGACCGACTGACAAAATCATTATTTTATTATTACAAGAATATTATTACTGTAATTTCTTCAAAATTATTTGTATCATTTCAATTCAATTAACATTTTCTAGAATTTTTAACTGAAATTCTACTTTAAATCAATAACATCAATTATTATTCAATTAAACTTTTTCAAAAAAAATTAATTCTACACAATTGTTAGTTAAAAGTACGAAAAACAATAATTTAATTCTACGAGAAATCAATTATTTAAATACAAAAATAAATAATATCGAATGTTTCTTAAATTTTAATTTTTACGAAGAATTATATTACCAACTTTTGAAAATATTTAATTTCTTTAAAGAAATTTAATTCAAATTTTAATGAATTTTTTTTTTTAAAGAATTTTATTACAATTTTTGAAAATAATTGAAAACATTTTGAAAAATTTTATTAAATTTTTTAAAAATAATTGAATTCCTCAGAAAAATTTAAATAATAATTTTTGAAAACAAATGGATTCTTGAGAAGAATTTTATTAAAATTTTTGAAAATAATTGACTTCTTGAGAAGAATTTTTCAAAAATTTTTGCCAATAATTTAATTCTTGAGAAGAATTTCTCTATCTATTTATAAATATAATTTAATTCTTGACGCAAATTTTTAAAAAATTATGAAAATAATTTAATTTCTACAAAGTATTTTATTACTTTTCAAAAGAATTGAATTCTTGTAATGAATTTTAATATTTATCAAAATAATTGAATTTTGGAAAAGAATTTTATTAAAATTCCTTAAAATAATTGATTTTATGAGAAGAATTTATGCGATTTTGTTGTTTCTCAAGTTAATTGAATTCTTTTGCAAAATTAATTAAAAATTTTAGAAAATAATTAATTTTTTGCGAGGAATTAAATGTTATTTATAAAAATATTTGAATTATTGCAACGAATTTTATTGTCTTATTGAATAATTGAATATTCCTAAAAATTGACTTCTTTTCTCAAGTTTTAATAAAATTTTTAAGAATAATTGCATTTTCCCAGGAATTTATTTAAAATTGTATTAAAAATATTTGAAATTTTGCGATGAAAATAATTGAATTTGTAAATGAAATTTTATTATTTATGAAAATAATTGAATCTTTTCGTAGAATTGTATTAAAAAGTTTTTTCTATAATTAAATCTGTTGATAAATTTTATGAAAATAATAAATATTGAAAATTATTGAATTGCAAAAAAACTTTTGTGAAATAACTAGAATTTCCAAAGAATTTTATTTAAATTTTTGAAAATAATTGAATTTTTGGCGAGAAATTTTGCTATTTATAAAAATAATTGAATTCTTGACGAGATATTCATTAAAATTGATAAAAATAATTGCATTCGTGCAAAGTATTTTATTAAATTATGTTTAAATAATTGAAATAATTTTGTCAAGAATTTAAGTAAAATTTTTAAAAATAATTGAATTCTTGAGAAGAATTTTGATATTTATCAAAATAATTGAATTTTGGAAAAGAATTTAATTAAAAATCCTTAAAATAATTGATTTTATGGGGAGAATTTTGTTGGTTATCAAGATAATTGAATTCTTTTGCAGAATTACTAAAAATTAATGAAAATAATTGATTTCCTGCGACGAAAAAAATAGGTCAAATTTTGAAAATAGGGTACGTTTAGGGGCCAAAATTAAAAAAAAGGGGACTTTTAGGGAAATAGGGGACAGACTGTGAAACCTGTGAGTATAAATCCGATTTTTAAAAATTCAAAATAGTGGAATGATTCACTTATTAATTCTAATGTAAATTAGTTGATAATAACCTGACAGCGTACAAGCATTTCAATAAATGAGTCATCATTATCTTGTGGAGAATGCATTTTTGATTGATTGGCACTGTTGGCGTTTAGGCCAGGTAAAAATGGAAGCACTACTCGTTGTTCATCCATTCGTTTACTCTGCATACCTGCTATTAATTCCAGTAAATCATCCTCGTCTCTGTAACAGATTCGTTTTTTTAAAAGAAAGTTTTCAACTAGAACTAGAAAAATAAATTTATTATTATTATTATTTATTTATTATTATTAAATTTATTTATTTACTTTCTATAATTATAAAAATAAATTTAGTTGATTTTGGTTCAAAGATTAAATTTTGACTTATTGGAAAGTGCAGAAAAGAAAATTTTTTATTATTGCTGAGAAAAGAATGAAACAAATCTTGATCTTTCTTTAATTTTGACTATTGGGTAGAAAATAATATTTATTATTTTTATCATAAAATACTGACTTTTTATTCTCCTTAGCAGTAACTTTAATATTTGGCTTTATATTTGTACGAAGAGCACAGCGTTGGTCATCCATTCTACCAGACTGAAATCGGGAGAGTAGTTCGAAGAAGTTATTTTCATCTTCCTCCTGTGAGGGTTGGGGCGCAATTCCGGCTCTTGCTGGTGGAGGACATTCGCTTATTTCCCTTTTCTTTCCTTCAGGTGTTAACTAAAAATAGAAAAACCATAAACTTTTTTGATACTTTGATTTCAAAGGTAAATATTTTTTAAAATGCTGTAACTAGCAGACAGTTATCAGCACACTCTTTGATGTTGGTATTAAAGAAAAAAATAAACTTTAAAATTTGATTTATAAAATTAAGTTGGTATTAGTGTCAGCTTCACATGGATGGTGTTAGCGAATTGGTTCTTATGCTTACCTTGATAAGATGAAGATTGTCCATGCTTTCCCTACGAAGTCTATATCTTCCCGGAGACGAAGCAGCAATATTGGTAACAGCTGCCTTAATAGATTGTGTTTTGCCTTTCTCATCCTTTGGAATAATTTTATCGATGCCGAGAATTTTCTGAAGATCCTCCACATTCATTTGAGCTGTGGCCTGTCCCATTTCGTCTCCCAATTCTTTGGAAAGATTCAAGTGCTGATTGGCAAAATGAAGAGCCTTCTCATGATTCCCCATCGCCGAGTAAGCGTTTCCCAATGACCAGCAAGCTCGACCCTCGCCGACTCTATCCTTCAATTGTTGAGCAATCTCAAGATGACGAAGATGATATTCGACGGCTGTTGGATAATCACGAAGCAATGTATACGTATTCCCCAGTGAGTCGCATGCTTGTGCCTCAACAGCTCGATCTCCTAATTCCTTCGCCAAAACTAAAGTTCGTTTATAATGCTGAGCAGCTTTTTCAAATTCCCCTAAAAATATATGGCAATTTCCCAAATTACTATTCGCTCGTCGTTCCGCCGCTTTATCGCCAAATTCACGCGCTATCTTTAATCTTTCGTTGTGATAAAAAATTGCTTGCTGAAAGTCTCCCAATAAATAGAAGGTGTTTCCTAAATTCCCACAAGCTCTTCCCTGGGCTGCAGAGTCACAAAATTCTCTCATCAATTTCAAGTTTTCCTCATAATAAAATACCGCTTGTTGAAGACACTGTCTTACTTCTTCTGAGAATTCACCAGGATTTTGATAACCTATTCTTCCCTGCTTTCCTTTCGCGTGATAAACATTGCCTAGATTGTACAAAGCTCTGCCTTCGCTCATCTTGTCGCCCATTTCCTTGGAAATTGCCAAATGCCTCTTGCAGCATATCATAGCTTCGTCGAATTTTCCCATTACTTTCAGTGTATTCCCAAGATTACCACTCGACTTTGCTTCGCCCAATTTATCGCCCATTGATCTTGCAAGAGTCAAATCAAGTTTGTGATAATTCATTGCTTTCACGTAGTCACCCAGGTAAAAATAGGCATTTCCCAATTGGCTGTAAATAGCACTTAAGGTCCTTAAATCATCAGTACCGGCTTGAATGGCAGCTTGAAAAAACGCCACTCCAGATTTACAATCCCCCGCTTTGCAAAGTCGTTCACCCTCCAGCGCCAATTCCAGACACATATTGCTGTCATTTCCACCTCCATTCTAATTTTAAAAAAACGAACAGTTTTTAACTGAACTTTATTCTATTATCTGTTGTCAACAATTGAACATTACTTATTTCGGTTATTTTTGAAAATAATTCTTACTGAATTCGTTTAAAATTAAAAAAAAAACTAACTGCAAGTTGTTGGTTGCATCACCTCTAAATTTAGAGATAAAGTTTCTAACACATGGTTTTTGATAAAACTTCATAAAATAGAAACCACGTTTCTGCATGAAATAAAAAAATCTTTTGGATTCAGATAACTAAGGACTAACAAAGGTGAAAATATCAACAATTTTATCGATAAAAAAGTAGTAAAATTTCAAAATTATTTCGAAACAAGAAAAGTAACTAAAAATGATGAGATATTCGGCAGTCTGTTAGATGAAGAAAAAATTATTGGTTTCTAGGTTAAAAAACAGAATTTTTCCAGGTTTTTAAAACTACATTTATTTTTTACTAAATTTTAATTTTAATTTAATTTTTAATTTAATTTTTAATTTTAACAAACTCTCTGATTTCCAGACAAAACGACAGGATTTACGAATTTCTTTAATTGTAAAATTTCCCGAAAACATCAATAACTTCGTTTTTAAATGAATATTTAATCATTATTATTTTTTTACAGAAATTAAGATTCTTCTTCTTGGACTCAATTTTTTTTAATAATTTTTGAAAAAGTTCTTTGAGAATTTCCAAATCCTTTTGTTTACAATTTACGTAATTTCGATTATTCTGACATTCTTCAATTAAATATATATTGGAAAATAAAAACTTGAAGAATTAAAGAAAAATTCAATTAAACTTTTTTTAAAAAAATTAATTCTATAGAAAGTACTTAGTTAATCAGAACTAAAGTTAATCAGAAAGTACGAAAAGTTAAAGTTTTCAAAGATTTTAATTATTGAAATCTTTTCAAAATTCAATTATTTCTAAAAATTTACGCTATTAGCTTCCAATATTCAATGATAATGTAAAATTTTAACTGAAATTAATTTTTAAATCAATATTTACAAAAAAAAAAAAAAAATCCACGAGAATTCAATTATTAAAATACAAAAATGAATAATTTATGGAATTAATTGAATATTTCGTAAAATTGAACTCTCAGAAAGAATTTTCTCAACAAATTTTCAAATAATTTATTTCTCTCGACAAATATTAATAAAATTTTTAAAAATAAGTTCATTTTTCGGAAATTTGATTAAAATTTTAATTAAAAATAATTGAATTTCTCCAAAGAATTTTTTAAAAGTTTTTGAAAATAATTGAAATTTTGACAAGAATTTTATTAAAATTTTTGAAAATAATTAAATTCCAGAGGAAAATTTATAAAGATAATTGAAATTTTGACGAGAATTTTTGTAAATTATTGAATACAATTAAATTTCTGCGAAGAATTATATTAATTTTTGAAAATAATTGAATTCTTGAGACGAATTTTATTAAAATGTCTTTTTGAATAATTGAATTCTTTTATGAAATTTTATTGAAATAGTAGACATTGAAAATAATTGAATTTTGACAAATTTTCGAAATTATTTAAATTTCTACGAAGAATTTTATTAAAATTATTTTGAAAAAAAATTGAATTGTTACAAAGAATTTCATTAAAATTTTTGTAAATAATTTAATTTTTTCAAGAAATTTAATTAAAACTTTATAGAAAATAATACTTAAATTCTAATAAATAAATTGTAGCAAAGGTTTTTAAAATAATTGAATTTCTTTGATGAATTTTAATAAAATTTTTAAGAATAATTTCATTTTTCGAGGAATTCCATTAAAATTGTATTAAAAATAATTGAAAGTCTGCGATGAGTTTTATTATTTATGGAAATAATTGAATTCCTGTAAAAAATGTTATTATTTATGAAAATAATTAAATGTTTGCTTAGAATTTTATTCAAATTTTTTTAAATAATTGAATTCTTTTGGACAATTTTATTAAAGTAGTAGATTTATTAAAAATTATTGAATTGCGGAAAGTTTTTTAAAATAATTCAAATTTTTCCATAAATTTTATTAAAATTGTTGAAAATAATTGAATTTCTGCAATCATTTGTAATTGCTTCAAAATTCAGTTTCTTTTAATGTTTTTAATTAAAATTCTTCTATAAATCCATTATTTTTAATAATCAATTAAAAATATTTATTAATGGTTTACATTAATTCTGTCAGTTAAAGACATAAAACTTGAAACGAGCGAAGCAATATATTGCTCCAATTAGGCTCGTTTTTCCACACCCACATATATTTCGAAGCGGTCGAAATAATTCATTTTAATCATAATTTTAATAAATCATTCATTAAATAATTTTTTAAAGGGCGAAATATTTTCAGTGCAATTAAAAAAAATGTTTTCTCCAAAACAATTTTTCCTTAAAAAATTAAATTTTTTAAAAAATAGTATTTTTACTTAAAATAAAGATTTATTTTATGGTTTAAAATACAAATAAGTAAATTAAATCTTGTTTCAAACGTAAGTTTTATTCTGGATAATTTTCGTTAAATACCAAGTTTATTCGTGAAATATTAAATTTTTATTAAAAAAAAAAAAATTTTCTATGCTTGATGTATAAATTATAAGAAACCACGCCTAAAATTATGAACTTATTATATGATTTAAATTTAATTAATAAAATATAAAGTTAAAAAAAGTTGAAGTGGATAAAAATATTATGAATTATCTGAGTGTAAAATTTAATTTTTCAACAAACTAATTAAATTGAATAGTTTCCGTATATTCACAGTTATAAAATTTTAAATTATGATTTACGCAAATTATAAAAAAACTGTTCAAAAATAAATATTTTTGAAATATTCGTTTAAAAATTAAATTAACGGGAATATTGCAAAAAAAAGTATTTTATTATCAAACACTTTCTATATTCACTTACAAAATGTTTTAGTTACTAAAAAAATCCTCGAATGTATTAATTTTACAATACTTAAGATTGATTGTCAGATGTTTTGGATCAATTATTGTAGTCAATATTTAAAAAATATATTTCTCTCGGCAGTGCAATTTTAAGAAAAAAATATTTACCTTCATATTTCAATAATTATAATACGCTACAATATTAAGATGATTTTTTAAAATAATTTTTGTCTAAGAAATAAAAAATACATATTTGACGCACTAAATTTTAATTAATTCTTGTTAAAAATGATTCACTCACTTGTGCATCCGATGACAAATTTTCTGCACTCGCACTCAGCGACATGTTTCTATAATTTTGTAAATAAAAAATAAAAATTCGGAAGCACTTAATGCCACATGTGATTAAATTGCACTGGAAGTATATTGTAAAAATATCCAAAAACAAGAACTATTTATCATATTTTAATTTTTCATCTCAAATTTTTATTAATTGTATACATGATTCCTTGTATCTTTTTTGTTGATGAACTTTACAGACGATCACAACGATCACAACCACTTGCTGAGCAACCATAGAGATGTGACATAATAGTACGGAAGCTCCTAGAGTGAACTTTTACTTCTTTCCATGAAGTATGTAGCAATGAGAATCTTTAGTGGGGCAAGTTCTCCATTATTAACATTGTGAATGTACCTTAAGTCGGCAGCTCACAGAATGGAATTGATTTTTCAAATAGAGCGCATGAGCAGCAGCAGCAATTTTAACGGCCGTGAAAATTGAACGCTCGTCAAAAAATTTGGAGGTGTGCAAGCACCTTAAAAAGAGTAAATGTAGCCTAATATTTCTCACGCCATACGTAACTTCCGAACCCTGGAGACTGTCGCACGGTGAGGTGTGATCGTACCCTTAGGTTTTTAATTATTTAGTGTAAAATTCCATTAGTTGACATTGCAAATGTAAATATATACATAAATGATCATACATTTTATTGTGGTTAGGATTTTTTACTTTTGGAATGTAATTTACAAGTTTAAAATAGTCTGAAATCGTGTTTACATCTGCAATGGCTGCAATGTAAATTTGGATGAAAATCGTAAATCGTGCTTTTGCCTCCAAATTTCATAACCTCTTCTATCAGGTTTGTAAAGAATGTGAGTAAACATAAAAAATTGAAATATAAAAAATATAAAAGGAATGTTTATAATATGACAGTTTTGTTGGTTTTAAATTCTTATTTAAAGTATATTATTAACAAGCTATAAAAAAGTATCCTGTGAAAAAATAAACACAAAATTAAAATTTTTATATTTCATTTACGGTTTGGAAGATATATATTTAAAAATTTATTTAATATCTTATAAGTTTTGTACAAAATAACAATTAGAAGTAGCTAAACGTCCGTCTAGATGGATGAATAACCTTAAAATATAATTCGTCCGCCTATAATTGCACATTGCACAATGAAAATAGCGCACAATTCTTTTTTGGAAAATATACATTGGAGGGACTTGTCAAAAATCCCAAAGAGAAATAATAGTTCACCAATTTGATGTAAAATTGACGAAAATGTGTCAAAGAATTTGGACCATTTTTTTGACATCAATTTGACGATAATATTTTTCAGAAATTAATTTTTCAAAGATAATTTTCATTAAATTTTTTATTTTCAAATTCTTGTTTCAAGATTTTTCATTAAAATTTTTGAGAAATTAATTATTTTTAGAATTTGCAATAAAAATTCTTCAAACTTAAATTTTCAAAAATTTGTATGAAATACTTTAAGCCAGAAGGAGAATAATATAGTTAAAGTAATTACTTTTCAGTCGATTGCTTTTAAAAGCAAAATTTAACCCTAATAAAAGTAATTACACGATATTATTTTTAATACAGGATAAATTTACACAAAATTTTTTTACTTATTACGAAATTTTGTCATTTTTAATTTTAAGTCAAAATTGTTTGTCAACGATTATTAGAATATATTATTAATTTATATACTTTTCTATTACATTTTATAATTAAATTGAGAAATTTTGTCTTTCATCAATTTATTTTTTGAAATTTAATAACTCAAAATCAAAAAAAAGGGCATTCTGCAAATTTACATGCCGATAGGAAAAAACCTCAGCTTTCGTTTGCAATAATTTATTTTCAAATAAAACGGACCGATTTTTGGGAAATTGAAAATTAAATATTAATTGTCAAAAATTTGGGTCAATTTTTAAAATCATAAAAAATAAAATTCACCATTGGAAAGAGGACGAAAAAACGTTTCAGAAACATATTTTACAAAATTGTTCCCATTAAAAGTATGTTCAGAAAAAATTCACAAAGTAGCCGGTGTTAGCAAAATTGGTCAAATTGACCCCCCTCTACCCCCTCCAAATTTTCGAAAAAATCAAAAATGTTTTTTGGGGCACATTTCTATTTGATAGAACAACAAATTCCCTGAGTTTCAATTTTTTTCAAAAAGTTGAAATTTCAACTTAGGACATTTCACGTAAATTGCCTCATATTATATATATGTATGTTGAGCACAATATTTTTTTGAAAATTTTGAGTTTTTAAATTAAAAAAGTGTTTTTGTTTTTGAGCCCGGAATTTTGAATCTTTCAAAAAAAGAATTGTGACACAAAACAGCACAATTCAGGACAATATTTTTTTCTGTAAATTTAAATTTTCAGATAAAAAAAAGTTTTTTTGTTTTTGTGCCCGGAATTGTGACACAAAGAGCAGAAATCGAGCACAATTCAGCACAATATTTGTTTTTGAAAATTTTAACTTTGCTGAGTCTAACTTCCTGAACATATTATTTTGAAGGAAGAAAAGAATAGAAATCGGCTTTTTTTTAAAAAAAGGGTAAAAATTATTTTTTGTTTTGAGAAAAATCAGTTAAATTTTGAATCTAATGAATCTAATGTAGCAGATATAAGTACTTTTTTTAATTATAGATTCAAAAATGGAAAAATCAAAGTCTGCAAAAAAAGCTCGTACTCTAAGCTTGATGGATAAAATAAAAGAAGAACGAGAAAACGTATGCAAGCTTTAAACTTAAAATTTTACAACATTCAATGAGATAAATAAAAATATAATAAGTTATATTTTATTTGCAGACGGCCGCATCAGTTCTAGAATTTAAGTTTAATAAAAAAAGAATAAGAATTTTAACAAAGCTAGATGAGGTGGCAGAGAATTGTAATGGAGTCGTTTATTGGATGTTTCGAGATGCCAGAGTGCAGGGTATATTTAAATACTTTTATTTCTAGATTTTACTGTACTTACTCATTAGCGAATGTTTTTAATTAACCTTCTCCCATTTACTAAGTCATTATTAATTAAAGTGGACCATAAATAATGAATTTTATAGTTTTAGGCACTTTTTTTATATAAAAAGAATTAAAATTTTAAATATTGATGTCTAAGTCCAAATATTTTTAAATTAATAATATTAATTTAAAAATATTTGGACTTAGACATCAATATTTAAATTTAATTGTGATTTTCTATAAATTTATTTAATTACCATTAATGGAAAATATAAAGTTAAATTTTTTTAAAAAATGGACTTATTATCCCTTATAAATGTCCGCTTACCCCTCAGTTAGCAATGACGAAAAAACAGTTTTTCAATAATTTAAAATTAATTAATTTTACAGATAACTGGGCATTTCTGTTTGCACAAAAAATAGCTTTAAAAAATCAAGTGCCTCTTCATGTCTGTTTTTGCATTCTACCAAAGTTTTTAGATGCAACCATTCGACATTATAAATTTCTTCTAAAAAATTTACAAGAGGTTGAAGAAGAGTGCAAATCTTTAAATATTAATTTTAGCCTCTTACACGGCGAACCTAATTCAGCAATTTTGGACTTTGTTTTAAAGTATAAAATGGGAGCAGTCATTACTGACTTCTTCCCCTTAAGGTTACCGATGTTTTGGGTCGATGATTTGAAAAAGAAACTTCCCGAAGATGTACCTTTTTGTCAGGTAGTTATTATTTTTTAATCTGCAGATTTTAAATTTATAAACAAAGGTCTGACGCTTCCACCTATAGAATTCGTACAGACTCACGTCCTCTTATTTTATATCTTCATGTTTTCTATATAAAAATATTTATAATTTTTTCTCATATCATTAAAATTATTAGGTCGACGCACATAATATAGTTCCTTGCTGGGTTACTTCAGATAAGCAAGAATATGCAGCGCGTACAATTCGTAATAAAATAAATTCAAAGTTAGAAGAGTTCTTAACTCCTTTCCCGCCTGTTATAAAGCATCCGTATTCAAGTAAACAACAGTTAAAAGACAACGATTGGAAAACAGCTTTAAAAGATGTTAAAATTGATAAAACTGTAGATGAAATATTATGGGCGACGCCAGGATACGAGGGAGGCATTTTGGAACTTGAATCATTTTTCAAAAATCGTTTAAAAACTTACTCTTCTAAACGAAATGATCCAGTGGCTGATGCTGTTAGCAATTTATCACCGTGGTTTCATTTTGGAATGATATCCGTTCAAAGATGTATACTGGAAGTGCAGAAGTATAAGAAAGAGTACAAACCATCAGTAGAAGCATTTATGGAGGAAGCTATTATCAGAAGAGAGTTATCAGATAATTTTTGTTTTTACAATGAAAATTATGATTCCATGAAGGGAGCTTATCAGTGGGCGATAGACACTCTCGAAGCTCATAGGTAAGAATTTTAAATCATTTTTTTAGAATTGCTAATTAATAAAGGGTAGTTTAAAGGTTTAATAGTTATTAATAGTTATCTTCTAGTTATTAATTATTTTTTGTTATTTGTTGTAAAAAGAGGAAGAGATGAGTAATTATTTAAAACCCAAAGCTTTTGACGATCCTCCTGATCGGATAACATAAATTTTAGTAAAAGAATTCAAAAATAAGGTGAAAATTGTTGGGGAAAATTCAGGATATAATACCCGAAGAAAGATATGCTTATCGGTACAGCATATAAGAATTATAATTTACTTTAATAATTATTAATTATTTTTTCTTTAAAATTTTATTTATTTTGTCAGTTACTAATGTCTTAATTTAATAATCTAGCTATCTGGAAAAGGTATGCTTGTCACTAGAACATATCGGACTAAAATGTATTTTTAAGAATAAGACAGAAAACATTATTCTTTAAGTAACACCCAAAGGAAGGTATGCTTGTCACTTAGAACATATCGGACTAAAATGTATTTTTAAAAATAAGACAAAAAACATAATTATTGTTTAAGTAACACCCAAAGGAAGGTATGCTTGTCACTAGAACATATCGAAATCACAATTTAGATGAATAGTTCTTTCTGATTTTATAAATTTTTTAAATTACTAATGTTTTAATTTAATAATAATCTATCTCTCTGGAAAGGGTATGCTTATCACTAGAACATATCGGACTAAAATGTATTTTTAAGACTAAGACAGAAAACATTTTTATTCTTAAAGTAACACCCAGAGAAAGGTATGCTTGTCACTAGAACATATCGGACTAAAATGTATTTTTAAGAATAAGACAGAAAACATAATTATTCTTTAAGTAGCACCCAAAGGAAGGTATATATGCTTGTCGCTAGAACATATCGAAATCACAATTTAGATGAATAGTTCTTTCTGATTTTATAAATTTTTTAAATTACTAATGTTTTAATTTAATAATCTATCTCTCTGGAAAGGGTATGCTTATCACTAGAACATATCGGACTAAAATATATTTTTAAGAATAAGACAGAAAACATAATTTTTATTCTTAAAGTAACGCCCAAAGAAAGGTATGTTTGTCAGTAGAACATATGGGAATCTTAATATTTAATATTTATCATCATGTTATAATCCTCTTTAAACATTCTTTAATTAGCGACCCTAAAAGCCTCTAGGCATTTTTCTATCTGTGTTAAATTTTGCATTTGTATTGATACTTATTCTATTTAGCGCTTTTTTTGATCCTCTATTTATGTTATTTGCTTTTACGGATTGTGCACTCAATACATTTCGCTTGTTTGTTTGATCCGTTGTTGCGAAGTTGTTATCCATTTGAATATAATCTGCAGATTTTAATTTCGCGTCACTGATTAAATCAATGTTTATATTGGGAATTATTAAATTGGGAATGCTTCTATTTGACCTAATTTTTAAGCAATGATTAAATTAAGAATATATGGTTTAAATATTTACTAAAATACTTTCCAGAAAATTAAATTTTTTATTGTGGGTTTTAGAACAAATTGTTTATTTGTAGATATAAGAAAATCTGTTCATCGCCATGTTCTTTATTCTTTTTATTAAATACCTTTGAATAAACAAAAAATACATAAGGAAAAAAAAGAATATTTCTACTTACTAGAGAAATGAAGTTGGCAGTCGACAAACCATAGAAAAGATTAGAAACCTGGGAATAAAAGCATAACCACATAAAAAGATCAACGAACATTGAGCAAGGGCCACAAAGTTTTGAAGAACTTCCAATGCCCTTTATAGCTTTCTAAATTATCAAATAATCTGTAATGTAGTTAAAATAATTTAATAAAGTGGGATTTATTTTTTATAGAAAAGATAAACGTGAATACTTGTACGACTTAAAAGAGTTAGAACATTCTCAGACTCATGACGATTTATGGAATGCAGCTCAAAATCAGTTAGTGCAAGAAGGAAAAATGCATGGATTTTTAAGAATGTATTGGGCTAAGAAAATTCTTGAATGGACTGGAACACCAGAAGATGCCTTAAAATGGTCCATTTATTTAAATGATAAATACAGCATGGATGGTCGCGATCCCAATGGATATGTTGGTTAGTTCTCTTTCTTTTAATTTAAACCCAGCCTGCTAGATTGAGACCATTTGGTCCACATTGCAATGAAGAATTGTATAAATAACTTTAGAACTGCAAAACGAGTCGATTTGAAATTTTTACTTAATTTTTTATGTTTTATTTTGATAAGACAGTATTAATTTTAGAACGACAAGTGTCTATCTTTAGTTGGAAAGGAAAAATATAAAAAATTACAAATCTTAGATTAATGGATCATTTGGTCCAGAATCAAAGTTTTATTGATTATGGACCATTTGGTCCACAATCAAAGTTTTATTAATTAAATAAAGCAGAATGTACACACTAAATATGATAGGAGATACAAACAGTACTCATTGTTTTAATTTGGTATAAGTAATTGTGTATATTTTCCAAATTAATCATCGGTATAGTACAACAAGTATTTACATGTACACCACTAACCACTATCAATATTTAAAGAATAATATTTTGTATTAGGTTGCATGTGGTCAATATGTGGAATTCATGATCAGGGCTGGAAGGAAAGGCCAATTTTTGGAAAGATACGATACATGAACTATCAAGGCTGTCAGAGAAAATTCGATGTAGCTCAGTTCGTGTCTAAATGGGGAGGTAAAGTGGTCCACAGTACAAAGAAAAAGGGCAAAAAATGAATTAAATATATTCTATATACAGTATTTTTTTTCGTACAGTATTACTTTTTAGTTATTTATCTTATGTTATGTTATATTTAATATTTTCTTCGTTCAACGTCCTGAGAAATATGTACACTAAAAAATATACACAATATACACAGTATATAGAGGAACTGAATTCAAGATTTTACAAGCTACATTTGGTGTTTGATCGCTTGAGAAATATTTTATTTCTTTTTAAGATTATTAGAGGTTTGATTGATTGTCCTTTTATTTTGCAAATAATACCTTTCAATATACTAAAGTATACGATGCGATTCTGTACTCCATTTTATTAACCATCGGTAGATAGTAGTTCACTGCAATTAGAGTAAAGTTTTTATTTCATATTAACATTTTTTAATTTTTTAAATCTTCGTAATTAATACCACATTCTATATCGTTTAATATTATTATATTTGGTGTATAACAGTATAATTTACAAAAAATAAAAAGGGGAACCCACATAGGAATATATATATATATATGGGAACCCAAGTTAACACCACATAGGACCCTCTGTAGGTACTTATATGAACCCTTATGGGAAATTAGATGAGTTTTCCATATAAATTTTCAAGAGAATGAAGCGAAGCCCTCTTATATATGAATATATATAATTTATTACTTTATTACAATAAAGTAGAAATTTAAAGAGAAAAAAATTTATCCAATTTTAGTTCACATCAAATATTGTTACATAGATTTAAAATTTTCATCAGATTAACCACCTTATCTGCATATTCCACCAACGCAATTGAGAAAAGGACAGCAAGGACTTCTGAAATTACACTGAAAATCAGAAATAAAATGTTTTTAATAAATTATTATTTTACGAAAAAATTACTAGAGGTAATGTTTATTATTTGGTATAATTTTAACTTGTTTGCAAAAGTAAAAAACATTAATTCTTTTTAAATTGGCATGGTAAAAACTGAAAACTTTCATACAGTACAAATCATAATAGATTAATATTTACAATAATTAATAACTTACACCTTGATTTGCATTTCCACATTGCCCATTGACACTCAAGATGCAAACTGTAACGCACACTAGCAAAACAGTGTAAAGCTTCATCTAAAATCATTGTGAATATTTTATTTTATTTAAAATTCATAATCACATTCTTATCACTAATGAGAAGATATTTCTTATACAAAAAATTATAATTTAATTTTTGCTTCCTCGTGGAATTTTTCATTATTCATAATTTCATAATTTTACCTTTTCTTATTAATACTCAGGTCGATTGTCTTCTTTGAAACAAAGCTTTTGTAATTTACGTTTAATAAAAATGTATCACGGTTTATATAGTCGCAAAAAGCTGACAATTGTTTATTTACTTGCATTATCTTTGTTTAATATTCAAGAGTTATCTTTTTTTAAAACTGAATAACAGGTTTCTTAAATATATATTATATTTAAAAGTTGCTATCTATCACTAATCTTAAAACAGAAGGAAAATGAAGAAACAAATACTCAATTTTTATCAATAATTTATTCTAAGAATTTTAACTACGTAGAAAGTACAATATTTTATAAATAAACATTTATTTGGAAATATAAATAAAATTGAGAAAGGTTCTGCATTTATAAACCATTAAATGTATATTAGTACCTAATTTAATTTAAAAAATGTCACTTTTAATAATTAAATAATATAAAGATAAATAATAATTTTATATTAGTATAATAATAAATTTATATAAGAAAATATATACATTTATCACCTGCAGTAAATACTTATCTATAATATGATAACTACCTACAACCGAGCGAGTGTTAGCGAACGAGGAATATGTTGTTAGTAAATTATAAATTTTAATCATTTTTTAAGATAATACTGCTTTTAAACTTGTTATTACAAGCTAACATTTAAATGTTTAAATTTGCGCATTTGTATTAATTTTTTCAAGAAAATGTAATTATAATTATTTATTTTTATTACATTATATAATAATATATTATATTATAATTATTTAAAGCCGATTTTTAATTTTTTTATGTCTGCCATCTTGTATCCGCCATTTTGAATTTTCGAAAACTGACCTCAGATTTATATTTAGCTACTCCAAAAGCCCCCAAGTAACTGTGTTTTAAAAAATAGGGTTAACCATATTAGAGATTATACTTTAGTGTCCAAATATGATATAATCATCAGATATTAATTTATTTTATTTGTGTGAAATTAAAAGAAAATGATTTTCTGTTCTTTACGCAGAGTTACAAAATGAGAAAGATTAAGATATTAATTGAAATTAATTTTCTCTATTGCGCTCTATATTCCAGGTCGCATGTCGGGTGCAATGTGTCTCAGGATGTTTGATAAAAATCTAGAATTTTTTTTCTCTAAAGTGTTAGGAAAACTACCACTTTTCATTTCTTGGTTGTTCGTTTCTTCAAACCTACAATTAAAATTGTTATTTTAATCGCAGATGGAGTATTTTTAATTGTAAGAAAATACATACTTTCAATATTTTTTAAGATAACAAATACATTTTAAAGTTATGATAAATTTAAATTTAAAAAATTCTAAATTGTACAACCTGCCGTTCGCAATTATTGGTTATCACAGGGATAAAAAAATCGTAACTTTACTCAAAGATAATGTTCCATTAACATGATTCTTATTTCTTGGTATAATAAATCTGAATCATGAAATGGTGAAGTTTAAGATGAGTGGCATTTTTTTTGTGTCACTTCTCTTCTCTCATCGCTGGGTGAATGTATTTTCTTTGCAAAATCTTAATACTGATGAAGTGAAATCTATGTGTGCTCTAGAAATATTGATTGCTTACTGAGGGTGCGCGTTGCGTATATCACCTACTGTGATATACACGCACATAGCAGCCTCACAGAATTCACCCGTTTAACTCCCACATTCAGTCCAGTTTCTTGTAGGCATTTAACATACTAGGATCACTCTAATTTGAGTAGTTAATAAATCTAAATTTCCTGTGTTTATTGCTTTTTAGCAAGTGACTCGCATATATTATGAATATACGTATTACTAATTAAGAAAAAATTCATAGCTCATGACGCGATTTATCCGCCACCTGTTTTCTAAAAACAAAATCAATTTACAAATAATACACTAAACTATTAAAATATATTCCAAAAAAAAAAAATTCAAATTTATTTATTTCAAGATTTGTGAGATAAAAATCTGATTTTTAAAATTTTTCTATACATTATAAAAACAAGAGAGTAAATTAACGTATAATAGAAAAAGGTAAAGCAAATAGAAATAAAATTTTGACAGAGACACATTTTTTTTTGTTTCGTTATATCATTGACACTCTTAAATTATAAATCAATAACATTGAAGGCAAATATAAGATTCATTTTTTTGATTGTATTACTATTATGCTATTACACAACGTAAAATACATATTATGATGATGTACAGTAGGAATGGACGAATGTACACTTTTTAAAAGAAGGATATAAGCTCTAAAGATGTACGAAGAAAGTATGTCAGTTGGACAAGAGGTAGGTTCAGAAAGGACAATATAGTACAAAAAGTATAAAATAACAATTATTTATAAGTAAAATAAAACTGTTGTAACATTAAGTCTGTTATTGTGAAGAGTTTCTATATATGTAGTCTTAATTTATATTTACTAATAGTATAGCATAAATGATAGTTTTTCTCATAATTGTGTCACGAGTGATACTGAATGAAAGAGATTAAAATTTTATCTCACATTGTGTTTCGGGTTTCTTTTGGCAAAGAAAACTTTTTTCTAATAACATTTTAAAGTAGACGATTTTTGCACTTTTTACATTAATTAACAAGAAATAAAACTTAAATAATTTAAAATTATTATAAAAGTAATTTTTAAAATTTTTATATTAATATTTTTTTACATGTCTTTTAAAGGATAATTAAAATAAGTACAACAACATGTTTCAATTCAACTAGGTATCCTCATTATCTTTAAGATCTTTTAAAAGCGATATTTTGATGTTTAAAAGGTGATATTAATTATTAAAATAAATCATAATAAAATTATGAAACATGTTGTTGTACTTATTTTAATTATTGTTTAAAGGCCATGTAAAACATATTGAAATATAAACGGGGAACGAATGTAAAAATTATTAACTCGTTAAAAAATTTTTGGTTTTTCAAATTTGGTAACTAAAAGATATTTGAATTTTATTTAAAAGTGCATTTTTATAATTTTTATAAAAATGTTGAAGAATTGTGTGACATCGCATAAATTAGGTTTTAAAATAAAAAGTAACAAACAAATATTTATTAAATAGTTGTAAATGTTTTAAATATTAATTTAAAATTTTAGGAAATTAAATTAATCGGAATCACAAATTGGACGAGTAAATTAGCCTCTACATTAGTTACACATTTTAAATGAAACAGTTCTGCTGCCCGAATGGCAATAAATAGAATTCTTTTGGTTCATTTTTCATACAGAAAAATCATCCTTATATTAGAATTTTTTTTATTAACTTTAAACTAAATCCTATCAATTTATAAAATTTCTTCCGACATTTTAAATTTTAAATATTTTCAGCTAGATTCGTAATCAGTTACGTTTAAAAAAACCCCGAGCAACAAGATTCAGGGAAAATTCGATAGATTTTAAATTTCTTTGTCCGACATTTAAAATTTTTAAGATTTGATGTTAGATTCGTAATCAGCAGCCCTGAAAACCCCCGAGTAACAAGATTCAAATGAATTAATAAGAATTTAAATTTTTTACTTCCGCCATATTAGATTCGCCATTTTGAATTTTTAAAATCTGATGTCAGATTTGTAACTTTCAAGAAAAAAATTACTATAGCTATGAGTGATTTCAATGATAAATAACTGCATTGATACAATAGTGCCATTAAGTCGGCGAAAACAAGTAATAAATACAGTGACTCACAATTCCCCAAATGCTTCGTATTATTGATTCGAAAATTCAAATTTAATGCATAATATCTTTTTGTAGTCGAAGTACCTCAATAATACACAACATTATAAAAAAAATATTCATTAATACACAACATTATAACAAAATATTCCCCTTAATTAATTTTTGAAAATTGTCGTAAAAAATTGAAAACAACGAATAAATATTTTAATAGAATTTTTCAGGTGGTTGTTTAGTTAAACTGCTTCAAGAAGATAAAATCTGATGCAGTAAATAAAATTTTTTTTAATTAAATAAATAAAATTTATGATTGATAGTTAATGGTTTAAAATTTTTAATTTCTCTGAAAGTGACAACCCTTACCCCCCGTTAATAAAATTTTTGACAACTTTCGCGTTAAATATTTTTCATTTTTGAGAACTTTCTTATATTTATATACAATCTTTATACTCCTTGCCAAATAAATTTTCAGTAAATTCTTGGCACTGTGTGTGTGTTAATATGACTAAATTCTTTAAATTGTAGCACATTGCAAACATTCATCATTTCGATGCCAAAAGTATTTTTGGCCAATCAAAGCAATGTCTCATATACTTATATTTTATCTTCTTCAAATATTTCTCAGATCAGGAAATTGATTATTTCAAATTAGGCCAAATACACACTGGAATGTTTCAGAGTAATTGATTTATATATTAATGGCTTTTCTTGTATAGTGCCCTATTTGATGGAGGGAAGAAAATCTTATCCAAAAGCAGAGATTTATATTCTTTAGTTGTATATCCTTAATTCTTGAAATGAATAATTTGCCCTAAATACCTTTAATAGATTAGAACTTAACAGTAAAAATTACTTTAGGACTCAATTTTGTAAAGGAATTATCTTGAATGAATATATTGAATAAGGCACATTGTACCTTAATTTCAATAGGTATTGTTTTGCACGCAACTTTGAATAGAAATTGTCTCACACTGATAATTCAATAAAAATTATTTTTCACTAGAGTAAGTATATTTAATGCAAGGGATGGATTTTAATGTTTATTTTTAAAAAATTATAAACTGATTTAAATATGTTTTACATTACAAAACTAATAATATACAACTAAGAGGCCATACTTTAATTACGTCATGCTTTTTTTTAGGTTTACACCCCTCTCCACATATGTAACAGACTTTTAGATAGATAATGCAATTTTTATGCTGATGGTACCGAATATTTTTCCCCTCCATCCCTATTAGCGTCACGTAATTTAATTATGCCCAATAATGATAAAATTTATTAACTAGTTATGCTTGTTAATTAATTACGTGAATAGACTCACATTCTGAAATATTTACTATCAAGCAGTGGGGAGTTTTTGAATTTTTTCATTTATGATATTTCGATTATTAACTTACACCATATTTAGTCTGCAATTTTGAATATTTATAAATCTAACTTCATATTTGTAGTCAGCGACATTGAAAACGATTTTATTGAAACTTGTTACTCAGGGGTTTTTGGGGTCGCTGATTACGAAACTAAAGTCAGATTTTCAAAATTCAAAATGGCGGATCCAATATGGCGGCCATTTTTTTGAAATTGCTTAAATTTGCATAAAATTTGTTACTCGGGGGTTTTCAGGGTTACTGATTACGAATCTGAAGTGAGATTTTTTAAATTCAAAATGGCAATCCTGAAAACCCCAGATTATTAAGTTTCAAGCAAATTTGAGCAATTTTGAAAAAAATGTCCACCATTTTGAATTTTTTGATTTTTTTTAAATCTGACTTCAAATTCGTAATCAGCGTCTCCAAAAACATAGTAAAACGAAGTGTTGTTTAAAATTATTCACTAAATGTTAATGAAATAAATAGTTTGTTACATAACTGTTTTTTTAAAGCAGTCAATGTTCACCTTGGTTTAAAATAAATATTACTACTTTTTGTAATTTATTATTTTTTTAATTGTAGTAGGATCCATTCGGAATAGAAAGAAATTTACATCAAATTAATTGGTTGATTTTTATAAGAATTACATAAATTTTTCTAAGTGGGACCTAAGGTGGGACGTGGGACATAATGTGTCCCACTTAGAAAATTTTATGTAATTCTTGTAAAAATATACATTATATGTCCCGGAGGCACGAAATGATTAAATCTTGTCACTTGCGGTTTTTGGTGTCGCTGCGATTATGAATCCGAAGTAATTTTTTTAGAATTCTGACTATACAAACATAATAACAGAAATAGTTGCTTTTTTCAAAATAAAACTCGGTTTCTATTATTGTGATATATAGACAATCAACTTCCAATGGAAAAAATAATTTTTAAATATATAGAAAAATTTGAATTTTGGACACAATTTTGAGAAAAAGCCCCATAGTTTATGTGTAAATTATTTATTTGTTTTAAAATCGTGAATTGAATTAAGAAGTTATTTATTAAACGCATGCTTTTGATTTGTTTCAAAATTTCCAAAATTTGCATACTAGAATTGTAACATTTTGGAGTGTACGTAAGAATGATAATATAAATTTAATGAATTTTTTAGATTTCTGCGTTAATGTCGCAGGGAGAATATTCTTTATGTTCGGACCAGAGTTTAAGGGCCGTTGCAAGAGTTGGTCAAGCTGTTAATTTAGCAGTAGATCGATTTGTTACGGTAGGGGAAACAATTGCAGATGATAATCCAGAAATTAATCAAGGCATGTACGAAGCCTGCAAAGAAGCTAGAGTGGCAGGTAAAAATTATAAATATCTACTTAACATTTAATACAATGTATTATTATTTAACACAATGTATGAAGTTTAAATAAGAGTTGTTCCAAATAGCACTAAAAATTTCCTGAAAGTTAAAATTAACTTGACTGCAACCTTCGGAATCTTTAGCTGCGAAGATCATGAAACTTGAAGTTGTTCTTTAAATGCCCGATGTTATTCAATGTTTGACGTAAAAGTTGACTGAACATTGCATGAGAGTTGAAGAAATTTTAAACGTTCATGCAATGTTCAGTCAGCTTTTGCTTTAAACATTGAAAAACAGTCGAAATTTAAAGAATTATTTAAACTGTAATGAGCTTTGTAACTAAAGATTCCTAAGATTGCAGTCAAGCTAATTTCAACCTTTAGAAAAGTTTCGATGCTGTGTGATACGCATTGATAACATTTTATGTGACAATTCGTTTGAAAATTATTACCATAAAATTGAAAATGGATTTATTCCAGGCTCAGCAATAGAAAAGTTATGTGAATGTGCAATGGAAGACAATGTTGACGACAGAGGGGCAGTAGTTCGTGCTGCGAGATGTCTTCTAGTATCAGTGACAAGAGTTCTTTTATTGGCAGATATTGTTGTAGTGAAGCAACTTTTGTTAGCAAAAGATAAAGTTGCACGTAGTCTTGGTCGTCTAGAAAGTGTGTCGAATTTCACGGAATTTGTTAAAGCTTTCAGTCAATTTGGCGCGGAAATGGTTGAACTCGCCCACCTGACTGGTGATCGACAGGTACATTTGTTTCTAAGAATATTTTTAATTGAATACAAATATTTAGTGTTTGGTACTGTTACACATAAGTAAAACTCCTAAATTTTGAAAAATGATTAACATTCAGATCATTGCATATCAATGAACTTTTTGACAAATAATTACAGAATGATCTTAAAGATGAAAGACGAAGAGCACAAATGGCAGCTGCACGACAAGTTTTAGAAAGAAGCACAATGATGCTCCTTACTTCAAGTAAAGCATGCTTAAGGCATCCAGATTGTTTATCGGCTAAAGAAAACAGGGACACAGTTTTTTGTCAAATGAGAAGAGCGATGGACTTGATTCATTATGTTGTGAAAGATGGAGTTATTGAATGCAATGAGTCGTATACCAATCCTCAGGTATATAAAGTATTCTCATGATTTCGTACCATATCATTTAATTATTTACAATGATTATAATAAAATACTATTTTAAGACAATATGTATTATTTACAGAGTCCACAACAAGAAGACTGGGATAGTAGTACTGTCTTTTCGGCTTTAAATCATTTTGAAAGGTTTATTGATAAATGTAGAAAGTCACTTTTGGGACCAAATTATAGAGACACATTAATAAGTTCCCTTGAAACAGTTGTAGAAAGAACTCAGGATTTTACCGATAGTGCTTATACAACACACGAACATAGAGAAAACATTCTTCTTCTTTGTGATAGAGCAAGATTAGAACTAAATGCCTTATTCAGACTTGTAAATAGCAAGGTAAGTTATCATATCGTAATTTTAGTTTTATATTAAGGGTTTACATGCAATCACAACGATTCTTAAATTAATTTTAGATTACTTAATTACAATGTAAGACGCTACGGTTTCATTGCTAATATTATTATTTCTTTGTTTATACACTTGTTTTAAGCCTTACTGTTTATACGCTCCTTGGGTGATGAAAAAAACCCTTTAAATGTTTTTTAAAAAAAATAAAAAATGGCGGAGATACAAGACTCTGATTTTTTTGGTACTTATTTTTAAGAAATTTGTAACTTCTGTTCTGATAATCCGATTTAAATTTTCAATATCTGAAAGTGTGAACAAAATATCCCACACAGCACCAAAACTTTCCTAAAAATTTATTAAAGATTTACTTGCAAATTTAGAAGTATTTACGGTATTTAAAATTTAAATCAGATTACTAGAACAGAAGTTACAGATTTAAAAAATAGTATTGTATAAACAGAGTATTAACCGAATCCCATTTGGTCATGAAAATATCATATAATTATGAATTCGAGATCGGTTTTTCTAAATTCAAAATGTCGGATCCAATATGGCGAACAAATTTACGAGAATGGTTGATGCATTTTAGAAAACCTCTCTCTATTTAAATGCTTTGAAACAATTTGTAACTATTCCCTTCAGAATTTGATGATTGTATATAAACCCATATTGTTTTCTGAAGCTCCACTGTGAAAGAGACCATAGATTTTTTTAAATAACTAAAGTGAGAAGTGAAAATAAATGAAAATTGTTTATTCTTTGTATAAACTATATTAATGTTTAATTCATAATTTTTATGTAAAGTATTCAGTAAAAAGTATTTTTAATGTTAAATAATCAAACATAAATCTTCAAGAACCAAAAACTATTGTAAACATATCCCAATATTTTTTGCAGCTAAGGTCTCTTTCACTTTGGAGCATCATATTTATATAAATTCATATTATAACTATGTTAATATATGCATATGACTTCTATTAATATAATTCTTGTTGAAGGAATAATGCAAAGTGATTCTTATTTCATACTAATATTTTTGTGCGGAATAACATTTTTCTAAATCGTGTACCTCTTTGAATCAAAAATTATAAGCAAAATCAATTATTATCTATTCTTAACTGGAATAAAACAACAGAAAAGAAATTAGGGTTTCTATTTATCTAAATTTGCACATTTCCTTGTTTTCTGACGTTTCAAAAAAATACGGAACCCTATTCTTTTGAATCGACAACGTACGTTGCAAAATAAAATATTCGACAAGTGAATTTTAAATGTCTATTCCCTAATAGCGTACCGTAAACTTGGGGCTATTAGGAACAGATTTCAACTTTAAAGACTTGTAACTTTTTTGTGTATTGAAATATTGCCTTAATTTTCTTTTCTTTTATTGATCTTGGCGAGCACTTTGAAGGGTTAAAGAATTGATTTGATCAAAGCTGGAATTTTAAGCAAAAAAGAAGCATTTTTTCGAAATTACAAAATGCGGCTATTACCAAATTAGGTGATAAAAAACAAAAGAAATTACGAAAAACTTACGTTTTGACAACACACATTAACAATTCGGAAGAAAAAAATTGTGTTCCTTACAGCCCCGCCGCTTGTGAATTTGGTTTTTGTCTCATAAATCTTACTGTAAATACAAAATAAACATATTTAAAATGGATGTAGATGCAACGGATGCACCTAAACCACCACGTACAAAAACTGTCAAGGCAGTGATGAGTGAATCGACTGTGGTCATTCGTGTCGCTCAAGGAAAGGCGTATGCCAGCGTTTTAGGTAAAATTCGTAAAGGAGTTAATCCAGACGTCAACCACACAAAGGTTGTACAAGCAACAGTTTTATAAAAGAGAGACCTTTTGATCAAAATTGGAGGTAACTCTGATAAGAAGGCTTTTACCGCTCAAGTTGTTCAGGCGGTCGGAAGAAAGAAGTGTTGTCAGAAACCCTCGGAAAGGTGGTCCTAGGATCAAACCAACGAGGAATGCAATCTCGGATTTGGTTACGTGAGCAAGAATTGCAAAATTGCAGACCGGCCGACTACGTGCTTCAAGTGTGGAGAAGTCACTAATAAATTCATAGCTTATCAAAAGGGCATAAGCTGTTTTTATGCAAAGAAAAGTTTGTCAACAAGGTGAACACAAACTATGTCACCGAAAGTGAAGTATCTAAAGTCTTCAGGTCAGCCCTCGACGAAGCAAATAAGACTCTCGCAAGAACCAACAACAAGTAGGCTCAGGGGATCCAATCAACTTTGACATCTCTTTAAGATAGATTGGTAACAGCTTAGGGTGTGTGAGCGAAGTCCCAGGGACTTTTCCCTATGATGTTCTAAGCCAGACAGTAGTTCTGTTGTAAAAGACAATTCCAGCCAAAAACGGGAGTGGTTTTTAATGGGTCGACCTGAGCAAGAGAGGTTAGCCCCACATAACCTTGGATTTAATCCGTGTATCTGAATCTACGGATTTTCTACTTCCGACTACAAAGAAAGTAGAAACATTTTTAAACTATTTAATGTTCAGCGTCAGGTTTCGAAATTGAACACCTTACTTACTTCTAAGATCTTAAAGTGTTACTACCCATGACCTGTTTTAGTCAACTTCCTCTGAGTCAGATAAATAAACAACCCGAGTCACTATAACAAGTCGGCTACAGCTGGGTTTATTTTATTCATCATTCAATCGCTTGGTGTAATTTGATATACATTTTATACAATTTAAACTTTTTTGTAACAATTCTTTTAAGTAAGCAAAATAGAAAAATTTGGTGTCTGTGCCTTCTCTGCTATTATAGCTGATGCGCAATTTAAAGTATAGCAATACTATTTGCTGATGATTAGGATTTCTAGTTGAAGACAATCTGGATAGCCCAAGAAGAGTCCTTTGATAAAAGGTCCTGTTTACTCCTTATTAAAACTAGTACCAGTGAATGAAAAGACCAACGCCTACAATCCCAGATTAGATCTCTTATTTCTGGCTGTTGAATTAAGAAGAGCTTAATTCAGGATCGTAGATTTCTATGCATAGACGAGAAAAAGAAACTGAATTAGTGAATTACATTTGAAAAGAAAAAACCACGTGAGAAATATACTGGACAAATTGGTCCTGGCGACACTGTTCTGCCTACTTAAGCTTTATGCAATATTTATAATATAATGATGACAAATATTAATGTAATATATTTTTTACTAACTTAATTCTTTATGAGCAAGTATGGTGTGTCCGTAAAATTACTTTTTTTGTTGCTTGTTGATACTCTTTCCATTAACTTCCAATCCCAAGTAGCCTGTAAATTTACAGATTACTTGGACTTCGATACTTCTTACATTAGCATAAAATTTAAATTCATCCTCCGAAAATGAGATAAACTCATTACGAGTGTACTTGACCTTCCTAATAACTTTCAAAATGCCCTTATAAGTTGTTTATTAATTGGAAGGTTTGGGTTTGTTAAAAAAATCAGAAATATTACACTATCGCAGAAGACCTGACTTTTGTCAAGAAATATTTCAATTTTCTTTGGCCTAATATTAGAAACAAATATATTCACAAAAATACGCTATTGGTCTAATGAAAGTGGTCGGTAGTGTACCAAAGTCGACAACATTAAATTTTCAGGATGGCCCACTTGGGACACGCCTATACTTCAACAGAGTTTGGTGCATAAATTTACAAACAAGTAATATCCTTATCCCAGACAATCACCGGCAGCGGATGTGGATCACCGAAGTTAGAAGTTGAAGAAGCTCTAGACCGCTTACTAAGAGCCACAAAAGATTTGAAGCAACACCTATGTGCAACTACACTAGATCAAGCTGGAGACCTTGGATCAGTGACAAAGGCTTTACATGAATTGGTATCATCAATTAAAAACCTTGCTGCATCGAGCGACATTGATGGATTGAAGGAGAGTAGCGACAGGTTTCAGGAATACATCGATCACATTCTTGAAGTAAGTTGCAATATTTATTTGTTCATTAGTCACTTAAAAATTTTGTATTTCTTAACGAATGTACATCGTGATTGGTAAATAGGAACGACATTAAAGAAATTTGCTCCAAGTTTCTCCAAGTCCCTGAAATAAATAATCTGTTACCAAATAACCAATGAATTACTTCAATAAATTAAAAAGAACGTAGGAATAATTTAGTAAATTTTATACAAGTTTAGGGAAATGTAACGAGAATAGCAATTCAGTCCTCGTTTTTGTTTGTTATCATCTTTGATTTTTAGGTTTGTAAACTGCTAAGACACGTTGCACGCACTGAGTCTTTACAAGTGTCGGCAAAGTTTACTGAAATTAACTTGAGGATATATGGGCCACAAGTTGTAACTGCGGCTTACACACTGTCTAGACATCCTACCAGCAAAATTGCTAAAGAAAACCTTGAAGGTACTGAAAGTTCCGTTATGTATCTTGTAGGGTTTTTACCTTAGTATAAATAACGATAAAAAGTAAAAGAAGAAATAACTTTACAATTAATTTCTGACGACACTTTTTGTCCCTACGCCAAAAAGTGTCAAGGTTAGTAGATGCAGAGTATTCTCGCTATAAATATATTTTGAGACGCTGAACGTGAATTTTGTTCCATCAGGTCAGGTCAACATTTTTATATTGGAAAATCAAATTTTAGATTCGGTATTAGCGACTATAAAAATCTCCAAGTATCAAGACTCCAGTAAATTTTGTAGTTTTTCAAATAAGATTACCTGAAAAATAAAAACTCCCACTTTTTTTAAATTAAGAAAAATTCCTGACGTAATGCAACAAAAGGGACATTCAAATTGTGTTCAGCGTCTTTAGTATAAAAGAATAGGATAATCTGATCCTAAACCTAGAATTTCTTTTATAATCGATAAAAGTAAGTGAATGTTGAAAGTGGTTACTAAGAAAGAGTTTATTTTTCTGCAATTCCTTGGCTTTTGAAAGCCAACTATGTCTACTGTAAGAAGATATTTTAATTCTTATAGTGTTTGCCGACATGTGGCAGTGGTTGATGACTGATATAACAACTGTAGCTAAAGATGTTTTGGAATTGGGACAAAGTCGACCTGAAAAGCAAGTTTATATGTCATTACCACGTCCAGGGGTAAGAGATCAATAAACCAAAGAGGGGTTCACAAATAGAGATAATAAAGTGTAAAATTTTCTTTTTGTTTAATTATCAATACCATTTTCTTTAGAAACATGGGACAACAAGTAAACCTTTAAAACCAGTTAGTCTTGACAGTGAAGAACAAGCAAAAATAGCAAAATCTGGTCTTGAGATGAAACTGATAACATCCGAAATGAATGCAGAAACTGAAAAATGGCAAGAAAGTGGTTCAGCTTTTGAAGAGAACAATGATATTGTGAAAAGAGCAAAAAATATGTCTTCGATGGCCTTTGCGATGTACCAGTTTACAAGGGGTGAAGGGGCACTAAAAACTACCCAAGACCTTTTCACACAAGCTGAATATTTCGCAGAAGAAGCAAATCGATTGTACAAAGTTGTGCGACAATTCAGTTACCAGGTAGATATTTTTAAATTGATTTCCAAATAATTTGGTGTCCACTGGGGAGATGCGAAAATAGAATAGTTTCCAAAGATTGTGAAATATTCGAAAAATGTTACGTAATTAAATTGATTGCTTCTCATTAATTTCAGGTACCCGGCGGAAATCATAAAAAAGAATTACTCGAAAACTTAGATCGTGTGCCAACTTATGTCCAACAACTTCAATTTACTGTAAAAAATCCCACAGTTGGAAAATCGGCAACCTTTATCAAAGTTGACAATGTAATTCAAGAAACAAAAAATCTTATGAATGTAATATCAAAAGTTGTTACAACGTGTTTCGTCTGTGCTTCAAAAGTATGTATCATTGCAATTTTAATTATTTATAAATGTACAACATCTTTTTCACTTTACAAATTCAAATTTTATCTGTTCAACGTTTCAGTTGTAGATAAATTAGTTTAGTTAACAAATATTAATTTACGGAAAAATTTATCAGTAATTTAGAGTGTGTCAATAAAAATTTAATTTTTACTCAAGCTATAATTATCTTTGTTAATAACATTCGTCCTACAAGTGTTTATGGTCAGGTTCATGCTGTCATAGTATTTTTTAACGACATTTTTGAAATCGACACTGACCTTACAATATTCGAATCCAATTACTCCATAAATACAACGTCGATTTTATTTCGACAAAGCAGTATGGGGATTAAATTGATTTATACAATTCAATTCCCAACGTTAGTCTATAGTGGAGACTCGAAATTAATTTAACGTCGGTAAACCAGTACTGAATTTTCGATTTAAATCCAGTACTGATTCTTGATTTAATGTCGTAAAATAGTACGGAATATTTTCATTGCTTTGACATATATCTTATACATAATATCCTAAAGTCGATCTGAATATTAAATTTCGGTATCAAATCGACATTGATTCGATTATTAACGTCGACAAATCTTACCTGGAATGGTTCATCAGTCGTCCTCTTCAAGCCAACGGAATCATTTATAGAATATTTGAAAGAAGAAGAGTAAGACAAGAAGATCCGCTAACTTGACGGATATTCAGATTTTTAACAGATGATGAAATCATCATAAATCCTGAATTTATAAAGAATCTTTAACCCTTAAAGCGCATCATGGGTGTTGGACACTCACATTCTAATATCTCGTTCAAATTCGTGAAAATTGAACATGTGGCCCTATCAGGCATTTCCTTTGGTAACTAACTTTACGTTCCATGAATGACATTAGTCAAACTTTCGTTCTAATAAAGTTATTTTAAAATATGAGTTTTTGAGTTAAGGATGTGTGCGCTTTAATGGTTAATAGTTATTCGGTGTTAAACGCAGAAACCATTTTAAATATAAAATACTTTTTTGTTAATCTACACTGAGATGTGCGGAATCACAAGTTACTATTAATTTCATCTAAATTCTTAATAAAAGGATTTATTTAATGTACAGTTTTTTTTTATACAATTTTCAGATGTTGTAGATATCTACATTTAATATTTTTAATTTATTTCTTATGAACTTTCAAGTCATGTGTGACAATTTCCAAAGAAAGGAAGAACCTGTGAACCCACATGTAGAATTTCCACTAAACTGAAGAGTATATTAATATTAAATCACTTGCGTCATGTACCTTTCAGTGGGAATCGTCACATATAAGTTTATCTTTATTTCTTAATGAAATTGATACATCCATTTATTTTGTTTGTTTTCATATTAGCACAATGTGGTAATGCCACTATACACGGACACCAATAAAATACCGTTACCTGGTGTTGAAGACGAAGAGTGCTTATATCCCATTAGTCCCAAATTACTACCACCATCAAGTCCATATATTCAACCCCACCCTTTAACAGCAAGTCATTTATACAACAATATAAAATATTATCATTCTTTCCTTATGTCTTCTCCATATAATCCAAAAAACAAGTCAACGGGACAACAAATGCAGTTACACTCATCAAACGACTATAGTAAACAGTGATGCCAATTTCGAAGATACTACACTCAAAATACATTGCACTTCTGTAATCGTAATCAACATCATACAATACTACACGTACACAATTTTTTTATTTTTATGCAAGGAACAACATTCTTCAATTTCTTGTCAACAAGCAAGGTTCGATTGATATAATTTAAACTTTTGTATGATGTTCTGCTATATTTTCTAGTAATACGAGGAGAGGTCATAAAGTAATTCTGTTTTCACTTTTTATTTTTATCTCCTTTACTTTTACCAATATATTCAGCTTTGATAACTCGACACGAATCCAATAAGAAAAGTAGAGTCGAATTCTGCGTATCCGAGACGATGTAAAACGAAATGAATGTGTCTAGCGATAAAAGTTGAATATCTTATTTCGAAGTTGAAGTTAAATTTAAAAGAGAGATCAGAATTATAAATGTACTTCTTTGAATAATATCACGCATGAAGAAAGATTAATTTGAAAATAGTTTGGAAAATAATATAGTAGAACATTGGTAATTCCGTAACGCATCATTTTTCCATATTTTTATATTATAATACGATCAAACAGTTGTCAGTTTCATTTCTGTTTGACATCAGCCCTAACTAATCAGGACATTTCGCAAGAATTCCAGGCAATCTTTCAACTTGGCCAAATTGTAAATAAATTATTACAAATCTGAAATTAGATTTGTTGAAAAATTATTTGTTTTGCACAATTGTTTTCTACAATTATTAAGAATGAATATTATTATAATATAGTTTTTTTGTTGACAAAAGTTAAAAGTTTAAAGCATATTTTTGTTTGTATTTCCAGTACAACTTAGACTTTAGAGGATTGTCAACGCGAGGATCCGGCTCAATGTATCGAGGAGATGGCTCCGGAGATGGCGATGGCAGCGGAGCAGGTGGAGATGGCTCTAAGTCTGGTTCAGCTCCTGGCAGCGATTCGTCCGTCTGACAATTTGGTATGGCCCGAAGGGCCAAAGGGGATGCGCGACGTACTAGAGTTTCATTTTTATTATTTTAGACAAAAAATTTTTGCGACATTTTGTTCGCGGTTTATAGCCTTCTAACAGAAGTTGTATTTGTCCCTAATTTTACAATTTTTTACTGGCATTATCAGGAATTTTTGATAACATAATTACTTCATATATGTGTCTGACATTTAATTAGAATAACAAACGGAGATTGCATATGACATTTTTTTTTGTTAAATTAATTCACTGGGGAGCTGGTAAAGATTATTCCTCATGACTCGCATATAATTTTTAGGGCGATAATTGTAACTTTATTTAAGACTGTAGATTACTAGAAAACATAATATCGGACAATAAAAGACAAAATATCAAGTAAGCAGAACTATAAGTGGATGCACAAATGAGGTAAGATATGTAACTTTGATGTTGGGTCTTGTTATTCTTGTTATTCGTTTTACGAGTATCTACTAATTTTTCAGTTTCTTCACATTTAAACACTTGTCGTCAGAATAGAGAAAATGCTACTATTACAGTAACTTGACGAGAAGTTGAACTATTTTCTAAATATCTATAATGTTAAAGTTTATTTATTAAAGGGCTAATAAAAAAGAGTCCCAACATCGGAGTTTTACGCATCATGATGAATGTCGTGAACTTTGCCGTGAAGCGTGTCACGAGGAAAAGTCCACAACAACTCTTTGCTTAGAACTTTTATTTCCTCTCTAAACCGCCAGATGCGAATGATTTAAAATGACTTGAAACAAGGTAAAAAGTTAGAAGGTTCTAGGATTAGCTAATTTGTAAATGTGTGATAATAATTAGTTAACGAAGATGGTGTTTGGAAAACTTGCATGAATGAATCTAATGTTAAGTGACGACTTTTTCCGCTTAAAATCATCAGTAATATAAGTCACCAAAGTGTAAAATAAATTTATCTATACATTACGTTCTGCTGTACTGTTTATTTAATTTCCACACAAATCCCTAAATATATATCTTCTTCTTCTTATTAAATCGTAAAATAATGTTTTTGTAACTTAAATTTATCCCATAAAAAATACTAATTACATGTAGGGCCTATATTTAGGCTCTACATGATATTTTAGCTCTTTTCAGCGGTCTAAAGAGGTTAATAGAAAATCAATTTTATAGTTTGTATAAGTCTATTTTGTTGAATGCAAAAATTATTCAAACATAACGAACACACTACGTAAAGAGCACCAATCTCAAATGCGTGCTGAACATTCTCCATGGGTATCGAATTATAGTGATCGAAGGGTCTACGTGCGTGACTCTTCTTTGAACGCATTGCGTCTTGTTACTTCTTAATTATCTGGAATGAATGAATGGAAAAATTAATATTTACAATAAAATTATTGTAGAGAATATTTTAACTATTTCAACTATAATCTTACCCTTACATTTTGCATCATGAAGTACTATTTTAGTCTCTTCAAATTTCTTAATTGAATCTTTGCCTTGTGTAAAATCCTGTTTCCAAACTTCGCTGTAATTACTTCAAGGAGAAAAACTATTATAGAGAGAGAGAGAGAGTATCCAGTGGCTAGCACACCTAAGAGTATAGGTAGTAGTTTGTTTTTCTTAATAAATTCTGGTTTTAAAGGATGTGTAAGCAACTGTTTGCTGCTTGAATAGGATTGAATTAATCCAGCTTCCAGAATTTTAGAATTATTTCATTGTAGCGATCATTATAGGGTGAATATTTTCTTCTCATATAACTTTCTAATCCATGTGTAATTTTTTCTGGTAGTATTTTCACATTTAAGTCACCATATTTAGATTCATAATATCTAATGAACATTGCAGCATTTCTAAAGATACAGCTGACGTTTCGATAATCAGCCAAAGTGTGCAAACAATCCATAGGACTATATGCCTTAGTAGACTTATCAATTAATTGTTGAATATCAGGATTTGAATGCTTAAACCCAATGTGGAACCCAAAGTCTATATTTGATGACAAATTCGATTTAATCAGTTCTGCTACAGATGAAATTTCAGGAGCCGGTCGAAAACTGACATCAAGTATTATAGAGTAAAAGTAACTTGTGTAGACAATGCACGCAATGAGAAGTGAGCCAAAAACTATTCTTTCCGACCAATGCTCAGGTTCTTCAGGAAGTGCCATTCCTATTATAAATTGACTGATATGCAACGTTTGCCATGTTCTTCTTCTGAATTTTAATAAAAATGCTATAAATTTTATAATAGCAATGATACAAACTGATGCTGAAACCATGTACCAAAATTCTGGTGAAACTCTAATTGCTCCAGTAGGTTTTACTTTCTTTGGAATAGCAATATCATCACTATAAAATGCTAGAATTCGTATGTTCTGGATGCCATTGTAACTTGGACCCAAAATAACCAAAGTTAGCGACATTTCAGACTTTATTTCATATAATAGGGCAGCTTTCCATTTCTTAGCAATTTCCATATGTTCACTTTGTTTTCTTCCCATTATTAGGTGCTGTAAATCCAATGTAAATGGTATTACGTTAGAACTAAAATTCATCACATTTTGTAACATTTCTAAAAACCTTCTTCCATCTCTATCCGATCTCTCGGATGAATAATTACGGAGTTGTATTGTGAAGTTTAATTTATATCCATTTAGATCGACCAGTTTATTTGGAAACCAAGGAGTTTCATATGATACCACGCTGGATGAATATTTGTTAAAGAACGGATTTATTTGACTTAAAAGAGGTAATCCGTTAGCACTTGGTTCGATTGCTACTTTCGATTCATCATTGTACTAAAAGCCAATGGAACCAGCCTTACACGTGTATTTTTTGTCTTACTTTTCGAGAATGCTTTATACGATATTACTTTATATAGTTGATTAACTTTATTTAAATTCTATTATATACCTACATACACTTAAAAATAAACTATTGATATTGCTATATCATTAGTCTTCCGATATATTATCCAATATCATTAGATTGCACTTATACATATCAATTTCAAAATTTTGTCATTTATTGATTTTATTATTATAGAAAATTAAAAAGAATGTTTTACTTGAATTGTTAGTTCTTTATCAGTTTGTTTTAGTTCTTTGAAGAAAGTGGTTGTGCACAATGAAACTTATAAGAATATATTTTTTAATTTACATTTTCTGGAGAGTCGGGTCTTCAAAAGTTAATTATTTTGAGGGACTGATAAAGTATTTGAATGAAAAGTCTAAATTGCATCAAGTAGTGTTCATTGTCGACGATTTGGCGGATAATGTGGACCCTATAATGAATTCCATTATGGCAGTAGTCAATTCGCATTTTCCATCTTTTAGTCTCAGCTACAGTGAAATCAGCTCAAATCTCACAAAACTTCATTTCCAGAGGCTTTATCGACCTAGAAGTACTACACTGTTTGTTTTACAGTGGATTGACGATAGCACGATGGATATATTTAATGATTTTTTGGTCAGGGATGAAAAATTATTATTATGGTCATCACTACCGAGATGTTTGGTTGTCAACTTATTTAACTCAACTCATGAGTACATCAACAGAACCTTGCATTCTTTCTGGGAAAAAGATTATTTAGACGTTACTTTCTTGACATACAATGATGATTCGAAAGTAACAATCGAACCAAGTGCTAACGGATTTCCTCTGTTAAGTCAATTAAATCCGTTCTTTAACAAATATTCATCCAGCGTGGTATCATATGAAACTCCTTGGTTTCCAAATAAACTGGTCGATCTAAATGGATATAAATTAAACTTCACAGTACAACCTCTTAATTATTCAAGCAATGATGTGGAAATACAGGGAAAAAGGTTTTTAGAAATTTTACAAAAGTTGATGAATTTTTGTCCTAATGTAATACCATTTACATTGGATACGGAGCACCTAATGATGGGAAGAAACGATAGTGAATATATGCAAGTTTTTAACAAATGGACTACTGATCTAGTTGAAATAAAGTCTGAAATTTCGCTAACTTATGCTATTCAAAACTCAGATTATACTGACATCCAGAACTTACGAATCATGGGGTTTTTTAGTGCTGATATTGTTGTTCCAAAGAAAGTAAAACCTACTGGAGCAATTAGAGTTTCACCAGAATTTTGGTACATGGTTTCAGCATCAGTTTGTATCATTGCTATTATAAAATTTATAGCATTTTTATTAAAATTCAGAAGAAGAACATGGCAAACGTTGCATATCAGTCAATTTATAATAGGAATGGCACTTCCTGAAGAACCTGAGCATTGGTCGGAAAGAATAGTTTTTGGCTCACTTCTCATTGCGTGCATTGTCTACACAAGTTACTTTTACTCTATAATACTTGATGTCAGTTTTCGACCGGCTCCTGAAATTTCATCTGTAGCAGAACTGATTAAATCGAATTTGTCATCAAATATAGACTTTTGGTTCACCTATATGTTTGAGAACCATTCAAATCCTGATATTCAACAATTAATAGATAAGTCTACTGTAACAGAATATGTTATGGATTGTTTGTACACTTTGGCTGATTATCAAAACGTCAGCTGTATCTTTAGCAATGCTGTAGAGTCCATTAAAGAATATGAATCTGAATTTGGTGACTTAAATGTGAAAATACTACCAGAAAAAATTGTACATGGATTCGAAAGTTTCATGGGAAGAAAATACTCACCCTATAATGATCGCTACAATGAAATAATTCAAAAAGCTTCAGAAGCTGGATTAATTAAATCCTATTCAAGCAGTGAAAAATTGTTAACACATTCTGTAAAACCAGAATTGATTATGAAGAATAAACTACTACCTATACTCTTAAGTGTACTAGCCATTGGATACTCTCTCTCTATAATAGTTTTTCTTCTTGAAGTAATTAAAGCGAAGTTTGGAAACAGGATTTTACACAAGGCAAAGATTCAATTCGGAAGAAGAGACTAAAATAGTACTTCCTGATGCAAAATGTAAAGGTAAGATTATAGTTGAAATAGTTAAAATATTCTCTACAATAAATTTATTGTAAATATTAATTTTTTCTTTTATTCATTTCAGATAATGAAGTAGTAACATGACGCAATGCGTTCAAAGAAGAGTCACGCACGTAGACCTTTCGATCAGTATAATTCGCCATCCATGGAGGATGTTTAGCACGCATTTGAGATTGGTGCTCTTACGTAATGTTGATTAAGAAATTAACTATTTTTAATCTACAGAAAAATTAAATTTTTTTAAAGAATTATGTTTAAGAGTGTACGAAGGTCTCTTAAATTTCTTATAATTATATAAGACCTCCGATTATTGCCTAACATAAACTGCGCATTGACTGTAAAAAGTATCTGTGTGTGAAGAAAAACTTATTGGAAAATGTTTGTTTGTCAATTTCGTATCATATATAATCCAGTCAATACCATTTCTATTGGGCGATAATGATAATATTCTAGCTGATTTTTTTTAATACTGCGAAAAATTTCACTTTTCTGGCAATTAGAAAAACAAGGGCGATAATCAACAGAATTTCATCAGACCTTAAGGAATAGAGCACCACTATCAATTAGACGATAAACTGTAATCTGTTAATATAATTATACAAAAACAAGTCTTTAAACAAAATACTTTTTTTAAGTGATTTATTTTTGTCATAAAGCATACACATCAAGCGTTTAGTTTAAAACAATGCATTGCGTATCGGTAAAAACTATAGAAAGTTTTTGCGCATAAATTATTTTTTCATTTTCATAAGAAGATTATTCAACTCTTTTATTAATGAAACCATTGCAGTCTCTTTTGGTGTTTCAATGACGCTCAGTATTTGGACGAAAACATCTCTTCCTTCAATAATTTTATGAACAATCGTATCCCTTTTCAATTTTATTACATTTGTAACATAGAGTGGTAAATCTTGCTTATGAAATATACGACCAACATCCACTATTCCAACTTGATTCTTAACTTCCAAACTATACAGTACAAGTCTTTCTGAGGATTTAGTGCTTGCACAATTTTTTAAAGCTGCTTCTTCAGTTAAATGAAATGGACTTAAAAGTTTACTACTAATAAAAACTCCTTTAGCTGTTACAAAATTTCTAAAAATTTCAATAGGCATATTTATTGCATAATAAAGGGTGATTGGACTCTGGATCCATTCCTCATCACATTGTCTTAAGGCCAGTTTGTATACTGAAGCAGGATATTGCAAATTTGAAAACTTCTCTGCTTCTCCGTTAATTTCTGAATATAACACGTAGTAATCCTCAAATAGAATATTGTTAACTTCAGGAGTTAACATATAGTTTTTCCACACAGGTTCTACTTTCCATTCAAAAGTATCATTATATATTTCGCTAACTCTTTTCGTTGCATATTTCATATCCATGACCTCATACGTTTCACTTTTACACAGAACATCATTAATATAAATGTTATTTGTTATTTTCCATTCGTCATATTTTTCAGGAATTGTAATTGCTGAATAAATATCTTGTGCCAACATATCATAACTGGGAACACGACTTGTTTCCTCATCAATTTTTAAAATATACTGTTTTAAAATATCCACTGATTTACGAAATCTGTGCAGAGGTGTTCTTAGGGATATATCAAATGCAACATTCTTAATAATTTCGCATCTTTTAGATTCAATTTTTTCATTTTGAATTAAATGGTATTCCATGTCTCTAATATTCATCCACACATCTTTTTCAATCGGCTTTTCATGCAATTCTAAAACTAAAATTTCCTTTCCATTAAAATATTGAGCATCATTAACAAAAAATGTGATTTCTGGAAATACAATGTATTGATTTTTAAAACTATGATGAAATTTTGCTAAATCAACAAGTCCATAACGAGACTTAAATTTCATGTGATAACGAACTTCCGTTTGTAAAGAAAATTTTGATGATTTCTTAGGGATAATCTCGTCAGGTTGAATATCTACTAAAAGAGTAATATCGTTAAAATAAAACTCCTTTTCTTTCAAATTCTTTAAATATTCAACAAAAAATGGTCTATTTATTGTGTGACTAAACCATAGGTCAATTGAATTATTTTCCTCTGTTTCAAAAATTTGTATGCTATTTACATATTCGACATTTAATCGAAAAAACTTTAACAAATTGTTTTCTTTTATAAAAGACAGTCCCTTTTCTTTAAACACAACAAATGCTTCTACGCCTTCATTATAAACACGTTCCCCCAAAGTAGAGAGAAAATATTCATTGCTTCTAATTAAATCTTTTGATTCTGTCGAAGTTACAGAAAAAGTATCATTTGGCAAACTTCTTCGTAAAATTCTGTGCGCATTGAAAATTCCTAATTTTTTCTCTCTAAAAATTGGCCAGATGTGATCTGTAAATATTTTTGATGCTGTCAAATAAGTAAGTTTAGCACTTTTCCTTTGAGGCGAACAGTAGTCTTTACTGGTGTAGTTTTGCAAAAGGTTCTGAAATACAGTTTTCTTGAGAGATGCATAAGTGTTTCCTCTTTTCTTGCTGATTATTTCGGCCAAATATCCGTTAATGTTACCATAGGAAGAAAACAGAGTTGTGCTAATGATGTGCTGATAAATTTCCTTTACGTTCTTTGTATCATGAGATCGATTTTTACCGACGTAGGGGCCACTTTGATTTATCACATTTTGCAGAAACTGAAGTTTTGTTTCGGATTCATTTTTAGATTTATTAAGATATTCGAAGAAAGTGTTTAGTACAGGAACAGTTTCAGTCCGCTTTTCCAGTGTGATTAAGCCCTTCTCGTAAAGGATCATACCAAAAATGGTAATGCAGTGACAAACAGGAAAAAACTGAAAATTTTCATAATGTAAATAGAGCCTTGCTCTTGACTTTAATTTTTTTACTTTAACTTAAGATTCTTTTTAAATTAATAAATTAGATTTTACATTCAGATCAATACCGCCGTCTTTTTATGAAGTTATCTAAAAGTTATCTTTAAAGCCATAAATCTTTTTAAAATTATTAATTATTATTAATTAGTCCTATTGTAAAATTTCTGAAATCTTTCAGAATAAAAATTAATTAATATAAATCTAATGATGTATATTTGAATAATAAATATTAAATTAAATAAGTTAGTATATTCTGTAAAAATTTATTAAGATATTTTAATTGCAAAATACAATTCATTTCCTTTTTATTTATATAGACCCGAGAAAAAAATATATTATTCATTTGGTACAGTTAAATATTAAAATTGTTTATATGTTTATAACATTACCTATAATAAACAATTTTTTATTATTCTAAAAATTTTATGACATCATTTTCAAGTTTGAATTGAAAAAAAATTATTTCATTTCTAACTGATCCGTTTGGCAAAGCCTGACTCTATTGATAATTTTTATTTGAAAAAATTTATGAACATAGCACATAATGTCCATTAAAAATTTAAGCAAATAAAAAATATTGTATTTCTAATAGTTTGCGAAAAAAAAGTATGCAATAAGGTATATCTATATATTATATATTATGCATAGACTCAAAGCGTTAGCATGTGCCTGCCAGAAATAATTTAAATAACTATTTTTCCTCATAAATAACTAGAGATACCACATTGTTTAATGGCTTAAATTTTAAAGAATATTATAGACTATGTTTATCATTTTTTTTAAAAGCAGAGATATAATTGTTTATAGGGTACATTGAAAAAATAAACAATTTTAAAAATAATATTTAAAAAAAATTATTATCACTATTTTGAAAATAGCAAAAGTTATGATAAAATAAAAATATAATACCTATAACCCTTTGTGAATACAAATGGAGTCTATCTAATCCTTATAGGTTTCTTTTTAAAAACAGGATTCTATGAATAGCATGAAAATTGTTCTCCATGTAATATGATCAATCAATTGATTTTTAAATCATTTTATATTATTTCAACTGTAAATATAATACCCAAATAATCACTGTCATAAAAATTTATTGAAGCCACCAAAATTTTTGAGATCACTTAGCGTGGATTTTTCTTAAATTATAATCAATATAATCAAAGTAAAATATCTACAATACTTTTTTGTAGGTGTTTACAATATTTTTTCTCGTATTTTTTTAAATAGAGTCTTACCCTCTGAGCATGGAAACTTCATTGTTCTAGAAACGTTCCTAAAACGTTTTTAGAACGTTTCATGTCTACTACATAATAACGGCTTAAGAACGTCCAAATGTTCTAAAAACGATTTTAGAGCATAAAACGTACATTGTATTATGAACGTTTCTAGAACAAAAACGTTTCCGTGCCCCATAGAGGGTAGGGTTTTTAATATTTATATACATTATATAATATTTTTCTTTGGTTAGAAAAGCTTAAAAGTTAATTTCTTCTTAATTTCTACTCTTTAATTTTATCAACAATAACTTTCAGATATCTTCAGAAATACTGCATTATTAAAAAAGCCGTTTTTTTAACATTATTTGGTAAATTTAAAACTGATTCTTCAGTACTTAATCCAATATTTAATCCATTACTTCTTTATTATTAGTATTAGATTTTATATGGGTTCTTATTCAAAAATTCATATAAATCCCTAGAATCAATGTAAGAATCCACATGGAATTCTATATAAAAAACACATGTGAAATTGGCACAAGATTTGAAGTAGGAATTTTCAGGTTTAGGAGTATCTACATTAACACAAATGCAAATTTCTATATTAATTCATATAAAAATCCTGTTTCAATTCCCCAATGTGGTTTTTTTTATAGAATTCCACATGGATTCCTATAATCGACTATAACATTTAGTAATAAACCGATTGATTCTATCTCATATGGTTTTATAGTTTTCAAAATTCAGAGGTGGCCGACTGTTGTATCTTTTACCCTATTTATAGGGCCATTGCGGCTCCACCATCACCAATTAAAAGTTTATCAATGATTAAATTGTTAACCAACAAATCGTGAGCGGTAAAACTGGCTTTAAGCAGTGAATAACTTTTAATTAGGATTGGCTGAATTGGCCCTTATTCCAGAAGTGCTTAATAAATAACAATAATGAATAAATAAAAGTTAATTCAACAGATTCATAAGTTTTATATATTCAAGCTTCAAAGTTTATGTAATAATACAAAAATTTTTACTTAAAACGAAATATAAAATTTTATACCATGTACATGTTGATAGATTTGTTTAGGCGAACAAATAACTTCACGTCTTAACTGCAAGAATGTGTTACAGAAAACTGACACAATAAAAATTTACTGAATATAAAAATTTAGTGGCGTAATATGCTTTATCAAAAAAATTTATATTTCCTTTATATGGTCAACTGTAAAATATGTACGATAATGTGTTTACTACTATTTCAAGGATTTATATTTTTACAATTATGTGTTATTATTTTTATTTTTAATACTGTCAGACTATAAAGTTAATTATTATTTAATTATTCGAGTTTTAGTCTCAAAAGAACTTTAAATTCAAATATAAAGACCCGCGTTTTTTGGTCATTTGTATATTCGACCAATCTCTAATTACTCTGTCTGATTACCTCTGGTTTACCCAACATTAATAAATATTAATTTTTTAAATAAGTTATCAACTTTTTTTAACATTAACATTGTGCTATTCAACAAAATTAAACTTTTTGTACACATGAAAAAGTCAATCATTTTCGGAAAGTAGAAAACACTGAGAGACTTTTTGTTTCAAAAAATGTTGAGAATATTCATTCACAATATATTATTAGTATCTGAAGTCTCATTATTTTAATTCAAGTTAATTATTTTTTTCAATGTAAGTTTATAAATATGTGAAATATAACAAACCGTATAATTGAAAAATAAATTGTATTTAACTTATATATTTTTACTCTTTTAACCGAGATTATAACGAATAGATGAACTAAGTTTATTTTGTTATTATTTTTAGCATAGAGATAGTGTTTTTTTAATATTTTCTTTTAAACGTATAAAATCGCAATCATCATTTTCGAACAAGTTTTTCTCTAAGCACATATATATTTCATAAAGCAAATTTTGAAAACGAATTATTGCTTACAACTAAAACCTTTGAAATCAGTACAATATATAATGATTGTGACAGGAACCATGTTTAGTGCTACAGATAATCCATAGTTTTTGGATAAAAGAAACAAATCTAAGTTTCATTTTTAAAAATTTTGTAACTGGTTCAAACCATTTATATATTTCGAATAAAGTCGTTGCAGCCTAATTTAAAAAAAATTGATTCTTTTAGAAATATATATGTATAAATATATGTATTTATGTATTTAATAGTATTTTTTTGCAAAATTGAGACATGTAATACCCAATTATAGAAAGTTTGAAAGCAGTAGTCTATTAAAAAATATTTTTGAAAACTTATTGACGTATAAAGTATTCTCGAAAAGTAAGACAAAAAATACACGTGTAAGGCTGTTTTGATATAGTTTAATTTGTCTAAATTTTTTTGGGGTAAAACAACCATCGAGATAAGGTTTACAAATCATCTTTTTTAAAAATATTGTTGCTTTGCTATATCATCATTACTGTGAATATTACTTATAAGAAATGTTATTTTTATGAAAATCCCTAAAGTAAAAATATTCAATTTTAATAATTAACGAATTTCGACCAATAAATAAAATTTTTTTAAAACGTTATGAGAGCTCTATTGTTTACTAGAAGGCAATGATTATTATTATACCTACAATATTATGTATGTGTTACCGGTAAAACCCGAAGTCCAGGAATTTTACGAAATGCCTAGGCAAATCGGGAAATACCTAAAAGTGGCCAGGAAATTCGAGTTTTACCTAGAAATTTTAGGCATTTCTCAAATTGCCTACACGGAGAGAAATTTATAGTAGTGGGTAACATAATTGTGGTTAGGGTGACCATCTTTAATGCTACGTATACAGACAGCTATCTAGATAGTCACCGTTACCATCAATATCATCAGGAGTAACATCTTGGTAGTAAGGGGTAGCATAACTATATTTTTTTTAGCATCTGTGATGGTTGGCAGTAGCATAATGATAGTATCGTGTAACATCATCTTTTTAACATCAAAATCTGACTATCCATTTCTCTCAGTGTATAGGCATTTCGCGAACGTGATAGAAAGCTCAAATATGTCTTAAATGAGAGCTCGGACCCTCAACTTTAACATCCAAAAGCAAAAAACCATGTAGAAATAACTCAAAATTGTGGGAAACAACATTTTATTAATTTACCCTATATGATCGCTAACTAAAATATTAGCTGATGGGCGCGCACGCGGTAAAAAGTTGTTCCCCACAATTTTGAGTTACTTCTACATAGTTTTTTGATTTTGGATGTTAAAGTTGAGGGGTCGAGCTCTCATTTAAGACATATTTGAGCTTTCTATGACGTCGCGTTCTTTTTTATAGTGCTTCAAAAAGTGCCAAAAATGGGATATTTTGACACTTTGACCCCGTTTTTCTCAAAATTGAGACGTGATGGGACAATTTCACTTACAGATTCGTAATATACGGCAAAAATCCTGTAAGTTTGACATGCTGCAACAAATAACCAGCAAAAAATATATGTTCACAATTAAGGTTTCAATAAATTTCTCAATTTGCCTAAATCGACTTCGGCATTTCGCGAAATGCCTAGGAAATTTACGAAAATGCCTAGGCAATTCGGAAAATACCTAAAAATGTCCAGGAAATTCGAGTAATACCTAAGATTTTAGGTATTTCCCGATTTGCCTAGGCATTTCGCAAAATGCCTGGGGAGTCGTCCATATACCACGTGGACAGATTTTCAAAGATTATTGACCCCCCCCCCCTCCCCCCTTGTGGACACAAAAATACATGGGATCGTGGACATTTTCAAACTTTTTTTAACCCCACCCCCTCCCCCAAAAAGTGTCCACGTGGTATATGGACGACCCCTGGACTTTGGGTTTTACCGGTAACATATGCACGCCGTGGACAACATGAAATTAGAATATAATATCAGGATGTATTAGATGGAAAAAATTATCAACAATTTCCTAAATAATACCATAAAGTAATTTTGATATTTTATATGAAAATTTATTTTTTCAATATAAATTAACTTAATTTTTTAGGAAATTGGTAATAAGTTTTTCCATAAAATATATCTTGATATATTATATTCTACTTATATGTCGTTCACGCGGCGTGCTTCATAATCGTATGATATATAAAAAATGAATCATTGCTTTCCAGTAAACAATAAAGCTGTCATACAGTTTCAGAAAAAAACTTTTTTTTATTTATTTTCAATAATAATCAACATTGATGGTTAAAATTAATTAAATTTTATTGTATTTATTACATTAGTGAATTTTTACCTGTAATTTACAAAACCAATATTTCTAATATAATTAAAATTGATTGTTTAGTGATAATCAAGAACAGTAGAAGAATTACCGAAAATGAGTTTTATACCCCTATGCTACAGTTTATATAGTTAATACATTTACTTTCGAGTTCCTAATCTCATTATAAATGCTATGTGTAACTGATATTAAATAAAAACACTTTAATCTGTCTACATATATATGCTATGGACAAATAAATAATAAAGTGCAACTGTAAAAAGCTCAAAAAAAAATTTTTTTTCTTTAGCAATTTGCTCATAGGCGCAAAATTCGATTCATTTACTGCCAATTTATAATCAATATTTCTTCAATTTGTAATTATTCGAAATCATTTTATTTCTCAAAGCATTTTAAAGATTTATAATCTAAGCCAGTGTTAAAAATTCACGACTAGTTAATTTCGCGGTTAACACATGGAAATGAATTTTTCATGAATAAATAAACGATTCCCCTCTACATGCGCCTTACACTAATGTAGCCTATAAAAACCTTTGCGGTCACTGTAATATTTGACCAATTATTTTTGATAAAGCAAAACAAAATTGAGAGAAAAATTTTTAAATTGAAAAAAGTAGGAGAAATTTTTGTAGAAAAAAATATCAAAACAAACAATATGATTGCGAAAAGAAAGTCCATGATATTACCGATTTTAGCAGTCATGCTGATTATTTATTTGCAAACAGCACAAGGAGTTTCTTATTCTTCCGAAGAAGACTCTTCTGAGTCGTCATCTTCATCTACATCTTCTAGTATGTATGATTTTTATTACAGTCAACTCTCGATAAATAAACTTTCGATAAATTTAATTTCTCAAAAAATTAAATTTCTTTTTTTGATCACTTAAAAAAAATTTTATATTTAAAACTAACTTGAATTGACTGTCTTTTTAATTCCCTCGACGGATAAATATTTAAATATTATTAATAGTATTTCCTAAAAGAACAAATAATAAAATTTTAAATTTGTAAAAATTAATTGAATATTTTTTTAAGGTCTGAATTTCTAAAGAGCAATTCCACGTGAACTGATCCAATAAAAAATTAGATTTTAAATGACATTGTTTTATTAAAATTCACATAACTTTTAGAAAAATTGAGTGATTTTAATTTTAATATAGGTAGTGAATTTTAAAGCAATTTTTTGGTATTTTTCAATTCCAAAACTCTTTTAAAAAATATAGGAAATTATTTAACCCATCTTTTACAAAAATAAACCCTAGTTTTAAATTTTTACAAATATAATACTCCTTTTTTAAATTTATAATTTTTAATGGAAAGCTGAGATTTTTTTTCAGTAAATTATGTAAATTTAAAAATTGGGAAAACAACAATAGGTTTTCAATAAAATAAACAAAAAGTTTTTTAAAAGTTGGTGTTTTTAATGTTTAAAAAACTTCTTTTTAAGTTTCTTGACAACCCATTTGTTGTTTTCCCAATTTTTAAATTTACATAATTTATTGGCAAAATTCTTAACTTTTATTAATAAAATGATAAAATATAAAAAAAGAGGTAGTTTTTGTGAATAATTGAAAATAAGGTTTAACTTTTAAAAAAAGAGGGGTTAAAAGTTTTTTTCGAAAAAAGAGTTTTTAAATTGAAAAGTACCCAAAATATATTTTAAAATTCACATACATAAAAAATTGAAATATGTCAAGTTTTGTTGAAATTATGCTGATTTGAATTTAACAATTTCGCTAAACGGCATAATTACAATCCTCAAAATTTACGTAATTAATTTTTGAAAAAGTTAATATTTTAGGATTTTATTACTTTCGTGTAGAAAAACAATTTACCAGAGTTTTAAGCCATTCCCAAAAAATTAAAATTTATACTTGATTTTTCCACGTGGAATTGCTCTATAAATTTATTAAAATAGATTTAAAATTTTGTAAAATTACAGGTGATTCAGAAAGTTCTAGTTCAGAAACAGAAGAATCATCTGAAAGTAGTTCAATTACAGAAGAATCTAATGAAAATAGAAAACAATTTTTTAGAAGATTTGTGTAAGTGTAAACAATATCTATATTAATAAACGTTGTATTCCAGTAATCTGTTAGTTTGTTGAATGCTTTTTTGTTTTCCTAACTTTTTTTATAAAATTTTTCTTTTTAACTATTTTCAATTTTCAAGTATTGAAAATAATTGAATTTTTGAAAAGATTTTACTATTTAAAAAATAATTGAATTGTTTAGAAGGACTTATTAAAATTTTCGAAAATAATTGAATTTTTTAGTGAAATTTTATCAAAATTTTGTTTAAAATAATTGAATTTTTGCAAAAAATTTTACTATTTATAAAAATAATTAAATTCTTGCGAAGAATTATATTAAAATTTTTGAAAATATAAACAATAATAATTACTTTTGTACTTAAATAAGTGAATTTTTTAAATTTTGATTATGAAATTATTTTAAAATTTATATTTGAAAATAACAAATTTTGTAATTTGCTTAACATATCATTTGCTAGTTATATACATCATTTTCGTGTTACAGAAAAATGAAGTTGATAATTTATATTTTTATTTAATTTAAAAAAAGGTGATTTTATATTTAAATAAATAATGAAAACTTATTTTGTAACTAGTCCAGAACGATTTCGACGACAACCTTATCCAAGTGAGAAATTAGAAGAATTTCCATTCGAACTGCAGCCATCACAGAACGAACCTCATAATGGAGGATATAATATCGTAGGAGAAATGCATGACCTAAACCCACTTGGATCTTTAGTATCGGTTCAGGATCATGACTTGAATGTAAACTAAACATATTTATAGGCGCTCCCGGATTAAGTCTAAAACAAGTCTAGTACTGAGTCGACCAATCTGAGATTGAGTGCCAGTCTGGGCCAAACTTAGGTTTCCAAAATTTGTAAAATAAAGAAATAAAATTATTTAATTAATTATTATTTAAATTTATTATTATTCAAATTATTATTTAAAAATAAAATGCTGGACAAAAAAGCGACAAAAGATTTTTTTTCTTTAGTGTCCCTGGGCAAAGTTTCCAAGTTCCAAGTTTCCATCTTGTCCCCCAACTTGGATTTCTCAAAGTATTCCCGAATTGAAATAATTTAATTAGATTTTCTGTTATAAATCAAGAAAAAATAAGAAATATTACTGTATATTTTTCTAGTTTAAATTAATTTTGAATATCAAATTGTGCAGAAATTATTGTTAATATTTAAAAATAAACATTTTATATAAGAACAAAAAGAATTATTTTTAAAAATTTGTAATTTTGCATAGTAATAATAATAATAATAATAATAATAATAATAATAATAATAATAATAATAAACTGAATCCAGCATTTCCACCAGTGAGTAAAATTTTCTATTCGCCTTTAAAAATTATATTCGATTCATTTACAATTTCTAATCAATATTTTTTCAATTTGCAATTACATATTCGAAATCATTTTATTTCTCAAAGCATTTTAATTAAAGATTTATAATCTAAACCGCAGTGTTAAGAATTCACGATAAGTTAATTTCGCGGTTAACAAATGAAAATGAATCTTTCAAGGATTTCTCCACACGTTAATTGCACAAACGCCTCCCCCCTCTACAAACATCTTACACTATAAAGCCTATAAAAACCTTTGCGGTCACGAAAATTTTAGAATTGAAGAAAAGAAGGGAAATTTTTGTAGAGGAAAAATATCAAAACTGAAATAATATGATTGCGATTAATTAATTGAAATTTCGCTATAGGAATTTTATTAAATTTTTTTGAAATAATTGAATTTCGAATAAGAATTTTATTTTTTATAAAGATAATTGAAATTTTCATGAGAATTATTAAAAAATTTTGGAACATAATCGATTTTTTGCGAAGAATTTTATTACTTTTGAAAATAATTGAATTTCTGTAATAATTAGTAACTTCTAAAAAATTAAATTTTTTAAGTGTTTTTACCTAAAATTCTTCTGTAAATCCATTATTTTTAATAACTAATTAAATTTTATATTAAAAAATTTAACTATAATTCAGAAGAAGTTGAATTATTAAAATTTTTCAAAAAAACTATGTTCTTTAAAATTTTTAATTAAATTGATTCAAAATTGAAACTTTTTGAAATTTATTCTCTTCACAGCACAAAAAAATATTTGAAGTAAGAAAATAAGAACATTTCTAATAATAATTTTCTTCCAATTAGTGGAAAAAAATAAATCATTTTCCGCGAAATAGGACAGAAAGTTAAAAATGAAAAAAAAACGCTAAAAAATATAGTGTTTTTTCTGGAAACTGACTGTTTTTGTATACAAGTATGTTTTTTGAGTGTTTTGGGATTAGAATTATGTTGAAATCGATAGAAAGATTTTCATTAGGTACTTTAAAAAAATTTTGATTTTTAGCGTTAATTTGAGATTTTTGAGAAGAGACTATAAACCTAGAAATTTGCAAACTTTTTATCAAAAAAAGTTCTAGAGAAAAGTCGTTTGATTTTTCCTAATCTAAAATGATATGCAGTTAAAAATTTTGATTTTTTAAAAAATTGAAATCTTTAAATTTTGAATCTACTGTAGTTTTCGGCGAAAACGGCACCGGCGGACAGATAATTAGTAAGCTGCGCACAAAACTTTGAAAATTAACTATTTCCGAATTTCTTCTGACCATAATCTTTCAATATATCACTTCTGAGACCCAAAGGGACCATATTGATTTTATGAAATATTATTAAGAATTTCAAAATTCTTTATTTGTTAATCTTACACTTTAATTATTTTAGAAATATTCATAATAATTTGTTCGTGTAATTTAAAATATTACTTCGATATATTTTCTCAGCCAAGATGTTTGTAGATAGACATAAAATTATTTGAGCAACCCACAGGTAATCCAATTTTCTGTCTAAAATAAATTAAACTTCCAAATGGGTTGCAACCACTGTAGACACAATTAGCAGAAGGAAATGTAGATTTGACCATTTTTTCGTCTTCAAGACTTTCATTTTTACTATAAGCTGTAACTACCAAAGGACACTGTCCTTTATTAAACACTTGAATAGATTTTTCCCATGTAGGATAATAATGCAAACCAGCATTGAGACAAGCAATAATATCTGGCTTTTTAAAATCCATTTGTCCACAGTATGCATCATACAATAAAGAATGCATTTCAATTGTTAGTTCTTTGTTTTCTTGTTTGCAGGTTTCGCAAAGTACTTCGACACGATTTTCAGGAAACATAAATTCGTCTCCGATGAGAATTACTGAAAGTTTTTGCGCAGATTTAAAATAGTGCAATAATATTTCCCAGTCGTTATACTGTAGCTCTGCCAGAGCGGCGCCTACAACATGAATCACTAAATTTTCTGAATTATTATGAAAGTCCAATTTCTCCATGGCGAAAATTATTGACAGTGGTCTGGAATATTCGTCTGAAAATGATATATTCCATAAATCTCTTGTTTCCTCGGAATATGAATCAACTGAATTCTTTGTTACGTAAGTCTTCGTAAATTCAATAATTGAGGACGGTAATTTGTCAGTTTTTATTTGTGCACTCAATTTTACAGCAGTTGTAGTTGTATATACTGAAGTCGGTACAATCATGGTACTGATGATAAATTTATGACATTCCTCTTCATGAAGGGGATTATTTAAGTGTTCCTTGCAAAATGTAGTTTGTGGGCATTTTTTGCAATTCACAAGAATTTCATGTCTACTTTCGTAACAAATTGAACAAATTCTTGGAAACTGGATCATATGCATTTCCCATAAATTTAACTTTCTCTTCAGTAATTTAGCTGCTTTTACCTTCAAACATTCCTACAATAACAAATTTATTTTAATGATTGTTTAGAATATAAACTAATTAAATTTTAAGATACTTATTTTTAAAATACTTATTTATACCATATTTTTCTATAAATAGAATGAGAAGAAAATATGTTTAACCGATTTTAAAATGCCAGAGAAAAATTTCACGTGGAATAGCCCATATTCTGAAATCTTGTATTTATACTTACAATTAATATGTCACCTTCTCCATTATTATAAAGCCGATTAAAAACAGCCGTTCTTTCTTCCACAGTGTTTACTTTCAATGATTGAAAAAGATTATCCACTTTCCAATCCTTTTTAATTTGACACAAAACTCTGCAAAATTGCTTATGATTCGGCCAGTCTTGTTTCTGGTGTTCTTTACTGCAGTACGAAATCATATTGCAAGCACCGCATCTTTTTAAATCGACATTTTCACCGTAACAGCGACAAATATGGCACATATTTGGATAGTAATGTGATTTTTCATTATTTATCAAATCTGTTATGTCCACATGTAGAGTCTCGCAATAATTTGAGAGATGTCTTTGCATTGATTCAGTTAAATTATCCATATTTTTTTATAACACTTATTAAGAATGTTGGAAGGTTCATAAAATTTCTAGGTTATGGAGCTATCAGCTATCGCGGAACAACATTGATATCAGTGATATCTATGGTTAAGACGGTTAGTTAAGACCAACGCACAATAGGTTCGTTCACAAAAGTCGTTCGTAAACGAGAAACGAGATGCAAGAAATAGAAAAGGACAAATATATCGCTGTCCTTTTCTAACACATACTTTGCGTTCGCGAAGCAGTTGTGCATGGGCCTTTACCTTTCTTTTAAGTAATTAATTAAATCTAATAAATAATTACTTAAAAATTAGTTTACTGTTCTTAATTAATTAATTATTGAAACTAAAACATGTCTAACCTTAAAATAGATGTACGCGCGTATTGTTTCGATAGCGCCAATGTGAACGCAATTCCGATTCTTTCCGTAAAAATTTCTACACCGAGTCACCGACAGTGTTGTGAATACACCCTTAGTCACATTTAACAGAACTTTCATATTTTAGATCTTCTACCATATTTTTTCACATTTCGAACATTCACTACAGTTCATGAACACCTGCCTTTTTCTCTGTAATAAATATGGCATCATTTTTGCTATCTTAACAATAGAAGTAGATAGTATATTAATAAGTTTAAGAATAAAAAAAAAACGTTTAGAAGCAGGTATTTTTAAACGTTTATAATATAGTTATCAAAAAATAAAAATTTCCAATAATGGCTGATTTTATTCACTCCGAAGCAGAGGAAAGTGAGGTAGGTTTCTAAACTCTAACCATGCCACAACTTTAAATTTATAGAAGCCGGTGAAAAGGAGAATTGTTTTCTCATTTCGTCATTGTATTTACCGTAATTTATTTACAGCTATCATCTTTTTTTTGACAATCACAATTCAAGTCTTTTATTATTTCTATTAAACTAACCTTGAAATATATTTGTTTATTTTCATTTTTCTCTTTATGTGAAAGCAACGACAGTTATAAAAATGAATTTATCGTTAATTATTCTAAGAAAATATCTTCATACATATATTAGAGAATTAAAAAATTTATAGACGTTTTCAACAATTTTTTTTATATTAAAATAATTTTATTAACTGTTGAAAATGGAATTTTTCTCACCTTCAAGGAATATTTTTCTCATGAAATTCCGAGACTTCTGTTTATGATATCAAATTCTTTCAGTTAATACAAACTATGACGCATTCAAACTATAATATTTTACACCTTTATGACTTATTTTTATTATTTGTGTTCTGCCGAATTTGATAAAATTGTAAATAAAAATAAACTTAAATTTTTTTAAACAATTTCTTTTTAATTTAAAAAAAATTAACTCCACTATTATATTTTGTGCAATTCAATTATTTTCCATTAAGAAAAATAATATTAAACTGTAAATTTCTCTCTATATATTTTAAAAATCACCAGTTTTAAATAATATTTAAAAAAAAAATGAAGGGAAGACATCACCGAAAAACAAATAAGATGGTAAAAAATATTTAATTTTTGATGAGGTTGGAATTTTTTTCTTTTCACAATTTTAAAAATTTTAAGCAACTTCTCGTATGTATTTGCAATAATATGCAATTGGTAAAAAAAAATTGCAACCTCTTCAAAATTATTAAATTTAAATATTTTTGATCATCTTATATTGTTTTTAGGTTCAAAATAATGGAAAAATATTGTTTTTAATGTAAACGATTGTTACAATATTGAGAATATTTACAAAATTTTTAATAAATTTCTTCGAAATAATTCAATTGTTTTCATAAGTAATAAAATTTTTACAGGAATAAAATTATTTAATATACAAAATTTTATATAATTTTTCGAAAAATAATTATTTAAAAAAATTGTTATAAAATTCATCGCAAGGATTTAATTATTTAAGAACAATTTAACAAAGTTCTTTTCAAGAATTCAATTATTTTTATAAATAATAAAATTCTTCATTGAATTTCAGTTATTTTTATAAACTTGAATAAAATTCATTTGAAGAATTAAATTATTTTCAAAAGTAATAAAATTCTTCGGAGAAATTCAATTATGTTCAAAAATTAAAAAAAAATTCTTGTCAAAATTATTTCAAGTATCTTTATAAATAATAATATTCTTCTCCAAAATTCAATTATTTTAGAAAAATTATAATAAAATTTTTCGGAAAATTTTAATTATTTTTATAAATAATAAAACTCATTGCCGGATTTTAATTATTTTTGATACAATTTATAAAAATAATTGAATTCTTTCAACGATTTTTATTAAATTTTCTTTAAAGAGTTGAATTTTTTTGAGAAATTATAAGTGTATAAAAAAATTGACAGTGAAAATTACTAAAAATTACGAGAGTAGTTCATATTTTTATTTTTCGAAAATATGAATATTTATTTAAAAAATTATTAATTAATTAAATTTTTTTTAAATTTTTCAAAGCATATTATAATTTTGAATATTAAAATTTGTCAGAAAATACATTGTTCTCCCATAAACAATAAAAATTTAATTAAGTTGAAATTTCACCGGTCTCTCCCCTTAATAAAAAAAAAATTTTTATGAAAGTCCATTTTTCTTTCTTTTAGGATGAAGAAGAATTAGACCACCATGACAGGAAGAAACTTAAGAGACTTAAAGCAATGGAAGAAAGTGAGGAAGAAGATGAAGGTAAATTTAATTTTTATCTATTTCTGCTGAAAATCCAGCTGTAAAAAATTGTTTTTAATTGAAACATATTTTGCCTTTAATTTAAAAAGTTTTAACGCAATTATCTTAAAAAATAACAAAATTCTTCACAGAAATTTAATTATTTTTAGGAAATTTTCAAAAATTCTTTGCAAAATTCAATTATTTTAATAAATAAAAATATTCATCACAAGAATTCAATTATTTTCAAAAGTAATAAAATTCTTCAAAAAAATCCAATTATTTTAAAAAATTTTAACGAATATCTCTTCAAGAATTCAATTATCTTTACAAATATAACAAAATTTTTTGTCAAAAAATAAACTATTTTCAAAAAGTTAACACGCAATTATTTTCATAAAATAAAAGTTCTTCACTAAAATCCAATTATCTTTAGAAATTTTAATAAAACTCTTTGTAAAATTCAATTATTTTCATAAAGAACAATATTCATGACAAGAATTGAATTATTTTTAAAAGTAATAAAATTCTTTGTAGAAATTCAATTATAAAAAATTTTAACGAATATCTCGTCAAGAATTCAATTATCTTTATAAATATAGCAAAATTTTTCACAAAAAATTCAATTACTTTTAAAAATTTAGATAAAATTCTTTGCAAAATTTCAATTATTTTCATAATTTCAAGAAACATTCAATTATTGAATTAAATAATAAAATTCGTTGCAATAATTCAAAAATTTTCATAAATAAAATTTTAATTCGTCGCAGAAAGTCAATTGTTTTTAAAAATTTTTTAAGTAATTTTGCAAAAAATTCAATTATCTTGATAAACGACAAAATCGCATAAATTCTTCCCTTAAAATCAATTATTCTAAGGAATTTTAATAAAATTCTTTTCCAAAATTCAACTATTTTGATAAATATCAAAATTCATCACAAGAATTGAATTCTTTTGAGAAGTAATAAAGTACTTTGCAGAAAATAAATTATTTTCAAATATTTTTAAAAATTCTCGTCAATAATAATTTTGTCATCTTTATAAATAGATAGCGAAATTCTTCCCAAGAATTAAATTATTGTCAAAAATTTTAATACTTAACATTCTTGGCTAAATTTCAATTATTTAAAGAAAATTTAATAAAATTCTTCTCATGAATTCAATTATTTTCATAAATTATTATTAAAATTCTTCTCAGGAATTGAATTATTTTTAAAAATATTTAATAAAATCCTTAAAAATATTTCAATTATTTTCAAAACTGCTTATAAAATTCTTTAATATAATAAATTATAATAAAATTTTATTTAAATTCCTTAAAAGAAATTAAATATTTTCAAAAGTTGTTAATAGAATTATTCGTAAAAAATAAATTATAAGAAACATTCAATTATTGAATAAATTATTTATTTATTTAAATAATTGAATTCTCGTAGAATTTTTTTAATAAAAATTGATTTAAAAATGAATTTTGATTAAAATTTTAAATAATTAAATATTAAAAGCATTATAGCATGAATTCTTAGAAACAATTGAATTTTGAGAAAGTTTCAAATTCAAATCTTTGAAAATCTGAATTTTTCATACTTTTAACTAACAATTCTGTAGAATTAATTTTTTAAAAAAGTTTAATTGAATTTTGTTTTTGGAATTATTAGATGTTTTTATTTTCTAATATATATTTAACTGAAGAATTTTTAAATAATCGAATTTTTGTAAAATTAAATTGTGAACAAGATTTGAAAATTTTCAAAGAACTTTTTCAAAAATGATTAAAAATAATTGATATAAAAAAGAATTTTAGTTCTAAATTCTAGAAAATGTTAATTGAATTGAAATGATAAAAATAATTTTGAAGAAGATAGAGTAATAATGTTCTTATAATATAAAATAATAATTTTGTCACTCTTTCATCTTTAATTGGTATAAAACATGAAGAAATCGATTACTTCGAGTCGAAGACTCGGAGTGATCAATTTCTTCATGTTTTCTAATAATTTACTTTTAAGTTTTTAAATTTCAAAAAGGTTTGAATTTGAAGTTTTTAAATTTCATAAAAGTTTGAATTTGAAGTTTTTGAAAATCTTAATTTCTATAAAAATATTACCTAATGATTAAATATTTATTTAAAAACGAAGTTATTGATGTTTTCGAATAATTTTACAATGAAAGAAATTTTTAAATAAATATATTATAACATTTTTCTAAAAGTATCTAATAATTTCTAGAGTGAATCAGAATATTCTTTTGGAAATTTTCTTGATTGACGCTAGTGATTTTGTCTAAAAAATCGCGATGGGCCAACCTTGACCATGTTCCCTTAATTGAAATGAAAAAATTTATTTTTACTTTTTTTTAAACTTTGCATACGACTCGTATGTGGGCGATTTTTTACAGTTAGGTTTGAAATCACAAACGGAATCACTCGTAACTTGTTTAAATAAATAATATTTCTAAACAAATTTCTCAACTAATGTTTGCAATGTAAATTTTCAATTTAGAAGACGAAGAGCGGATGCGTGAGGAATTGAAAGATTTAATAGACGATGGTCCAATCGAAGAAGACGGAGATGATAGCGACACATCACAGAGATCCAAGAAACGCAAGAGAAGTGATAATGATTTTGATGATCGACTTGAAGACGATGATTATGATTTAATTGAGGAAAATTTAGGCGTTAAAGTAGATAGAGTAAGTATCTACTTTTCCAACTTTTTGGCCATTTGCTTTCATTAATTTTTCGTAACTAATTAATTTTTGTGAATATTTTTAGAAACGTTTTAAACGTGTGCAAAAAATTGATGATGAAGAGTCGGAAGAAGAAGCAGTGCAGGAGGAAGAGAGGGATGCAATTGCCAATGAACTGTTCGAAGGATCTGGTGACGTTAGTATTTTTCTTTTTTACTTCGTAGTACTAAATTAAAGTCACTTATTTACTTAAATATCACATTATTACGTTTTAATTACAAACTAGTGCTCAATTATCCCTAAATTTAGTAAAAATTGAAAAATTATGACAATTATTTAAAAAATTTGTTGAATTTATCATAGAGTTTTAACAAGATTACCACAGGTCAGGAAAGTCACATTTTTTTCTATTTCTGACAATAATTTCTTTCTAAATAACTTATTTCTTGAAAAGCTATTTTCAAATTATTACTTATAAATTATTTCATGAAAAACACTATAAACAATTGAATTTTGGAGAAGTTAAAAATTATTGCAGAAATTCAATATTATTTTCAAAAGTAATAAAATTCTTCAAAAAAAATTCAAGTGTTTTAATAATAATTTTTTTTTAAATCTTGTCAAAATTTCAATTATTTTTATAAAGAATAAAATTCTTCTCCGAAGTTTAATTATTTTCTAAAATTTCAATTATTTTCAAACATGTTCAATTTAATGATTTTCAATATTTACCATTTTAATAAAATTTTTCAAAAGAATTCAATTATTTAAAAAAAATAATTGAATAAAATTCTACGCAAACATTTAATTATTTTCATGAATAATAAAAATTTCACAGGAATTCAATTATTTAGAATTTATTTTATAATTTTCTTCCCAATAATTTAATTAGTTTTCATAAATAATAAATTTTTTTTACAGGGATTCGATTATTTTTATAAATAATAAATTTCTTTTTAGGAATTCAAATATTTCCTTAAACAATAAAACTCATCGCAGAATTTCAATTATTTTTAATAAAATTTTAATCGAATTCCTCGAATAATGTAATTATTCTGAAAAATTTTATGAAAATTCGTAAAAAGAATTCAATTATTTAAAAATTTGTTGATAAAGTTCTTTATAAAAATTCAATTTTACGAAGCATTTAATTATTATTCAATAAATTATTCATTTTTGGATTTAAATAATTGAGTTCTCGTAGAATTTTCTAATAAAAATTGATTTTCATTTCATAAAAATGAATTTCAGTTAAAATTTTCGATAATAACTGAATCTTAAAAGCATTATGGCATGAATTTTTCGAAATAATTGGATTTTATAAAGGTTTTTAAATTACAATTTTTAACTAACAATATTCTGTAGAATTAATTTTTTTGTAAAAGTTTAATTGAATTTTTTTTAAATTATTTAAAATTTTTGTTTTCTAATATATATTTGATTGAAGAATTTTTGAAGAATCGAAATTTCGTCAAATTGAATTGTAAACAAATGGATTTGAAAATTCTCGAAATTCTCAAAAATAACATTATTATTCAATTTTTTTATTTTGAAAATTATTAAGTTAATTTTTCTAACTAATTTCAGACCATAATTTTATCATATTTTTAAATACTTTTTATTTTTCATATATAAAAATTCGGATCTGAAATTAATTAAAAAGTAAACAAATGAATTTTTATGTAAGAAAATTGAATAATAATGATATTTTCTACCATTTTCAGCCTAAAAACAAAGTTTCAAAAAAATGCTTCAAAAAGTATGAAAATCGTATGAAAATAAATTGTTTCTTTTAGAAATTTTGGTTTTTTTTTCAAAAAAATGTTTAAAAAATTATGATAATCAAATTTTTTATTTAGAAACTTTGTTCTCTTTCAAATAAATGTTTAAAAAATTATGAAAATCAATTGTTTCAATTAGAAATTTTTTTTTTCAAAAAAATGTTTAAAAAATTATGTAAATTAAATTTTTTATTTAGAAATTTTGTTCTTTTTCAAAAAAATGCTTCAAAAATTATAAAAAACAATTTTTTCATTTAGAAATTTTGTTTTTTTTTCAAATAAATGCTTCAAAAATTATGAAAATCATATTTTTCATTAACTTTGTTTTTTTTTCGAAAAAAATACTTAAAAAATTATGAAAATTAATTCTTTCATCAATTAGAAATTTTGTTTTTTTTTTTAAAGAAATGCTTCAAAAATTATGAAAATCAATAATTTGTTGTCCAGGGAAAAGTCAGGGAAAGAAATTAAATTTTTGTGGCAACCCTGTTGTTTAATTCTTAAGTTGAGTTGCACTGAAAAGAGATTATGAAAGATTTTGAAAGCTTATTAATAAGAATACTGGTAGTTAGTACTAACAGCAAATAACATTAAAAAAAAAATATTTTTGAAACGCAGGAGGATGATTTAAGATCTGAGCGAAGTCACCGCGTCGTAGAGTCTAGAATCGATGAAGTGAGTGAAGGAGATTCTTCTGATGCTGATGATTTCATTGTCGATGATGATGGTAGACCAATTAGAGAAAAGCGGAAAAAGAAACATATTTTCACTGACTCGTAAGTAAAATTTATTTTTGAAAAAATTATTTTCTATTCAAGTTAAAATAATTTTTTTATTTTTGACAAATCCCAACAAAAACATCTTTGATAAAAAAGTTCCGCCAAGTAAAAATTTTTGAGAATTCGCGGTTATTACTTTTTGCTTGTCGGCGATTCTTGATATTAAATATTTTTGTAATTTTCTATAAACTTAATTAAACAACAATTAAATATTTTTATTATAGGGCACTTCAAGAAGCTCAAGATATTTTCGGCGTGGACTTTGATTATGATGAATTTGAAAAATATGGCGACGAAGACGAAGAAGAGGAAGAGGAGGATGAGTATGAAGAAGAAGGCGATGTTGAGAGACCGAGAAGATCAAAGAAACAACCGAAAAAGAAGACAACTAGAAAGAGTATTTTCGAAATTTACGAACCCAGTGAACTTAGACGTGGACACTTTACCGATCAAGATAATGAGGTATTCATTTTAATTTTGATAAAGTTTTCAAGTTAATTATGTTCAAGTGATTATGTTTCAAGATTTTTTTACTTACTTTCTTTTACTTTTCTTTTACTTTTAAGATTTTTTAAACTACACTTTCTTTTAAAGGTTCGGATTACTGACATTCCAGAGCGAATGCAACTTCGTTCAGTGCCAGTGACTTCGGTGCCAGAAGGTTCAGACGAATTAGATAATGAGGCGAAGTGGATTTACGAGCAAGCCTTCTGCAAACCGACACTTTCCGTTCAAGATGCGCACTTGAACGATGAAGCCAAGGAGCGTGCTAGGGAACGAGCAAGTAATGGACCGCAGACAATTGGAAAAATCAAGAAAGCTCTCGATTTCATGAGAAATCAACACTTTGAAGTGCCTTTTATTTCATTCTATCGAAAGGAATACGTTTTACCCGAACTGAACATCAACGACTTGTGGAAGGTCTATAAATTCAATGCAAAATGGTGTCAGCTGAGACAGCGTAAAGAAGATCTAATAAAGCTTTTCGATAAAATGAAGAACTACCAACTGGAGGAGATAATGAAAAATCCCGACGCGCCCTTACCGGACGGAATAAGAATCATCAAAGACGATGATATCGATCGTCTTGAAAATGCTCAAACTCCCGAGGAGCTCAACGACATGTATCGTCACTTCAAATTGTACTACAGTGAGGACATTGAATTGATGCAAGAATCGGTGAGAATAAAGGAGCGCGAGATGCGAAGGCAAGAGAAGCTCGAAAGACGAAAGCAACTCATAGCCGAAGCCGAAGAGAACGGCGAGGATCCACCTCCGGAGGAAGACGCAGATGAAGAGGAGAATGAAGTTGACGATGTCATCAAGAAACCAGTGAGAAATGATCCTTATTCGGTTTGTAAGAAAGCGGGTCTACATTCACTTTCGAAAAGATTTGGTCTCACTCCAGAGCACTTTGCCGAAAATCTACGTGATAATTATCAGCGTCACGAGGTCGATCAGGAAATTGCAGATCCATTGACAGTTGCCGGTGAATATTGTGGACAAAAATTCACAACTCCCGAGGAAACGATAAAAGCTGCACAGTTAATGGTCGCAATTCAATTGGCTCGCGAACCGTTGGTTCGTAAATCCGTGAGGGATATGTACATGGAGAGGGCGAAATTGTCCGTACGACCGACGAAGAAGGGAATTAAGGAGATTGACGAGAATCATCCGGTTTATAGTATGAAATACTTGAAGGATAAACCGGTCAGAGATTTTGTTGGTGATCAGTTTCTTAAACTTGTCATTGCTGAGCAAGATAAGTTGATAACCATGTCATTTAGTGATTCGTTTGAAGGCAATACCACCAGTAATTATATTGATGAAGTTAAACAACTTTACTACAGAGACGAGTTCAGTAAAACTGTTCAAGACTGGAATACACTTCGAGTCGGCAGTGTGGAAATGGCTTTGACAAAAATGGTAAGTTTTTTCATTTTTCTACAGTTCAAATTAACATTTTTAAAAAAGGGAAGAATGTTAGTTGCAGGTGTCGTACTCATCTACTAAAATCTACTATTTACTACTTTTTTTACGTTACTATTTAGGTACTTTTTTTAGATTTCAGCCACTAAAAGCTACTATTTCTGTTTTTTTTTTATAATTTCCACTGCTTTAAATTCGTTAATACTAGAAATCAAAAAACTATTCTCAAAAATTATAATCAAATTCTTTAAAGTTTAAAGCTATTCAATTATTTTCAAAAAATATTCGAAATTCTATTTTCAATATCTAGTATTTTCATTAAATTTCTCAAAAGAATTCAATTATTCAAAAATAATTAATAAAATACAATTATTTTCACAAATAAAGTTTTCCACAAGAATTCAATTATTTAAAATAAAATCTTCATAAAAGTATATTTCAAAAAAAATAATTATTTAAAACAATGTTTATAAATTTCTTATGAAGAATTCAATTATTCTCAAAAATTACAAAAGTTTTCATAGAAATTAAATTCTTTTTAAATTTTGTTATTTTTGAAAATAATTGAATTATTCATGAGAATTTTATAAACATTGTTTTAAATAATTATTTTTTTTGAAATATACTTTTATGAAGATTTTATTTTAAATAATTGAATTCTTGTGGAAAACTTTATTTGTAAAAATAATTGAATTTTGAATAAATTTTATTAATTGTTTTTTGAATAATTGAATTCTTTTGACAAATTTTATGAAAATTTTTCCCAATAATTCAATTATTTTCATAAATAATAATAAATAAAATTCATCGACGGATGTCAATTATTTGTAATTCAATTTTATACAGGAATTGCTAAAAAAAAATTCCTTTCCAAAATTATATAATAAAGTCTTTAACGTCCGAGTAGTTTTGATAATAAGACAGAAAAACGAAGACATTTAGACAAAGATTCATATTTAATGTTTCGATTTCGAAACGTTGGTGTAACATTAAACATTTCCTTTATAAAAATTCAATTCCCCGAAAAAATCAATTATTTAAAAAAATATTTTTTTTAATTCTTTGAAAGAATTCAATTATTAAAGATAAATAACAAAATTATTCCTGAAAATTCAATTATTTTGAGTCAATTTAATAAAATTCTTTGCAAAATTCAATTATTTTCATAAATAACAATATTCATCACAAAAATTCAATTATTTTTAAAAGTAGTAATAAAAGTAAATTATTTTCAAAAATTTTAATAAAATTCCTTGCAAAATTTCAATTTTATTTTCAAAAAATTTTCTTCTTTCAAATTATTTTCAATATTTTTACTATTTTAATAAAATTTCCCACCAGAAAATTCAATTATTTTCAAAATTAATAAAATTCTTCGCAAAAATTCAATTATTTTCAAAAAATCTGAAAAAAATTGTCGTCAACATTTAATTATTTTCAAAAACTTTATAATAAAATTCATTGCAAAATTCAATTATTTTCATAAATAATAATATTCATCATAAGAATTCAATTATTTTCAAAAATTTTAATAATATTGCAAAATTTCAATTATTTACAAAAATTTTTCATAATTCCATAATTTTTAATGCTCTACTATTTTTATAAAATTTTCCAAAAGAATTCAATTATAAATTTCTTCGCAATAATTCTACTATTTTCATAAATAATAAAATTTTCTAAGGAATTCAATTATTTAAAATAATTATAGCGCATTATAGCGTGAATTTTTAGAAATAACTGAATTTTGAAAAGGTTTCAAATTATAATCTATGAAAATCTGAATTTTTCTATACACTTTTAACAAACAATTCTGTAAAATTATATTTTAGAAAAAATTTAATTGAATTATTCTTGAAATTATTTGAAGTTTTTATTTTCTATTATATTATTTAATTGAAGAATTTTCGAATAATCGATGAAATTTCGTAAAATTGAATTGTAAATAAATTAAATTGAAATTTCTCAAAGAATTTTTTCAAGAATTAGTAAAAATATTTGATTTGATTTGAATTACGATTCACAAGTAATTCATTGGGAAAAATGTTAATAAAAAGAAAAAAAATGAAACCAACACTACGCGGTATTCCCAAGCGGTCACCCATCCAAGTACTAACCGCGCTCAACGCTGCTTAACTTCGGTGATCGAACGAGAACCGGTGCATTTTTTGCATTTGTAATTGTTTATTTATTGCCAAAATTAATAATAATACAAGGTTTCACAATAAACGATGAAATCATTTTTACATTATTATAAAGGACTTACTGGCTAATACAAAGCTCTCGAAGTCGCGTACAATATTTTATGCCCACGAATGCATATATTAGTTAATATTTTTATTCTATATTAAAGATATTTTTTCTAATTCCCAGGAGAAATATTCAATTTGCTTTTTATCGATCAGAAAGGGCTTAAGAAAACTGATCATTTCGCTATTTTTGTTTTTATTTTATGGATAATAATGAAAGAAAATAACCTGAATAAACTATATTATAATAATTAAATTTAACAATAACAATGAATAAGAAAAAAATGAGATAAATAATTAAACTAATTTATGAACTAAGAATATTTACAATGTTAATCGATGATTTTCTTTTAATAAGATACAATTAATATAATTGGTTGGCTAATAGTTAATACATATTTTACATAATGGATAATATTTACAATAATTAGAAGTATAAGGGTAGATTTATATTGTTTCTAATTCTTATTTACAGTTTTACTTAGAATAATAACTATTTACAATATCTTAATAGTTATAAATTTAATTTTTTGTTTTTGATTTTAAGAATGGGATTTTAATTAGCTATTCGTCTAACCAAAAATATTTTTTGATGTTTTGTCTGTGTTTGTCTTTAATTTCCTTGTTTGTGATGAAAGTGGTATATCGCCATTCATCATTTGGTATAGTAGTGTCTAAGTGTTTGTCGTACAGAAACGATTTCTTCCTAGCATTTCTTTTGTAATGGTATATTACTGGGGCACCGTGGGTGTCCTGTATATAACCATTTTTGTCCAGGTAAGGAAACGCTTCTGGAGGGACAAAATTGGTTTTTATTACGTTTTCAAAATAGTTGTCATTTGGATAGTACATAGAATAAATTAAGCTATTGTCAGTTACATTTCTTATACTCGCAAAATAATTCCTTGTTATTTTAATTATTTGTGTGTCAATTTTATTAATATTAGCTAGGTTGTAAATAACTTTACTCGATATGTATTTTTGGAAATTCGACTCAGCTGATCTATATTTTCCTAGACATACTCTTAGGCATTTTCTTTCGAATACTCTTATTCTTTCTACAATGGATGCACTTAAATTGTACCAAATAGGACATGCATATAGTAATATGGGTCTTATGAATAACATGTAACAGTTGATTTTTATTTTATAATTTAAATGTTTACTATACATTAATCTTCTTAATTTATTGAAAACTTGTTTTGCATGTTCTATTTGTGTGTCTATGTGTTTTATAAAGTAGAGTGTTTGGTCTATGTTTAGTCCTAAATATTTTACAATTTTCTTATTAGGCACTGGTTCGCCATCATCTTTTCTTTCTTTTATTTGAAAGTTTTTCCAGCATTTTTTTACGTTTCGATTGGCTTCGGAGAGGGGACCTCTAAACAAAATAGTTTCGCATTTGGAGACGTTAACTTTTAATTTCCACGTGTAAAGGTAATATTGTACATTTTCAAAAAGTTGTTGTAATGTTTCTTGTATTTCTGAGACTTTTTTTCCAACGACGTATATTATCATATCGTCTGCAAATGCGATACCTTTTTTGTTTTCATCTATATTTATGTCATACATTTTTAGTATTTCGTAAATAAAGATGTTAAATAATATCGGAGATAGAACTGTTCCCTGTTGTAAACCGTTTTTATCTAAGAACTCTTTATTTAATGTTGTGGTACCGTCCGTTACTATAAAACTTTTGTTTGTTATCATATTTTTTAATAATTTTATTAGATGTTTAGGGAAAGAATTTTTTAATAACTTAAATATTAATCCATCTGTCCAAACAGTGTCAAAGGCCTTTTCAAGATCAATTAAACAAGCTCCTACACATTTTTTATTGTTAAGAGCTTGAGAAATGTCTGACGTTAATTTGTTAATAGCATGGATTGTGGAGTGCTTGTGTCTAAAGCCATATTGTTGTTCAGGGATAATGTTTTTTTTCTCTACATATTTGTATTAAAGGGTCTTTAACAATTTTTTCGAAAACTTTACTTATATTGGGAAGAAGGCTTATAGGTCTAAAGTCACTCGGTTGTATACTGTTTTTTCCTTTCTTGGGGATAGGAATAATTTTTGACTTTTTCCAGTCAGTTGGAAAATGACTGTTGTTAAGTATATTATTGAAAAGAATGCAATAATTCTCTATTATTTTTGGTGTTAAATGCTTTAATACAATATTAGGAATTCCATCAATGCCTGATGATTTTTTATTATTTAAGTTTCTAAAAATTTTTGATAATTTGTATCCTGATGTAAAATAATTTGGAAGTTTTTCGTCAAGTAACTGAATGTCATTTGCTTTCAAGTTATTATCAAAGTTAACTATTGAGTTATTATTTATTTTATCATTTTCAATTTCTTGTTCTAAAGTGGTAATTTTTTGTTTAATGATTTTATTTAGTCCTTCTCTTCCGTAGTTGGAAAATTTTGTGTGTGTATTTTTAAAGTGTGTACCGATTATTTTGAGTTTATCTTTATTATTGGAAATTATGTATTTGTTATTGTTGTCAATTGGTAAGTTTTGTGCAGGTATTCCCGACTCTAGTAGTAGGGTTGCATTTTGATTATCAATTTTAAGTTGGGGTATGGCAACTTTACCTTTGGTTCTGAATAATTTATTCACTTGAGGAAACATGTTTTTTGGATCGTTTGCAGGAATATTTTTTATTTTTTCTGACCAATAATTATTTATGGATTTAATGAATTCTTGTTTGAGGAGAGCTTTTAATGCTATTAGTTTGTTTTTTAGAGAGTTTAATTCTCTTATTTTATTCTGATTTTGAAAATTTCTATAGATAATATTTATTTGTGTTATTATTTTACTTTTTGCTTTTTGAATTCTTTTTATAACGGGTGTTTGGTAAATTTCCATAGAGTTTTTACTTTTAATTTTTGGTAATGAGTTACTCATTGCTATTGTTATACATTCATTAATATCCTTTAAATAATTATCAATTTCATCATTTGATAGATTTTTATTGGATGGTATTCTAATGTCAGAAATTTGGTCTAAATTATTTTCAAATTTTTCCCAATTTGCTCGTCTATAATTAAAATTGTGGTTATGTGTAGCTTTTTCTAAAATAAAATCTATTTGTGTGTTGTAAGAAACATTCAATAGAATTGCGTTGTGATCGCTGTCATATTGTAAAGTTTCAAGTTTGTCTGTGTTATTGTATTTTTGTACCTTAAGTCTGGAGTCTAATATTCCTAAGTCAAGATATGAATTTCCTCGGGGGAAGGAGGGGAGACTTGGAGTGTATAATTTTAGTTTATAATTTATTTCATTGTCATCTATCCATTTTCGTAAAAAAGTTCCTCTTGTGTTGAAATTTTCATTTAACCAACTAGTGTGTTTAGCATTTAAGTCACCTGTCATTATAAAAAAGTTGTCAGGATCGTCTAAATTGAGAATTTGAAATAATTTATCAATTTCTTGATTAAAATTTAATCTGTTTCCGTATGCAGCGTAAGCAGATATGACAAAAAGCCTTTGATTGTTTGGTAAAGGGATTTTTATGATAACAGTTTCTAAGTTCTGAAACTGTTCTATTTCCGATAGAATTATTTGTTTAAATTTAAGGTCTTTTCTTATGAGTATTGCAACTCCTCCGCCTAATATTGTATTTGGTCTATCTCTTCTAATTAAAGTGAAATTTTGGAAATCTAGTTTATGTATAGGATTTAGTTTTGTTTCACTTAAAGTAATTATATCTGGATTATGTTTTTTTATGAAGTTTAAAAGATTATTTCGCCTTTCATTTGTTACAATTGAATTGACGTTTATTGATATTATTTTTAAATTTTTGACAGTAATAGTATTTTTTAGGTTAGGATTTAATTTACTATCCATTTTGAACAGAATTAGAATCAGTTAGTAGTTCAAATAAATCGTCTATTCTTTTGCTATTTTTTTCTACTAATTGTGTAATTTGAAGTATCTGTTTTGTTAAGTTGTTTAAGGTTTCTTGTAGGTTTTGTGCATTATTTAATGTATGTTGTTTATTGTTTATTTGTTGTTCTATATGTGGGTAGTTATTTTCTGTGTTGTGAAGTGTTTTTTTTGTAAGATGTTTGAGAAGCTTGTTTCTTTTGTTGTAAAATTGTTGTACATTCTATCTTTTGCAATCCTATTTTTTCTAATTGTTTCCAATTTCTCATGCATTCTTTGTTTTAATTCTATTTGTTTTTCACATCCCCTATAAGAAGCTGGATGACCATATTTTTTACATGATACACAATATACTTTTTCTCTTTCTATTGCATTCGTGGGCTCCGGTAGTTTACAATTACCCGGTTCATGATTTTCGCTGCATTTTACGCATCTATAATCTAAGTTACAATTCGAAGCTACGTGCCCCAATCTTTGACACTTTTTACACTGTATGCTATCTCTCTTTTTCAATTTTTCCCACCTGATAGTTTGGTAGTTAACATATTTAATTTTATGAAGCAAGTTTGTCTGACTGTTTGGAGTCAATTGTACTAAAAACAAGGGTAAGATTTTATTTTCTTTTTGAGATCTAGGAGTTGTGAATCTAGTAACTTTAAAAAATTGAATATTTTCTGATTCAAATTGTTTAAGATTTTCAAGTATGTCCGCGGGATCTGTACTTGAATCTAAACCTTTCAAGAGAAAGGATTTTATTTTTTCGTCTTTTATTGTGTAGGTAAAGAATTTTGAACTCGTAGCTTCGAGTTGTACTTTGGCATTTTTGAAATCTACAATGTTTTCTGTGTATAAAGAGTGTTTATCTTTGTTTATTCTTTTGATGTGAAATTTGTCTGTTTTTAAATGTTCTTTTATGAGGCTTACCGTTGTTGTCTGATCTTGTCCGTAGATAATGATCGGTGGTGGTTTACCTGCTGATGAATCCTTGCTGCTGCTGGTCGAAATTGGTTTATTGGATGTATTGTCCTGAGGGTTGTTGATCTGCTTATTGTTGCTGGTCGCAGTGGCCTTGGTTGAGGATGATGGGGAATTTTTATTTCCATTTTTTTCACTTTCTTGATTTTTATGAGGTTGGGGAAAACCCGTCACTGGATCGTTGGCTGATTTTATTTGTCCCACATCTGTTTCCATTTCAGTGTTGAAGTTTTTGTTCTGCATTTTTTCCAATTTTTCTATTCTTTGAGATTGTTGATGAATTGTTTGTAATAATTCATCAATAATTTTTTGTTGGGTTATATTGTTGTTAAACATCTCCTGATATTCTTGACTTGATATTTGCGTGTTATTCGTCATTTTTGCTGCATTGATTGGTACTATCAGAGAATCTTTTGCAGAGGAATCAAGTGATGATTTTTTATCTGGGCTAATGTTTGGTTTAACATACGGTTTCTGAGTCTCCGTCTTCTTCGGGGTTATTTTTTGCGCCTTTAGTGTCGTTGCTTTTGATTCTTTTTTAGGTGGTTTTGGCATTGCTTCATTTTTCACCATGATAGTATTTTGTAAGAAAAATGTTGGTCCATTTTCACTCACTGATTTATGATAGATTTTACTCCACTTTTCACTGTCAGTATTTTTTATTTTATCACTATCACTTTTTGAATTTGAATTACGCGGTATATCGGCTGTTATCATTCGCGCGGGCGCGAAACTCGGCCTATGGGCCGCCGTGATGGCGGGTTATTTTAAATTTCGTATTTTAGAATTTTTGAAAACTTGGGATCGGTGAGCTGGCTCTACCTGCTCCAAGGTACAACTTATCCCTTCAATAGTTAGAAAGGTACTCAACGAGAACCGGTGCACCCAGCGTGAAATGAGCGTTGGTTGAAAATAATATTTTCGCTATCGACTAAAATGATAAACTAGAGAACCTACATAAATATTTAAAATATATAGTTGTATTTATAATATCAAAGTAAAACTAAAATAATCAAAATTAATTTTAACAAAATTATAAATTTATTTCCTGCAAAATTAAAAAATGATAAAATCGTAGAAAATTTAAGGAGGGGGGAGGGTCCTAGTACGATTGAGACATCTAATTTTGAACTAAATTATTGGAAATTATTCGTAGCCCTTTTCAAAAAAATTAATAAAATAAATGTCCCGTTTTTTCTTAAAAATTATTGACGATTTCTTTTTGAGGTTGATTATGAATTTAATATCAGTTTTTAAAAATTGAATATGGGAGATATTACTAATTTGACTGAAATTTACTTCAGAAAAATCCACTACTAAGATTTTAGTTAATTTGAAGAATTTTCATTTTTAAATTGAACCCCCTTATTTACCTTTGTCACTGGAAACTTTTTGTTAACATTATAGTAATTACCACAATGTCTAAACTGTACTTTTTTAATTCGATTTGCTTGAAATATTATTTAGAGACTTTTAAGAGTCGTTGAACCTAAATTTTATTTGAAATTTAACTGTTTAACGCATCTGGGACATTAATGTCCCACTTACAAAAAGCTCAATATTTATAAACGAAATTAATATTTTTCATTCAAATTCGGTGCGTTTTCTTCGGCAAAAAGAGGGCTTTAAAGATATATTGACCAGAAAGTATCTAAAATTTGCTATTGTTTAAAAAAATGTATAAACCATTGTTAAAATTTCCGAATTTTTAAAATATTTTGGATTCGCATGAAACTCGTTGCTGATGCTACTTTTTTAAAATTCAAAATCACGGATTCAAAAACCAACATCTTATTCATAATCAGCGACCCTAAAAACTCCCAAATATTAAATTTCAAACTAATTCAATTACTCAAAAAAAAAATTTTCGTTATTTTGAATTTTAAGAAACTCCTTGAATTCATAATCAGCGTCCCTAACATGTTTGATTTTTAAAAATTCCCTCCTCCCTTTTCAGGCGAATTATAGAGTTGAGAATCCACTTGCCTTTATTTGATTGCAATTAATTTTTATTTTCCAGGTCATACCCGATTTGAAGAAAGAACTCAAGATAACACTTATCGCCGAAGCAAAAGAATGCGTTATGCGTGCATGTTGTCGTAAGATGTACAATTGGTTAAAAATTGCACCCTACACTTGCGAGTTTCCCGATGAAGAAGATGACGATTGGGATACAACTAAAGGTTTGCGAGTTATGGGCGTGGCTTACATTCCCGACGAATCCGAAGCTCCATTCGCTTGCATAGTAGCGCCTGACGGTGAATGTACAGACTTCTTGAAAATACCTCATATACTTAAACGTAAAAATAGCTTAAGAGAAAGTGAAAAGGTAATGAAGGAGGCTGATCTCCTAGCGGTTCGTAATTTTATAGCAACGAAGAAACCTCATCTCATTGTAATTGGTGGCGAAACAAGAGACTCCCAAATGATTCAAGCCGATCTTCGCGATATAATTTTAAACCTCGTTGATGAAGAACAATTCCCTAATATTCAGGTCGAGATTTGTGATAACGAATTCTCGAAAGTTTACGCGAATAGTAATAAAGGCATCACAGATTTTCGTGACTATTCCCTTCAATTGCGTCAAGCCATATCTCTCGCGCGGAGAATGCAAGATCCACTTTTGGAATTTTCTCAGCTCTGTACTCCTGATAATGAAATACTTTGTTTGAAATACCATCCTTTGCAAGATCAGTTTCCTCCTGAGGATTTATTGGAGAATCTTTATTTAGAATTTGTTAATCGAGTCAATGAAGTGGGGGTTGATATAAATAAGGCAGTTCAACAGGCTTATTTTAGTAATATCGTACAGTTTGTTTGTGGTCTGGGTGCTAGAAAGGGACAGGCTTTGCTCAAAATAATGAAACAGACGAATCAGAGACTGGAGAATAGAACTCAACTGGTTACTGTTTGTCATATGGGACCTAAGGTTTTTATCAATTGTGCCGGTTTTATAAAAATTGACACGAACAGTCTGGGTGATAGTACCGAAGCCTATGTGGAGGTTTTAGACGGTTCTAGGGTCCATCCCGAAACTTACGAATGGGCCCGAAAAATGGCAGTCGACGCTTTGGAATACGACGATGAAGACGCGAATCCCGCGGGCGCTTTGGAAGAAATTTTAGAAGCTCCCGAACGATTAAAAGATCTCGATTTAGATGCATTTGCGGAAGAGCTCGATAGGCAGGGTTTTGGTAACAAGAGTATCACTCTTTATGACATCAGAGCGGAACTTAATTCTAGATACAAAGACTTGAGAGCTCCGTATCAGTCCCCTAATCCCGAGACTCTATTCGATATGCTGACTAAGGAAACGATGGAAACTTTCCACACTGGTAAGTTGGTTTTGGCCAAAGTAGTCGGCATCACTCACAAGAAACCGCAGGGGGAACAACTCGATCAGGCAAATCCGGTTCGTAATGACGAAACCGGACTTTGGCAGTGTCCCTTCTGCTTGAAGAACGATTTTCCCGAACTTTCGGAAGTGTGGAATCACTTTGACGCTGGATCGTGTCCGGGAAAAGCGACCGGGATAAGACTACGACTCGACAATGGAGTTTCGGGTTACATACACATAAAGAACTTGTCCGATAAACATGTCGCTAATCCTAAAGAACGAGTTGCTATCAACCAACCGATTCATTGTCGCATCACAAAGATAGAGGTGGAGAAATTTTCCGTCGAATGTACGAGCAAGAGTAGCGATCTAGCGGATAAGAATCATGAATTCAGACCTCAGAAAGATCCGTTCTATGACAATGAGGCTGAGGAGAAGGACTACAGAGAAGAAGAGGATGCTAAGAAAACGAAACAAAAGCAGATTTACATCAAGAGAGTTATTGTTCATCCCTCTTTTCATAACGTCGGATTCGTAGACGCGGAGAAACTGATGAAAGACGTGAAACAAGGGGACGCTATCATCCGTCCGAGTAGTAAAGGCGCGGACCATTTGACCGTCACCTGGAAAGTTGTGGACAACATCCATCAGCATATCGACGTCAAGGAGGAGGGAAAAGCGAACGATTTCTCCCTCGGATCTCGCCTTTGGATCGGCGGCGAGGAGTTTGAAGACCTCGACGAAATTCTAGCCAGACATATAAATCCAATGGCCGCGTACGTATCCGAAATTCTCGACTTCAAATACTACAAAGCCGGAATCGACGGTATGAAAGACAAAGCTGAGGAAATCATCAAAGCCCAGAAGAAGGCGAATCCATCCGGTATTCCGTACATTTTATCAGCGGCTAAAAACTATCCGGGCAAATTTCTATTATCATACCTCCCGCGAGCGCAATGCAGACACGAATACGTGACCGTCACTCCGGAGGGTTTCAAATTCAGAGGACAAATGTTCAGCAGACTACCGGACACTGTCAAGTGGTTCAAGGAGCATTTCCGTGACCCGATTCCCGGACAAGCGACGCCTAGCACCCCACGCGGAATGATGAGTGCAAGAACCCCGTACATGGCGACACCGGGAACGATGAATGGAACGTTTGCTCAGACGATGCCTCATCCGATGATGAGCTCGATGTCACAGGTGCCGAGTCCAATGACCGGACACACCACTCCGGGCACGCCGCATGGAATGATCTTCAGGACTCCCTACATGCCGACGACACCCGGACCTATTACGATGACCCAGGAGGCGATTCAGCGAGTGGCTCAGAGCATGCCCCATCATATGTTGAGCTCCCTGTCGCAGGTGGCGAACCAAACTTATCCGCATACTCCGGCGACTACTTACGATGGAATGCAGTCTATGACGCCTTACACTCCTTCCGATCAGTCCCAATTGAACGGGAGTCACCGCGGTCATAAGTATACTTCCACGCCGCAGGACAGAAACGGACGGTACAAGAACAGAACTCCGCAGAACGAACCGAGTGATATGGACGATAATCCGTTCAGTGTCGGATCATCCAGGGAAGCGTCCAGGGAACGGGATACCGGAAGTAGGGGGTTTAATAATAGAGGTCGGGGCAGAAACCAGAATTCGAATCGGGATAATAGTTTCAACCCTCCGGATGATGATAATCCATTTTCGGTCGGGTCCTCGAACGAACGGAGTAGGAACGATAATTCCTTCTCGTCAAATTCGAGCGGTTCGTTTAACAAGAGAGGAAGGGGGCGTGGTGGGTACAATAGAGACAACTATTCGAATTCGCGTCGCGATTCTGCTCCACCTGATAATGATAATCCCTTCTCGGTTGGATCGTCGAACGATCGGAGTAGAAATGACGACGAAGATAATAGTTCGACATACTCGAGTGGGACGAATAGGTCCTTCAATGGGGACCGCAGGGGCGGAAGGGGAGGGAGAGGAGGAGGAAGAGGCGGCAACTTCCGGCCCAAGGGAGGCGACTCCGGTTCTAGATACGACACTCCAATGGATGAGGATAATCCCTTCTCGGTCGGATCTTCGAACGATCGGAGTAGAAACGAAGACTCTAGGGACGGGGACAGTTCCTACAAGTCCGGAAATGATGACAGGTTCAATAATCGCGGTGGAAGGGGAGGAAGAGGTGGGAGAGGAAGAGGAGAAAGAGGTGGAGGACGAGGAGGAAGAGGAGGTTACGATTCCGGTCCTAGGCAGAGTGCCCCGCCTATGGACGAGGACAATCCGTTCGCGATCGGGTCCTCGAACGATCGCAGCAGACACGAGGACGAGGCGATGGACACCGACAGTAATCCCTTCTCCAATGATGACAACAGATCGTTCAAAGGCGGCAGAGGAGGCCGAGGCGGAAATCGCGGTTCGAATTTCCGAAACAAAGAATTTCCGCCAAGAACTTCTAGATACGACGCACCTGCGGACGATGACAATCCGTTCTCGGTCGGGTCCTCCAACGATCGCAGCAGAAACGACGACGGGGACAATCCATTCAAGTCCGGAAATGATGACAACAGGTACAATCGCGGTAGAAACGACGACTCTAGGGACGGGGACAATCCGTTCAAGTCCGGGAACGATGACAACAGGTTCAATAATCGCGGTGGAAGGGGAGGAAGAGGTGGGAGAGGAAGAGGAGAAAGAGGTGGAGGACGAGGAGGAGGAAGAGGTGGAAACTTCAATAAAGGGAACTACGATTCCGGTCCCGCTCCATTGGACGATGACAATCCGTTCGCTATCGGATCATCCAACGATCGCAGTCGCAGCGACGACAATGATTTCTCAGGCAACAGATCTTTCAACAGAGGTGGTGGAAGAGGCAATCGCGGTTCCGGCTTTCATTCCAAAGGGAATTCGAATCCTCGTTTCGGTAGCTCTGCACCTCTAGACGATGACAATCCATTTGCAATCGGTTCCTCGAGCGACACCAACAGATATGATAATGACAAATCCGATAATCCGTTCACAAGTGCAAAATCACCTCGCGATATGGTTATGAGTGGAGACCAAACCCCCCTTTATGATGAAAGCTAATTTCCTCCCCCCCCCCGGGTTTTTCGAAAAATAAACTATTTTTAATAAAATTAATTTAACAGAAATTATCGCTATAAAAAAGCGAACCAAGAGGGAATTTAAATTTAGGCATTTAATTTTGTAAGGAAGAGCAATTAAATTTACGAGAATATGATACTGATATCTAATAATAAAAATAGTTTTTTTTTGGATAAATTTAAGTAGAATAATATTAAATTAATAATACAAGTATTCTCAAGATAAAAGTATTATTAATGCCGCGCACAATCATTCCGTCTTTGTACAACAGGAAATTTACTGTAAATAAAAATTCTCACAAACTCAGGTTCATTTCTCTGTAGCAGGCTATGGGAAAAACCAAAGACGTAAAATTGTCATTTACACCACTTTTCCCGTAGGAAAATTTTCTACTGCCACATTTCTAGAAAATAGATTATCGTCTTTGTTAAATAAAATTGAAAACTACTGCCTAAATGCAATCTACAGTAAAATAGTAATTAAAAAAAAAATTTTGTTACAAGATATATACAAATTTCATTTTTTTAACAGGACAAAATTTAAAATCGCTTATAATTTCAAATTTGTTTGACAATAATTTTTGCTTGTAAATATTTATAATTTTCTTTTTGTACATAGGGACCCATTTATAAAGAAAGAAAAAAAAGGCAATTTGTGGATGTAAAAGTTTTCAACTTTTCTTCCCTGCTCTAAGCATTTATTTGAAGATGAGAAAAAAAGGAAGGGAATTGTAATATCGTTTCGTAACATGCAATCGCGGCTAGTGAAAAAAAAAACAAATGCACAATTACAACAATACGACAGAAAATGAATCAATTTTATCCGTTTCTTTTTTATAAACGACTGTTTTTTGTTCTTTTTACTGTACCTAAATAATAAGAGTTAATTTCAATAAATTTTCTAATGAATTCAAAAGTTGTCGATTAATTTCCCTGTGGAAAAAATTAAATATATTGTTTAATTAATTAATTAATTTCATTAATTAATTCAGAAGAAAACCAGTACAAATGTTTTAATATTTGTGACGCGCTCCCATTGGTTCTCTTGAGTTAAAAGTGTCATTAATGTTGACTAATAATACAGATGGCGTTGAATATCTTCTAGACTAAAATTAAAAATAATATTCATGGGAAAATTCTCAATATACATTCTCCTGGATTAAAAAATTTCTTGTCCACATATCTTCAATTTAAATGTTTATAAAATTTCAGTATTAATTTAATTAGAAATTTTAAAAGCTTACACTTTAGAAAAATTTTAATAATTAAAATTCTTCTGGAATTAATTAATTTTTTAAAACTAATTATTAAAAATAATGGATTTATCTTGGGATGTTAGTTAAAAACACTAAAATAAATTTGCTTTTGTCGAAGTTATAAATGGTTGCAGAAATTCAATTATTTTCAAAAATAATAAAATTCTTCGCAGAAATTCAATTACATATATTCAAAAATTTTTAAAAATCCAATTATCTTTATAAAAATAACAAAATTCTTCATCTGAAATTCAATTATTTTCATTAAAAATAAAATTCTTTGCAAAATTGGAATTATTTTCAAAAATTTTTCTGAATTCAATAATTTTCATATTTTCAATATCTACTATTTAAATAAAAATTTTTTAATGAATTCAATTACTTAAAAAAATGTTGATAAAATTCTACGCAAACATTTAATTATTTTCATAAATAATCAAAATTTCACATAATTTCAAGTATTTAAAATTTTTTTTTATAAATTTCCATATGCAATAATTCAATTATTTTAATAAATAATCATTTTCTTTACTGGGATTTAATTATATTTTTATAAATAATAAAATTTTTTTTAAATAATTTAATTCTCGTAGAATATTCTAATAAAAATTGATTTAAACTTTTAAAAATAATTGAAATTGTAAAGGTTTCAATTTGAAATTTTATAAAATCTCAATTTTAAATGAATTTATTTATAGAAATTTTGAAATTTTTTTTTTCTAAATGGTAATAATTCAAATTCTTATGAAATTAGTTAAAATCTTTGATATAAATTTAATTAATTATTCAAAATAATGAATTTATAGAGGGATTTTAGTTAAAAGCAATTAATTTTGTCGAAGTTATAAATGATTGCAGAAATTCAATTACATTTAAAAGTAATAAAATTTTTCGCAAAAATTCAATTACTTTCATTAATCAATCTTTTACGTCCGAGAAATAGTAATTATAGTGAAGGAGAATAAAACGAAAACATTCGATGAACAAATAGTTTTTAAAAATTAGTTTACTCCAACGTTTCGAAATCTAAATGATTTCCTCTTCAGGGAGTCTATAAAAATATAAAATAATATACAAAAAAATAAAAATAATGTACAACAAAATAATAACAATAATATGCAAATAATATACAAAAAATATATATAAATTAATATACAACAAATATAAAATAAAATAATATACAAAAAAATATAAAATAATATACAAAAAAATATATACTCAAAAAAATTATAAAATTTAAAAAATATATAAATTTCAAAAAAATATAATAGTTATAATATATAATAGTGTTTGGAGTTCAGTTTTAATTTTGACTTAACACGCAGAGTTTTAATCTATTTTGTTTTAATTGAGCAATTGTCAAAACAAAATATTGACAATACTCAGAACTTCTTTCAGGTGAGCTAAGGTTAAAATATTGTCTAATTGAATTTTATCTTTTATCTTTAATTTAATCTGAAAAATCAACTGTTTACATGAAAAAAAAATTGCTAAAATGCTTACTACATATTTGTAATAATATTTCATTCTTAAATTTAAATAAATAATTATCATCATTATTAATAATATAGTTAATACAATTAATCAACATTCTACAAATAATGTTGCACATTCACACTTTCTGTTGCAATGGCAGTTGGAGCACTTTTTGCTGCATTCACTGCTTGGCTATCACTGTTATCACTGAAATAAAAAAAATTATAAAATTAAGTTAAAATTACTAAATATAGTTTAATTTTATAAAACAATATTTTTCATCCTAGAAAAACTCAATTTAATAGTTAATAATTATTTAATTATAAATTTGTTATTAAATTTATAAATTTACTTAGTATAATTAAATTATATTAGGATGGAAAACAATTTTTTATTATACACGGAGAGAAAAATCAAGCGTTTGTAGTATGGACAGTTAAGCTTATTTCGTAAAAGAATGCACATGCGCAATATGCGTAAAACTTCTGCTGTATTTGTATAAATTTCTACGTTATCAGCATAAAAGTTCTACCTGTAACGTATGGGACGTCAGTATACTACGATTGCAAGAGATCCATGCTTTTTTAGTATATGTTTCATGCAACTGAGGTATAAAAACATGCCTCTTTAGCAGGACGTTCATACAAAATTAGCATAGGAAGTCTCCATACTACAAACGCTTGATTTTTCTCTCCGTGTAGGTACCTAATTTCAATTTCCAATACACAGTCGTCATGACATTTGCATAAGGAGCTGCAAATTTCTGGTTTGCAATCGTCAATTTCCACATTAATTTCCACTACTAATTTCACTGTGAAAAATAAAAAATTAAGTAATATGAACCCAAAGTCTACTAAAAAGAAAAATACAAAATTCTATTTCATCAAAAATCAATTCACCTTCACAACTAGGTTCATCAATATGACAAGGATGTCGTTTTTGTCTCAATAAGTTTAATGTACTCTGGAAAATAAAAATATTGTTGATAAATAATTGATTTTGTAATACGAAAATTTTTTGTTTGACATTGTTGATTTTATTTTTGTTTGTTGTTGTTGATAACTATTATAATGAAATGATTCATTTCTGGCTAAAAAATTAAAAAAGGCTTATAATAGGGAGGCAAAATATTTTTCAATCAATTTATTTTTTTTTTATTATATAAAATTAAAATTTCAAAAATCGAATTCTAAAAATTTTGGTATTAAAATACTTCTTCCACGAGGAAACAATATTTAAAGAAATGAAATAGAAAAATATAAATATTTGAACTTACATTTCTATAATGATCTTCTAGAGGAACTCCTCGAATATTTGAAAGAGTTATAAAAACAATTAACATTGTGAACAACATTATTTTACGCAGGAAAAATTTACTTTTATGTTACAAATAAAATGACAGTAATAAAAATAAGGATTCTATAATTCGTTTTTCCAATTTTATAATCCTTTTATACATTTCATAAACTCTAAATAAAAGATAATATTTATGAGAAACGTGATATTTTGAAAGAGTTACTCAATCTTAATTTAATTTTTATCAAAAAATTTTCTTATTTCATATTCATTTTGCATGCCTACAAGAAAGGTAGAAGAAATAATAAAAACAAAACATAAGGTAACGAGATAATTAGCGATTGTACATATTGCGTTTATTAAATTACATTTACAAATTTTGCTTTTATGACAGAATTTAACGATATTATTTTCTTCACAACGATAAATTTATTTATCCACTGACACATAATAAATTCATAAATAAACATTTTTAACTCATTTTCTTAAATAATTTATTTCGTTGTTTAATTTATCTAGAAAAAATAAATTAAAAATCTTATTATTAAAATTAGTAATTTAAATAAAATTACTTATATTAATAATAGTAATAAAATGAAAATAATAAAACACAGTATATAAGTCAAATAATATTTTAATGTTTATAAAAATTTTTAGTTAATACAGGCCAAAGAAGAAGGAAAAAAAATAGAAAAAAAATAAAAAAATAATAATAATAAAAATAATAAATAAATAAAATATAATAAATCAATAAATAAATATAATAAAATAAATAACAATAATAATAATAATAAATAAAAAAATAATAACACAAGTAGAAGCATTAATTTTAATAGTAAAAATGCCGAACATAATAAATGAAGAGAAACTAGATTTTAAAGACGTTTTTCTCCTTCCTAAAAGAAGTACAATAAAAAGCAGAGCTGATGTAAGTATTAATTAAAATTTTATTTTCTTCATCTTTTACATTTTTTATTAAATTAAATATTGTAAATTTTGAAAATAATTGAAATTTTATAGAATTTTACTGAAAGAAACAAAATATATTTATTCTTTCCAGGTGCATTTGCAAAGAGAGATGACATTTAGGCATTCAAAAAGAACATTTAAAGGAGTACCATTGATGGTCGCAAACATGGACAGCGTTGGAACATTTGAAATGGCCGTTGCTTTGGCAAAGGTTAGTAAATACATATTTTGATTATTTTTTCTACAAAATAATTCATTCCACTCGTTTAAAAATTGAATTTTCTATTATATAAATTCAAACAAAATACAAATTCTCACCATTATTATTTTTTCTAGATAAACGTAAATTGATGAAATAATTAAAAATTTATTTTTTTAATTTAAAATAAAAAATAATTTCTTTTGTAAAGAGAAAAAAAAATTTATAAAATTAAAGAAAATTAACGATTTTTTAAAATTAAAAAAAAAGTTTAATCCGAAATGAAATCAATTAATTATTAAATAAATGTTAAATTCACTATTTTTTTATTATTTTTTCAAAATTAATAAATAAAAAAAATTTATTAATTAAAGAAATTTATAATTTATAATTAAATAAATTTATTAATTAACTAGAAAATTTTATTATTATTATTATGCAAATTACAAAATTCTTTATTTTCAAATAATTTCAGATTCAAATTTTAAAAAAATTCAATTATAAAATACTTCAAAAAGAATAAAAAATTCAATTATTTTCAAAAAATTTTAATAAATTTATGGAAAATTTTAATTATTTTCTAAAATTTTATTAAATTCTTCAAAACAATTCAATTATACATATTTATAAATGGTAAAATTCTTTGCAGAAATTTAATTATTTTTAAATACAATTTTAATAAAATTTCAAGAAAGAATTCATTTTTTTAATTTTTAATAATATTTTTCGAAAGCATTCAAAAAAATAAAAAAAATTTTAAAAAAATTAAAAAATAAAAATAAATAAATAAAAATAAAATTTTAATAAAATTCAATAATTAAATGTTTAAATTTCAGATATTAACAAACACGATTATTTTAAAAACTTTAAAGAAATTGTTCATAAAATTCAATTATTTTAAAACATTTTACTTAAAATTATTGAAAAAACTCTATTATTTAAAAAAAACTTACAACGATTATTATTAATATTGATTGATAGATTAGAAATTTTACAATTTAAGCGAAATAATTTATTGAAAACTAAAATTTATACTAAGACAGAAAAAGCACTCGGACGTTAAAAGACTTTACTATAAAATTTGAATTTTCAAAAATTTGTTTCAGCATGGAGTTTTTACAGCTGTGCATAAATATTACACAGTTGTGGATTGGAAAAATTTTGCTGTAGATCATCCGAATTGCTTGGACTATGTTGCCGTTTGTACAGGAATTACTGAAGAAGATAATAGACGTTTGTCATCTATTTTACAAGCAGTGCCGGAGATTTCGTATATAGTGGCTGATGTCGCCAACGGCTACTCGCAATATTTCGTTGAAAGTGTGAAGAACCTCAGGGAAGAATATCCTAATCATACAATAATAGTAAGTCTATTTTTAAAAAATTAAAATTATCTGAATTTATATATGGGGCATTCCACGCCAAGTCGGACACCTTTTGACTTTTGCATCTCCGATTTTTTTCAAATATTTTTTTTCTTTTAGTGCTCGTTGAAATGAGCTACCATGATTTTTTTCAAATTTTTTCATCAAGCGGTTTAAGAGATACAGGTTTTTGAAAAATCACGTTTTTTACGTAAATTTTTTTCTGAAATGCTTAAACTCGGACAAAAATTGATCAATTTTGACGTTCGATATATGAAAATTTTTGTTTTTACACGTAGTTTTTGATAAAAATATTAAAAAATTTTTTTTTTAAATTTACCAAAAAAAATTTAAATTTTAAAAATAAAATTTAATTTTTAAGAATGTATGTATCGATCGATTTTTTTCAAAATTTTTTGTGAGAAACTGGTACTAAATTAAGAATTTTTAAGCATAGTCTGATGATGGGCAAACGATGGGATCTATTTGTTTCTGATTTTTCAATTTTTATATTTATAGCTAAAAGTATGAAAAATGAATGAATTATCGTAAGAATGCGATAGAGAAGGACAGACAAAGCTCCTGTCCTCTTCTATCTCATTGTTTTGTTATAAGTTCACGTCTTAAGATTTCATTGTGCGTTGGCCTTTTTCTATTTTACGCGCTGCGTTCATCCGCTACATCTCAAACCTTTAAAATATTTAAACGGTCACGAAATTAAATGTTTTTCTACATATGAATATGCTTTCTCAAAATTACAATAAAGTAATTAATATCCTGAACGTCTTGTAATTCATTTTTCATACTTTTAGCTATAAATATAAAAATTGAAAAATCAGAAACAACCCAGTAAACGAAAACAAATTGAAATGAATTAAAAAGAATTCACAAAGAGCTTTCGTGAATCCCGCTTTGTGACAAATACGAATTGGAGCAATGATGCAATTTTCCCGAATTCGTGAAACTGTATTGAACTTCCGAACCTTCTATCCGTACCAATTCACTGGACAAGTTTTGAGCCTTTAATTTTTTTCAATTCGTTAGCACGAATTCAATGCATTCCTTGGCCATTTCTTTCGAATGCGAATTCGTTTGGACAAATTGGTACATATTGAATTAAATTCAATTGAATATACAAAGAGCTTGAGTGAATCCCGCTTTGTGACAAATACGAATTGGAGCCTACCAAAAATGTTAATTCGTTTCAATTCATTTGAATTAGTTTTTTTTTACTGGGAAATAGATCCCATCGTTTGCCCATCATCAGACTAGGCTTAAAAATTCTTAATTTAGTACCAGTTTCTTACAAAAAATTTTGAAAAAAATCGATCGATACATACATTCTTAAAAATTAAATTTTATTTTTAAAATTTAAAATTTTTTTGGTAAATTTAAAAAAAAAATTTTTTAATATTTTTATCAAAAACTACGTGTAAAAACAAAAATTTTCATATATCGAACGTCAAAATTGATCAATTTTTGTCCGAGTTTAAGCATTTCAGAAAAAAATTTACGTAAAAAACGTGATTTTTCAAAAACCTGTATCTCTTAAACCGCTTGATGAAAAAATTTGAAAAAAATCATGGTAGCTCATTTCAACGAGCACTAAAAGAAAAAAAATATTTGAAAAAAATCGGAGATGCAAAAGTCAAAAGGTGTCCGACTTGGCGTGGAATGCCCCATATATAATAATTAATAAATAATTGTTTTCAATTACTATTTAGTAATTATAATTCGGGATAACTATTTTTTTATTTTTAATAAACAAGTGACAATGATAATTTTTTTTGGTAAAAATTAGTGTGGGAATAAAAATTATTCATTTATATTTATAAGGCAGGAAATGTTTGCACACGCGAAATGGTGGAGGAATTAATTCTCTCAGGAGCCGATATTGTTAAAGTTGGCATTGGTGGTGGATCCGTTTGTACAACACGATTGAAAGCTGGCGTTGGGTATCCACAATTAAGTTGTGTAATTGAATGTGCCGATGCTGCTCATGGCTTGAATGGTCACATTATTTCAGTAAGTTTCATCTTTTTCTCAATCTTTTTCTATTTAATCTTAATTAACTAGCAAATGATATTATTTTGTAAATTCATAAATTTTATATTTTCAAGAATAAACATCAATTTTTGAATTATTAGAGATTTAAAATTTTTTAAATTCACTTATTAAGTACATGATAATAAATATTTTTGTTTATTATTTTTCAAAAATTTTGATAAAATTTTAAGCAAGAATTTTATTATTCTCACATGAATAATGAAATTCTTTAGAGCAATTTAATTATTTTCAATATACAATTTAAATAAAATTTCTCGAAAGAATACAATTATTTTTAAAAATATCAATTAAATTTGCTAGCGAATTTTAATTGATTCGCTTGCGAATTACAAAAAAATTTTGTAATTTGCATAATAATAAGTTTAATATTTCAGAATAATAATAATAATGTAATGTAAAATAAAGTTGTAATTTTTAAAGGATGGCGGCTGTACATGTTCTGGTGACATTGCAAAAGCTTTCGGTGCCGGTGCTGACTTTGTCATGATTGGTGGCTTGATGGCAGGACATGATGAATGTCACGGTGAACTAACCGAAAAAGATGGTAAAATGGTGAAATTATTTTATGGCAATTCATCAAGGATTTCAATGGAGAAACGCTTTGGAGGAGTTGCTAAGTACAGGTAAAACAATACATACCTATATTGTCAAATTTATTTTTATATATAAATCAAAATTATCATCCTCAATAAAAATGAATAACGATAATAAATTATTTATTATCGTTATTCATTTTTATTGATGATGATAATTTTGATTTATATAAAAATAAAAACTTCTGTTTTAAGAAAATAGTTTTAAAACAAGAATGTGATGTAATTTTAGTTAAAATTTAATTTCAAATCGAATTAAATTTTTAGAGCCGTGGAGGGAAAATCTGTGGACATTACTTATCGAGGATCTGTTGAACATACACTTTTCGATATATTTGGCGGTTTACGTTCAGCGTGCACTTATGTGGGTGCCGAACGTCTTAAAGAATTACCTCGACGTGCCACTTTTATACGATGCAGTCAACAAACCAACAACATTTTTGGACCACCAGTGTAAATGTGAAGGGCTACATAAAATAAGGGAACGAACGCGTGGTTGAAAGGGATAATATCAGTCAGGTAGCAGCGAGCGGCTCAAGGCTTGTCACTGCTACCCGACTGGTACTATCCCTTCCAAGCCTCGCGTTCGTCCCCTCCCGTGTAGAAATGGAGGTCGGGTTCTAGTGGGGACCTCACCAGTTTACCCCATTTGAAAAAAGGCTCCAACTAGAGAAACTGGTGGGGTTCTAGTCGATTTTGTCACGCTCTAGTTGATAGGGCCCCGACTAGAAGTTCTAGTTCACTTCTACCGGTTTTAAAAATTATTATTTTTCAACTTAACTTATTTATAATTGAATTCTCCATTCATATTAACATTATTAATGATTGTTGCACACGAAAAATCTCGTGCCTATGAGGGTTCGAACCTTGGACCTTGGGGACACCAGACGGATACACATACCTCTCGGCCATGATAGGTTGGATGGACTTCCGCTTAAAGTACATCCCGTTTGGAAATTCCGCCATTTGTCCCTATCTCTAGTAGGGCTCTCGCTAGATTCTGACTAGAATCTCTAGTCGAGAAAAACTAGTCGGGTTCCAATCTAATTCTAGTTAGATGATTCTTACAAGCATTATTTATTAAAAAAGTTTGCATATTATTTGATTACTTAATTTTTTAATTATTTAAACAAAATCTTTTATTTATTAAGTAAATTAAAAAAGAATAAACCATAAATAAATATTAATTATGTGGATATAATTAATTTTTATTAACTAAATATTGTAATATATTATTTATTATTATTATTATTATTTATTAAAACAATTATAGTAAATATAAAAATATAAAAATTAATGTAATAAATTAGTTATGTTTAATTTTTCAATAACGTTATAGATATAATTAATTCATAATATTTTGAATTTTAGGGAGTTATTATTCATCACTCTTATTTAACTCTGCATTCCTAATGATAGTTAATAATAATTAATTATGACATTATTGAAAAATTAAACATTACTAATTGCAGTGCTTTTTATATTTACTATAATTATTATAATTATATTATTCAATTTATTATTGTAATTATAATATTATAGCATCTTTTTAATTATTATTAAATACTTGCATTAATTGTGAAAAACATTTTAAAGTATAATTGCACATACATATCTTTTTAAAAAAAAATTATTTTTACGAATAATATTACAATATTTAGGTAATAAAAATTAGTTATACCCACATAATTAATATTTATTTATGTTTTATTCTTTTAATTTACATATTAAATAAAAGATTTTTATTTAATAAAATTGCTTTATTGGAATTTTTTGTAAAAATATTCTACAATATTTAAAATTTTGTTTAAAAAATGTTAAAAAATTAAATAATTAAATAATATGCAAAATTTTTTAATAAATAATGCTAGTAAGTTTTTCTATCTATTAATCTGAATTATTTATATCTATAGAAAGATAATTTATGTATGTCATACTTGTACACTAGTTTGTCTAGTTTGAAATCGATAAGGTCCTAGTGAGTTTTTTCCAGTCTGAATTATCTAACTAGAATTTGATTGAAGCCCGACTAGTTTTTCTAGACTAGAGATTCTAGTCAGAATCTAGCGAGGTCCCTACTAGAGATAGGGACAAATGGGGAAATTTCTACACTTATTTTATGTAGCCCTTCATGTGCTTTAATTTTATTTTATAAATATTTTACTAATCAACAATTAACAAAACATTCAAGTTATAAACTTGATAATTTTAATAAAATTATGAATTGTTATTAATAAAAAAAAAAATTTCTCAAATTTAGTTGAGATTTTTATATGTTCAAGTACTATAAAAAATATATTAGGAAGACTGATTGAAATTTGATTTGATTATTTATAAAAGCATTAATTTTCCTACTTTTTATAAATAATACCTATATAGGGAAATTAAACATCAGATTCTCAGCTTTATTTTAATGTGCATTAAAATTTTGTTTAGGATATTTTTAGTGTATAAAAATATCATGAATCATTCGTGAAGTAATTTTTAACCTAAAACTGAAGACAAAGTTGAAACATTTTTATGAAAAATAAAACTGAGGTCTAAAATTCTTTTAAATTTATAAATAATCATAGAAAAAACATTTTACTTTCTGACACTGTTTTTAAAAAGTTTTTAAGAGTTCGAAAAAAACTATAAAAATTTAGTTTTCTTATAGAAGTCCTCTATTGGAACCAAGCTAAAAAGGCTTCGGAGATGAAATTATTTTAGTTACTGCGCATAAATGCAAATGAATAAAATTGTTTAATTTTTTTTTTAAAATGATAAGTGCTAAATTTTTACTACTGAAATTGATAATAATTATTAGAGAGTAGATTTTGTAAAAATTAATCGAGACATCAAAAATGACACTTTCAGAAGAATCACCCATATATAGTATATAAGAACTTTTTTTTAGTTCTTGTAATAAAATTAAATTTTTTCACGATGTTTTCAATACATTTTATTTGTTTTTTAACAAAATATTTTCATTCTGACATTAAATTTTGCTTAAACAATATAGCATAATGAGATTTGTAGATTCATAACTACAAATTACATATAGAAAAATAATTTTTTTACAATCTGAAAAAATTTGTTGAGCACGCTGCTGAAAATCTTCGTAAATCAAATACGGAAAGATAGTGAAAGATTTCATGGATATCGGATTTTGAAATTCGAATTTTGTAGCTTCTGTCAACCAGACTGATTATATGATTCACACAATCGTTTATTAAATCATTTCTTCTCTGTCCTTTTTCGATACTGACTCTCAAAAATTCAGCATACGCTGGAAACTTACTGTGGGAAGATGCTATGTTTTGAAGAAAGCTCTCGTTCCTTGTGCACTTTGCGAATTTACCGACAGGTAAAGTTAATACATCGTAGAAAGTTAAGTTTAAATTATCATCAACTTTTGTCTCTTGCAAGCTAAATTTCTGTTTTCTGCATTCTTTTCTCCAATCATTTAAATTGTGTTTCTTGCAAAATTTGACGACTTTCGAGTTATAATTAGTGACTATCAATACTAGACGTGCGATTATTAGTTTCAAGAAGACGGTTTTATCTTTTCCGTGTAGTTGATAAGATGCGTCGTCCTTAAATTCAATTTCTATGTTCGTAAGATTTTTAACACTGTCGGCGTAACTGATTAGAAGTAAATTACACTCGTAGGTATTTTTCCAAAGTCGAATTTCGATATCAGAACAAGATTTTAAGTCATTGTATTCCATAACAATATGTAAGAGTTCAGGAGAATCTATTAATTTATCCTTCTTTCCATTTAAAGCGCATAGGGATAAACTTGTCACTTCATCTTGTTTTAGGTAATTAAATACGATTTTAATCATTGCAAGTTGAAATTTTGAATTATTAATATCTTGCTCTGATTTTGCGTCACTTTTGTCTCTCGAAACCTCTATTTCAATTGCGTAATTCCAGTAATCTGGTGTTACTGCTACTTTCGGGATAAGCATTTCCATAATTTTTAAAATATTTTTGTACATTAGAGTACTAATAGTCGGATGGTTTCCATATAGTCCTTTAAGCATATCTAACGCATGTGTTAATGGTGAGGAATCATAATCACACGTCTTGTGAGGATCTGCACCCTTTTCTAATAGAAACTTAACAACAGTGGGCTGTACTGTACTTGCTGCGAAATGCAATGGGGTGAGACTATGATCAACTATTGAATTAATGTCAGCTCCAGCTTTCAAGAGTAACTCTACTAACCTCGTGCTCTCGAATGTTGCAGCAACGTGAATAGGTTTTATATTTTCAAAACAACCCTCAAATGAAAAACCCTCATTTAGAAGAAGCTCTAGAATATCTTCATTGCCATTTTCAACAGCAATATGAACGGCTAATTTGCAAACTAGAGAGTCATTTTCAAAATAGTTTGCTGGACTATTCACTATTATTTTAACAGTTTCCATTTGTCCTGCACGTAAAGCCCAATGAAGCTCTGTCTCTTGAGAACATGTATTTGCATTCACTTTAGAGCCAGACGTCAATAAATATTTCCAAACGTTATAGCAGCAATATTGTCTAGCATAAGTTAACAGATTGATTATTGTTGTTTTCACACCCACATCGACTAAATATTTAAATATATCGGCTCGATCTGGTTTCACACAATATTTAAGTAATTCAAAACGATCTACAGTAATGGTTTTAATGTGCTTATTGCCTTTCCTCATTAGATATTTTACAACTTCTAAGTGACCGTTCCATACTGCTGCCACAAGAGGACAATTAGAGTCTCCATTACCATCGACTGTTTTGAATCCGTTCATCATTAGCAATTTAACCATTTCTAAATTCCCGCTTTTAGCAGCATCATAAAGAGGTCCAGATTCTTTAGAATATTTCTTACTAACAACAGCGCGATTCTCAAACAGAATTTCTGATAACTGAACGTTTTGATTTGTCAAAGCAAGGTGAAGTGGTGTTTTTCCATCATTGTCTTCTACGTTAACTATGGCACCATTTTCCACAAGAGCTTTTGTAAATTCAACTCTATTATTAGCGGCAGCATAATGGAGGGGACTTTCACCCTTGTTATTTTTCGCGTTTACGTTACATTCTTTGATAATTTGATTGAATACCTTCGTCTGGTTTTCCTGTATCGCAAGGTGTAGTAGAGTGTTTCCATCACTGTCTCGTTTTGCAATGAAGAGAACTATTTCCTTCTGTCCCTCGGCTATATGCATTGACGTACTTTCCCTTATTGTCTCCTTGTCTGAATACTGCTTGAGAAAAGTTTGAATAAGATTTAATTTGTGATCCTGATCAGGAAAAACCAGTGGGTCCTTCTCAGAAGGGTTATTACTGCAATCCTTCGTGTTATCCATAATCGCAAAAAGATAGATTACAAGTGTTTGACTCGATTATAAATTCTGTAACAAAAATTATAAAAAACTGTATTATCTTTTTGGTGAAAACACTTTGTTTTTAAAATAAATGTCATAAGTGAATAAAATGTCTATAATAACTTTGATTAAATAAAATTTTTACGTTAGATTTTTGTTTTTTATTACCCGGTAAAAAGACTGGAACTGAATGGAATTTGAAAATTCAGTGAGACTAAATATATGAAAGTAAATTTCTTCATTACATCATTAAAAGGTATTTTATACAGATTTTTTATTTTGACATCATTGGGATCCGAAATCATGTGAAACTGACCCACCCCTGTACCCACTTGCGTCCGACATCTTGGTTTTTTATCTCTTTTTTTTACATATGTTAGAGAGAGACGAAATGAAAAGACAACTACCGCAAGTGGGTCGACACCAGAGGGCCTACGCAGCTCTGCGGTTCCCAATATTTGTAAGCAACGACCCCGAAAACCCCAAAGCAATAAATTCTAAACGAATCCAATAATTTTTTGAAATAGTTGTATTTACTGACTGTGTCAGTCAATTTTTATGATTGCTAACTGTTAAAAAAATCATTTTTGACGGCTAATTTAATTTGTTGTGTCAGCAATATCGCTTTATTTTCATAAAGTACAGGGTTCAGGTTTTAATTTGACTCAACCTATGACAAGTCTCTAGCACGTCGGATTTACCCGGTAGAAATTTACAAAAACAGCGAAAAACATGATTTTTGGTAATTTACCCCCACTTTTTCAAAATCCTGACGTGATGGGAGGTTTTCGTTGCCAGATTCGGATTCAGTGCACCAAATACTGCGGGAAATGACTTCTCGATCTCAGACAACGGAAATTTTTATTTTTTGCAGGCTTGTGTAACTTATTGAAGAATATGAAAAAATTTTTTTACTTTTAGTCTAAGTCGTCTATTTTTATAAATTATTTAACAAAGTTTTTGAGATTAAAAATTTATAAAATATTCCTTTAATGGAATCAGATGCATATTTTGAAATAGAAAGGAATTAATTTTTTGCAATTTTAGGTTATGTCTGTAATTTTTTAATACACAAAGAGGATCCTCTCTCATTATAAATTGTTAATTTTTTAAGTCTTAGATGCATTTAAAATAATTAATAAAAACTGATTCTAGTTTTACACGCGAGTAAATACATAAACTTAATTTTAATTAGGATAAAAATAACACAAACCATTGCACGAATAGATTCAAAGTAGAATAACTGATTTATAAATCGTCGAGAGAAAACATTCAACTCATAAATATAAATTGTAAAGAGATAAATTATGTAAATTGAATGATTTTTTACTTCTGCTTCATTTTATAAATACTAAATTAACATTTCTTACAAAAAGGCGCTTATAGAAAATGACACAAATCTTTTTTTCTCTCTTGTTCTCTCTTCTGTCTGGTTGGTTGTTCTGTAAAGGTGTTTCTACAACATTTTTCAACATATTGCGTTGCATTGTGTAACTAGGCCATAAATATGAGAGAGATGGAGATATATGTTCGCTATATTTGCACTCATAGCACATAACGCAACGTAAAGGTGCCCTCCACATTCTGCTCACATCTCCAGTATATTTCTCAATTCAACGAACAACAAATTTTCAGACTCCTTCAAACAACGACAACGATATTTATCCTTTTAATTAAGGTTAGGAGTACGTCACACTGAATCCACTGAATAACATGACCTTAAGGCCAACGCAGAATAGAATCTTTAACCGGAACCGCAATCGAAACCGTAAGCGTAAGAATGGGTTAGAGAAGGATAAACAATATACCTATCCTTCTTTAACTCATTCTTATGGGGAATCCACACTTCGATCTTAGATGCATATAAGCGGGAGATATATAGAATTATGAATGAAAAGAATATTTTCTCTTTGTTTAGGCAATAAAATAAATAATACTCAAATTGCAAATTAAAGAGCAATAATTTTATTAGTAATATTTACAAAAATATTTTTAGAACGAAAAATAATTTGTAAATGATAACTGTATTAACATTAAATTTTAAACATTAAGATAATGTAGATACATAATAGTAAATAAGAGAATTATGATTTTTATAACAATCTTAAAAAATAGTAAATAGAATTAAGATTTTTATCAAAATCTTGGAAAAAGCTAACATTACATTAACTATTTGTGTAATGATAACTTTTGAAAAATATCATCTAAGAATTTTGTCATCTCCTCTTTACATTCGGATCCAGCGAATGAAATAACATCTACTATACTGCTGGTATCATTTGCGGATTTACACAAATCATCTAAGCAAGACTTTTTTAAACTCTCCAATTCATACATGTGTGCGATCCTAAAAAGTTGTTTTAATATTTCTTGAGATAAATTTTTTTTAATTTCTTCAGAGTACAAGTAATCTATCATTAATTCAATAACTGCGGATTCAAAACCGTCAATTTCGACCTGATTTTCTTCTGATTCCTTCATTGGAATTTCGAGCATCTTTCGAAAAACTGGCGATGAACATGCAAGAATTGCTTTATGAACCAAAAATTCCTTATTTTTGCAAATAATCTTGAAATCAGTGAACAGCTTCTCTTTGTAAATTGAGACGAGTTTTGTTGGCTTTTTAGTTTCTGGAACATTCAGTTTTGCAGGTGAAATATTTTTTATTACTATTTTGCAGTATATGTATAAATTTTTGTTAAAAAATTTTTCAGCAATATCAAACATCCCTCGTCGAATCCAAATTTGATAAGTTTTTTGAAAGTGAGCACTCTTTTGGCTATCTGAAGTTAGATAAATTGTTTCAAATAAAGCAATTTTACACTCTGAATTTAAGTAGTAAAGGGATACTACAAATTGTCGACTTAATGATTGCTCTGAAAATATTATTTGTCCTTGCAATGAACTATCATATATTTTCTGAAACCTTAAAACACAAGAAATCATTGGACTTTCTTGTAGAATTGAGCTAACTTCAAATTCATTGGAATTACACAAAGTTTCGTCTGGAATTGTTATTAAAAGAGAAGTACATTCATTATCATGTTCATTAGAATTTAATGAATTAGAATTGATTTTCCTGTCCAAGCTTGAAATATTAACAACCGTTGCCATAATTTCAAAAAATATATTCTTTTTGAAATTAATATAACCTGCAACAATAATAATTATAATAAATATTATGTAATAAGAAAATAATAATTTTAATTGATGTGCAATGTTTAAAATATTTTCGACCTTATAGGGACTGTCTATAAATAACGTTAGACATTTTTTTGGAAAACTTGACCCTCCCTCTCCCTCTCGTAAAATATTTTACATATACATTAGCGCCATTTTTTTCTATTGTTCGTAAGATCTTGCTGATTGAGAAAAAATTCCCTGACTTTTCCTTGACTATTTACTAACCTTATTTCTGCTTTCATGAGACAAAAATATGAATACTGACTTAATTAAAAAAAAATTTTTATTTTATAAATTTCTAGAAATTTCCCTGACTTTAAATAAAATTCCCTGACTGCCCTGACTTCTCTGACCGCTGGACACATTGGATTATAAAATAAAAATTATGCTAACTCTTTTCATTTATTCAAAGCAAATAGAATTTTGTTAAAAATCGTGATTAAAAAATAGAAATATATATGCAATTTTCTTTTACTTATTTCTAATAAATTGAAATATTGCAAGATGTCAAACATTTATATAAACTGATTCATACCTTAAGCTTATAGTTAATTTTCTTTTTCTAAATAAAAATGTTAAAATTGTCTCTGATTATGTATTTCTTTTTCAACTATTTTCTGTCTGTTGTATAGTATGTATAGTAGCAATAAAGCACTATAAACTGGAATTCTCTATAAAGACTGATAAAGACCATCGCACAATGGATTTGCAAAAGTTAAGGTACCGTCCCATGATGGCGTGAAAGCGTCGGCGTAAAGCGTAAACCATGTGAGAGAGTGAGAACGTGATATCTGTTCATCTCTTTCTATCGCACGATTTCTGCTTTACGCCGTCATGGGACGGTACCTTTACTCACCGTTTTGCGTTGCATTTTGTAAACTAGGCCATGAGTGTGAGAGAGATGGAAATATATGTTTGCTAAATTTGCACTCATGGACTAGTTACAAAACGCAACGAAAAACGTTAGCATGTGACTGCACCCTTACATCTTCGGTAAAAATGGTAAAAATTGTGCAGAATGGAAAATTTATATTGGAGTAAGAGAGACAGACTATGTATCTGTCTCTCTTACTCCAATGTAAATTTTCGGTTCTGGACAATTTTTACCGAAAATGTAAATGCTCCAGTAGGGTGCGATCATATGTGAGCAGAATTTCATGAGTGCAAGAGAGATAGTTAGGTAGCATTATCTTTATCTCTCTTGCAGTTCGGTTTTTCTGGCCTTTGTGTTTACGTTTTCTGCTCACATGGAACTGCAAAAACTCTTGTGTAAACACCTTAAGGCTGCGGTTACACCTCTGCAGGCTGCCTGCCTGCGCAGGCAGGAGCAACGAGAGTAAGGGAGAAGTTTGAAGTCACTGACTCTCTTACTCTTGTACGTTACCATGACAACCTGCAGGCAGGCAGGCTGCCTGCAGAGGTGTAACCGCAGCCTTAGTTTATTATGAAGTTATTCCTTTGCCCCACAATTTTTCTCATCTGTTGTTATTTACATTTTCCTCAAAGAACAAATAACAAAAAAATAGATTAAATTTTACTAATCAAAAATACATAATGTTTTAATATGTTGTATTATTTATTTATAAATAATAAAATTTTTTTTAAAAAGTTGTTATTTACATAGATAAGAGAAATATTGAAAAATACTATTATGATAGTAATCAAAAATCTACCTGAAACAGTATTTAATTTATTATTTCACATGTCAATTTTATAATAAATAAAAACAGAATATCTTCCAAAATGGATCAATTTTCGCCGGATTTGAAAATTATCTTTAGTGAAATGAGCAAACTGCGAAAGGTGAGTTACTTTTATTTGTCAATATGGAATTTCAAACTTTCTATTTCTCCCATTAGAATTAAAAACTATATTCTGACATTGTAGACAAAGTTTTACAATTTTCTATTATTTTTACTTTGTGTAAACAAATCCAAAGGTACACAAGGGTAAAATCTTAAGGTATTTTCATATTCTAAAATTCATTTATACAAGATGTTCTTTTGTTTAAAGTATCACTGCGAATGATGCATAAACGAATTTATAAAGTTTAAAATAAAACCAATTTTAATTTTTACAAAGTTTTTTTTATTATATTTTGTATTTTAGGCATTTGTCAATTTGAAAATTGAACATGCAACTCTATTTAAACAATCGGAGAAACAAAAATTACAATTAGACAAATCCAAAAATCGTTGCCAAAAATTAATGGATCTATTTACTGCAAAATATAAAAGTATTATGGAAAACAACTCTGGTTTAAATAGTGAATTAAATTATTTGCGACAAGTCGTTGAAGATTTGCAAACACAGCTTACTAGTCAAACTTCCGAGATGAAAAATAAAGAGAATCTCTGTGAGTATTTATTTATAATTAATCTAATTTTATTTCATTTTTTCAAATTTAACCGTTATAATTTTAAAGTAGTTTACATCCGAGGCCTGTTCTTTTCATCAATAAACTCTTTCCTTGCTTCTAAAAAAATTGAGTCAAATAATTTTTATTTAAATATAATCAATTAAATTGCATTTGCTTCAAATATAGGTATTGAAATTATTAGTTCAAATACAATTTATTTGATTTCAGCAAATTTTATTTGATTCAAGTAAATATTTCTTTGATTCAAGTAAATATTTCTTTGATAATAGACTAGTAATCGGTAATTTGAATGAAATACATTTTTTGTTTCAGTCTAATTATAAGTAAACAATAAAATATGTAATATAATTTATTTTATTTAATTTTTATCATATAGTTACTAATATGGAAGAAGAGATGGAAATACTAAGAGCCAAGTTTGATTTACAAGCTGATAATCACAAGAAGGACGTTGAAAATATTTTAAATCGCAACCGAATTGAGAAAAATAGAGAAATCGCTCAATATCAAGTTAAACTTGATTCTGCAAATGCCGAGGTAAATAACAATTTTTTTTATAAAATTATAATCTATAAAATCCATATAGCTACAAGGAAAAAAAGTTTCAAGAAAATTGCTAACAATATAGAAAAATCATCGATCATTTCACATGGAATTGCTCAACTTTATTTTAATTAATTAAATTAAAGTAAAATAAAATAATTGTCTGGAAAGTCTTATTTAGCTTCTTTGGAAACTAACATTTTTTATTACTTATTTTTATTCTTAAAACTGAATTATGTACAGAGATCACAGTTAGTCTCCTTTTTCCCTTTTCCTATTAAATAGAATTATTAAGTAAAGTTGACTTTCTTCCAAATAAATTCAGCATTTTATTTTCAAAAGTTGTTTTCACGCTAAACTCTCAGCAATCAGTACACTTACACTATAGGAAAAATTTTTTTTAAATAAAATTTGCCTGAAATTAAAGTAAATTAGAAAATTTTCGTTGATAATAAAATTCAAATTTTCAAGATCGAAAAACTGAAGGAACAATTGAATCAAGAAATAGAGTTGAAGAACAAAAGCAGAAAATCATACAGTAATCATCCAGCTTTGAGCGACAATGAAAATGACACTCCTCAAAAAAAGTTTTCAGTTAAGAAGAGAAAAAGTCTGGATAATAGGTAAATTATTTTTTACAATTAAAAATTTCGTGAACTAAAGAAGAAATTTAAATGAATAATAATTGAAATCGATTTTTAGATGGCCTAAGTTAAACATAACTTCAATAAAAGGAGAGGAAACACTTAAAACTCCAGAGCAACCTATGAAAAGAAAGAAACTTTTTCTACTCGATAATGATACAATTGTAGATTTGGAAACACAGTAAATATTCTGTTTTATAGAATTCGTATTTTAAATGTTACCGTTACCAAAAGAATCAAGTTAACAAAACTACTAGTGCTGAGCATTAAGAAATTTTTAGTTATAAACATTAAGACTTTGATTAATGAATATATGAAGAATTAAGATAACTTCAAAATCATTTTTCTAAAGAGTAGTTAACTTGCTTTGCCTGCATAGTATTATGCGAATTTTAAGTGTTAATTTTTTTAAAAAAATATTGTATTATTTAACACGTTACATAATATATTTTTATATTACGAAAACATTTATTCTGTTTGTTCATTTGAATTTCCCACTTTTATAGAAGTTTTAATAGAAGTTTTACATCTCATTTATTTTTCCTGTTCAGTGAAAACTAAAATTTTTATAAGCACAAAAATTTTTAAATAATTATTATTATTATTCTTAAAAATTTAATTTCAATTCCTCGTAAAAATCAATTGTATTTAAAAAAATGTTTTTTTCAATTCTTTAGAAGAATTCAATTATTCAAAAAAAATTAGAATTTTTCACAGGAATTTAATTATTTGCAAATATTTTAATAAAATTGTTCGAAAGAAATAAAATTTTTTTAAATACAATTTTCATTAAATTTTTTTGAAATAATTCAATTATTTTTTTAGATTTTAATAAAATTCTTTCAAAGAATTAAATTATTTACATAAATAATTCTCTGAAAAAATTCAATTATTATTCCCGTAAATTCAATTATTTTAAGGCATTTTAATAAAATTCTTTGCAAAATTCAATTATTTTCAAAAATAATAAAACTCATCGAAGAATTTTATTTATTTTTAATTCTTTTTTATTAATTCATCTAAAAATTCAATTATTTTCACAAATAAAATTTTCCACGAGAATTTAATTTAAAAGAAAAAAAAAATTTCATAATAAATATATTTTGAAAAAATTAATTATTTAAAAGAATGTTTATAAAATTCTTATAAAAAATTCAATTATTTTCAAAAATAGCAAAATTTTTCACAGAAACTCCATTCTTTTTAAACATTTTTATAAAATTCTTGGCAAATTTCAATTATCTTAATAAATAATAAAATTCTTGTCAAAATTTCAATTATTTTCAAAAAGATTTGTAGAATTCAATAATTTTCAATATCTACTATTTTCATAAAATGTCCCGAAAGAATTCAATTTTATTTCAAGAAAAAATTTACAGAAAATTCTACACAAACATTATTTTCATAGGTATTAAAATTCCTTTCAGGGATTTCATTTATTTTCAATCAATTATCTTTCGACAAATATCAAAATTCTTCACAGAAATTCAATTATTGTCAGGAATTTTAATAAATTTTAATGCAAATTTCAATTATTTTCAAAAGTACCTAACAAATTCTTTGCAACAATTTAATTTATTTTCAAAATTTTTTTAAAAGTTCTCTTTAAGATGTCAATTATTTTTAAAAATAGCAATATTCTTCGTCGAAATTCAATTATTTTAAAAAATTTTAATAAAATTCTTTGGCAACATTTCAATTATTCAAAAAAACTTTTTTCTCAATTCAATGATTTTCGATATTTACATACAATTTAAAAAAAATCCCCAAAAGAATTCAATTTTGTAAAAAAAAATGTAATATAATTTTACGTAAATATTTAATTATTTTCATAAATAATAAAAATTTCACTGAAAATTCAATTATTTAAAGAAGATTTGTATACATTTTTTCAAAAAAATCAATTATTCAACAAAATTTTAGAAAATTCTTTGCAATAATTCAATTCTTTTCATAAGAATAAAAATTCTTTTCAGGGATTTAATTATTTTCTTAAATAATAAAACTCATCGAAGAATTTTAATTATTTTTAATACTATTTTAAATAGAAATATTCAATTATTTTCGCAAATAAAATTTTCCACAAAAATTCAATAATTTAAAATAAAATTTTCATAATATTTATTGTACTTCCAAAAAAAATTTTAATTTCAACTATTTAATAAAATTTTTCGAACTAATTTAATAATTTTCACAAATATTAAAATTTATTGTACTTCCAAAAAAAATTTTAATTTCAACTATTTAATAAAATTTTTCGAACTAATTTAATAATTTTCACAAATATTAAAATTCATCTCAGGAATTCAATTATTTTTAATATTGTTTTAATCAAATTTCTCAAAAAATGTAATTATTATTAAAAATTTTATTAAAATTCGTCGATAGAATTCAATTATTTGAAAATTTGTTGATACAATTTTTTATGTAAATTAAATTTTAAGAAAAATTTAAATAATTGAATTTTTGTAGAATTTTCTAATAAAAATTGATTGAAAAATGAATTTCAGTTAAAATTGTAGAATAATATTTGAATTTTGAAATTAATTTTTTTGAAAAAGTTTAATTGAATTTTTTTATATTGTTTGAAGTTTTTATTTTCTATTATACATTTAATTGAAGAACTTTAGAATAATTGAAATTTTGTAAAACTGAATTGTAAACAAATGAATTTGAAAATTGTCATAGAACTTTTTTGAATATTATTGAAAATAATCGATTTAAAGGAGAATTTTAGTTAAAAATTCTTGAAAATAACAATTATTATAAAACGAAGAAATCGATCACTCCGAGTGAATTTAAGGATTTTGAATCCTTATAAGTGTAGAAACTTTGGAGCGGCACGTTTTTTTTTATAAAAAATATTAATTATCCTAACGAAATATTTATTATTTAAAAGTATAATACAAATTTATAAAATGCAACGATATATACAGTTTACTTATTTATAATGTTAAACAAACTTATAAATTGAAATGCATTGAACTATAAATAGAGATTTTTTTTTTGTTATTCGAAGAGGTAAGATTTCTGTACAACTATGTATAATTGTAGTGATTGTAATGTCTATTAGAGACAAGATCGGAAAGAGGATTCGAGTGATGTTCAAAGAAGTACATTAATTAGAAAATCACGACGCCCACCGTTGTTACAGTCTATAGTGTTACTTCGAAACCCCACGTTTCTGTCCTCATTTGCTAATCATGCTGCACAGTGAGTTCCAACTATTTGTGTAATCGATCTTGAGATGTCCGTATGTGTTCAATCCGAGACGGTTTGGCGGTATCACTTCAATGTATCTCTTATCCTCGACCTTCGTTTTCCGAGAGGGAACCATCACTTCAATGTGCTGGCGTCGTGGCGCTTCAATTGCGAAACCATGATAGAGGCATTCGTCTCTGTCAAAATAAAATAACGATTAGAATCATTTTATTCAATAAATTCGGTAGTGACAGGGGTCAGACTTCGCACTCGTTAAATAGTAAGAAAAACACTTGGATCTAAGGCTGAAGAAAAGTAGCTAAAAAGAAGCTATCAAGAAATTTAATTTAACGAATAAAAATCATCAAATTCCATTGGACCGATTTTCTGTATTACAGAAATGTATTACAGAAATGTACTTTTTTTTAGATTTCAGCTACTAAAAGCTACTATTTCTGCTTTTTTTAGAAGTCCCACTACTTTAAATTCGTTAATACTAGAAATGAAAAAACTATTCTCAAAAATTATAATCAAAATCTTTAAAACGATTCAAATATTTTCAAAAAATATTTCAAATTCAATTATTTTCAATATCTGGTATTTTTATCAAATTTTTGATAAAATTCATCCAAAATTCAATCAATTTAGAATAGCATTTTCAAAAAAAATTTCGAAATTTTCCAATAATTCATTGTACTTTCACTAATAATAACATTTTTCATGGAAATTCAATTATTTAAAAACATTTTTGATAAAATTCTAAGCAAGAATTCAATTATTTTCATAAATAATAAAACTCATCGAAGAATTTCAATTATTTTTAATACTATTTTAAAATAATTAATAGAAAAATTCAATTATTTTCACAAATAAAATTTTCCACGAGAATTCAATTTAACTTTTTTTAACAGAAATTCAATTCTTTTTTCTTTTTAAACATTTTAATAAAATTTTTAGCAATAATTCAATTATTTTCATAAATAATAACATTCTTCTCAGGAATTTAATTAATTTGTAAAATTTTAATAAAATTCTCTGCAACTATTCAATTATTTTTATGAATAATAAAATTCATCGCGGGATTTCAATTATTTTTAATACAATTTTGCAAGAATTGATCGAAAATAGTAATTATTCTTAAAAATTTAATTCCAATTCCTCGTAAAAATCAATTATTTAAAAAAAGGTTTTTTTCAATTCTTTGGAAGAATTCAATTATTAAAAAAAAATTAGAATTTTTCACAGAAATTCAATTATTTTCAAATATTTTAATAATATTGTTCGATTAATCAATTACTTTAAATACAAGTTAAATTGAATTTTTTAAAAATATTTCAATTATTCTTTTCGATTTTAATAAAGTTCTTTCCAAAAATCCAATTATTTACATAAACAATTCTTCGAAAGAATTCAATTACGTCGATAAATATCAAAACGATTCCTGAGAATTCACTTATTTTGAAGCATTTTAATAAAATTTTTTGCAAAATTCTATTATTTTCATAAATAACAATATTCATCACAAGAATTCAATTATTTTTAAAAACATTTCTTCTTGTAAATTCAATTATTTTTAAAAATTCTAATAAAATCGTTCGCAAGAATTCAATTATTTTCATAAATAATAAAATTTCAAAAAAGAAATCAATTCTTAAAAAAAATTCAATTATAACGATAAATAACAAAATTATTCCTGTAAATTCCATTATTTTGAGGCATTTTAATAAAATTCTTTGCAAAATTCAATTATTTTCATAAATAACAATATTCAGGACAAGAATTAAATTATTTTTAAAAAACATTTCTTTTTGGAAATTCAATTATTTTTAAGAATTCTAATAAAATCGTTCGCAAGAATTCAATTATTTTCATAAATAATAAAATGCTTTTTTAAAATTCAATTATTTTCAAAAGAATGTAATAAAATACCACACAGATATTCAATTGTTGGTAAATATTTTAATAGAATTCTTTGTAAAATTTAATTATTTTTAAAAACTTTTCTCAATTCAATGATTTTCAATATCTACTATTTTCATAAAATTTTCAAACAGAATTCAATTTTTTAAAAAAATTTTTGTAAAAATCTCCGTAAGAATTGAATTATTTTCATGTTTTATGAATAATAAAAATTTCTCAAGAATTGAATTATTTAAATTAGAATTTGCTTAAAATGAGTCGAAAGAAATGAATTATTTAGAAATTTTTATAAAATTCTTGGCAAGAATTAAATTATTTTTATAAATATTGAAATTCTTTATGGTGAATAATAAAATTCGTTGCAGGTATTCAATTTATTAGTAGGATAAGAAAAAAATTAATATTTTGATGAAAATTAGGAAAAAGTCCGGAAAATAAAAAATATAGAATTGAATTTTTGTCAGTTTCGTGAAGTGTCTAAAACGAGTTTTTTTTGGTCGTCAAGTTTAATTTTTCGATAGCTACTTTTTTACTACTTTTTTTGGTTTGAAAGCTTCTTTTTGCTACTTTTTTAAAATTAATTATCGAGTGCGAAATCTGTACTTTTTTCTTGTATCAAACTTTATTTAAATCCAATAGTAAATAAAATAATAATAATAATAATAATAATAATAATAATAATAATAATAATAATAATAATAATAATAATAATAATAATAGTAATTATAAAAATTACCTTAGTTAAATGCTTGAAAAAAAATTTTGAAACACTACAATCAACAAAATTAATGAACAATAATAAATTTTGAAAGTGAGATAATTGAATAGTATAATGAAATCGTCGTTCCTTACTATATAATAATAATAATAATAATAATTAATTAATTACATGTTATTTTGCCTTATTCGCCGACGACCTCTGGCACGTTCTATTCTCAACCTACGTCTTTGGATTTCATTCATCCGATACTCTTCAATAGACTTGCCATATCCAAGTTCTGAAACATCAAATGAAAATTAATTAAAAATACATTAATACAATTAAAGAAGAAAAATATACCAAAAAATATATTTGTTAAGGGCATCCGGGAAAAAATACTGGTTTCGTGATAGACGTCTCATTTAAAAAGAAAAGAATATTTTGAGTCGGGAATTTTTGGTAAATATAGAGAAATGCTCTGGGACCAGCGGTCCTCTCGGAATTTAAAAAAATTTTAATAAATAATTATTGAAAAAAATTGTTGAAATATACGGAAAAAGGGGGTTTTTCACGGCTCAGTATAGACGTCTCATTTTGAAAGGATAAAATATTTCGGGTTCATATTTGGAGGGGTGATAGAGGAAGACTCTCCGAGGAGCGGCCCTCTCCGTTTTTGCAATAATTTTGCGAGGAAATTATTTTATTAACGATTGAAAGTGGAGTATTTTGAGGTTAATACATTTCCCTCAGTTCAACTCGCGACCACTTCCGAGAATTGGCGCCACCTCCTTGACCACTGACACATAGATCCACTTGTCTGTGTGCTCGCCGCCATATTGTCTCTCACTTTCGCCAAAAATCCAACTTTTGTAATTTCGTTTTTCAATATTTATTTCAAAAATTACTTGCAAATTTCGAGAATATTCTTTATCATCATGAATTCCCCTAATTATCATGATAAATCCGAACTAAATATCTCTAATTATTTAGGAGTGAGACGACACGCGGTAAAACACTTTTTGGGCTCGATTTTTCCCGGATGCCCTTAATATATTTTACTTATTAATATTTATGAAAAAGTAATTTCAAAATACAATTATAAAAATTAATCAATTTCGAAAAACCGTTTCAGTAATTTGGTCATCGTTGGGAATATTAACTACGATTTCAATTTATTTTGATGAATATTCAAATTGACATACAAGAAAGTAACTCTGGGAATTTGAAAATTTGCGAAATAAGTTTGCGCAACAAGGACAAGATTTTAAGAAATTTCGCAATAATCTGGTATAAATCAATTCAGAATCGAATTAATAACAAGTTTTGCTCTGTAGTATTAACGCCGGTATATAAAAAAATATAAATTTATAATAGGCAAGAAAAAAGCGGACATTCCTTAAAAATTGAACACATAGTTTTGTGAAATCTTTTTTAAAGTAAATATTAAGTTGTAGATAAAATTAAAATTCATTTTTTTATATTTTTCAAATATACTAATTTAGCGGTAAAAGATTTTCTAGAAGATAAATTAATATATAATTGTAATTATTTTGGATCGTAAGGAAGTATAGAAAATAGGAAGTTTAAAGATATTTTCATTTTAAATTTGAAAATTGTTAGTTTGCAAATGAGGCGCTTACGAGGTATCATTTGAAATGCAAATTTCTCTTTATAATATAATATTTGCATTTTTTTTTCGCTTACATGACCGTGATCGAGTAACATTTGAAAGTACTTTCTTTCTAGTTGCAAGCATATCAAACGAGTAATAAGCCGACTTTGTAATGAATTTCCTTCTAGAGTTGTTTTGGTTTAGTTCCGTCCATTAAAAGTCAGGCCTTTCTCGTACGTGCAACAAATTTATTTACAATCAATTATACGCTTTTCAAAATTTCTCTCCTTTACTCAAATTCTTAAGAATTCACAGTTTTCTTGAAAGTATCAAATTAATACTAAAGTGGATCAAATTGATGCCAAAAATTGGGATTAATTTTTTAATTTGATTAGCATTTTTGGAATCATTTCGTTGCAATTTGATACTTTTAAGTTAATAGTGAAATAAATTTCACTCTTCTTAATAATAATGCAATAATTTTAACGTTTAAAGAAATTTATAAATTTATAAATTCTTGAATTTAAAAAATCAGATGTACAATAGGTCGACAACAGGGTTGCCACAAAAATTTAATTTTGTTTTTCCTTGATTTCCAGAGAAAATTTGGACTTTTTCCCTGACTCTTAAGAATATTCTGATTTACTCTAAAAATTATTAGATACTCAAAAAAAATGTTCTATTACATTTATTTACGAATTTCTTTAATTTTAAAATGAATCGAAAACATTAATAATTTCTATATTTGGAGGGATCGCTAAATTTCAACTCATCTAAATTTTTTATTGTTTATGGGTGGTCAATGTTTTTTCTGATAAATTTTAGTATTTAAAATTATAATATGCTTCAAAAAATTAAAAAAAATTAATTTGATAATAACTTTTTAAAAACAAATATCAAATTTTTCAAAAACCAAAAATTTGAACAATTCTCGTAATTTTTATTAATTTTCGCTGACGATTTCTCTACACTTATATAATGATTCTGAACAATCAATCGTATAGATATTCCAAAATTTTAATTTTTTTAAAAAATCAAATTTTTTGGAAAATAAAAAAAATTGGAAATCAGTTAAAAATTACTTTTGTTTGAAATTTTTTTCACTATTTTAAATAATAAATTTTTTATAGTGTAAGTAATTTTATTACTTTTCGTTACCGAATTTTTTATAGACTTTTATAATGATTCTGAACAATCAATCGTATATAGATTTTGAAAAAATGTAATTTTTTCAAAAAATAAAATTTCGAAACTCTGAGTGATATTCAGTTATATTCTTTTCTGGGATTTTTAACTAAAATTCTTCTTTAAATTTATTATTTTTTAAATAATTTTCGACGAAATCCTTTTAGGATTTTCAAATACACTCTTTTACAATTCAATTTTGGAAATTTTTCAATTAAATAATATTAGAAAATAAAAAACTTCAAATAATTTAAAAAAAAATTAAATCAAACTTTTTCAAAAAAATTAGTTCTATAGACTTGTTAGTTACTAAATTATTAATATCTAAAATTTTAACCAAAATCAATTTTTAGATCAATTTTTATTTAAAAATTCTACGAGAATTCAATGATTTAAATACAAAAATAAATATGTAATTTATTGAATAATCTAATGTTTCTTAAAACTAAATTATTCTTATAAAGAATTTTTCCGTTTTTGAAAAATTCGATAAAAATTTTATTAAAAATAATTGAATTCCTAAAAAGAATGTTATTATTTATGAAACTAATTAAATGTTTGTATAGAATTTTATTCAATTTTTTTAAAATAATAATTGAATTATTTTGAAAAATTTTATTAAATAGATATTAAAAATCATTGAATTGAGGGAAATTTTTGAAAATGATTGAAATTTTGCCAAGAATTTTATCAAAATCTTTAAAAATAATTGAATTTTGGAGAAGAATTTTATTAATTTTGAAAATCATTGAATTTATCTGCAATCATTTGCAACTTCTCAAAAATTCACTTTTTTTTAGTGTTTTTAACTAAGAAATTCTAAAGAAGAATTTGAATTTAATAAAATTTTTCAAAAATTCAAGTTCTTTAAAATTTCTTATTAAATTCAATCAAAATTGAAATTTTATAAAATTTCAAATTGAAATCTTTTAAAGTTCATCTATTTATGAATATTGTAAACTCCCTTTTTTTAAAATTCAATTAATTTTGAAATATATTTAAGTAAAATTATTCATGAAATATTTTACAAGTAATAATTTTATAATTAAAGTTATTTGAGAATTAAGTTATTTAATTTATTATTAGAAATAGGAAAAATTTATTTATCAAAAATAGAAAAAAGTATCTTGAAAATCCCTAAAAACACGTTTTTGGAATATTTGCACACATTTTTTTCCAAATCTTCCATTTTTATTTTTGTCTTATATGAATCTTGGTCTTTACACCTACTTTTCTCAAAATCCTGTTGTGCTAGACAATTTTACAAGCCAGAGTTATCAACAAAAAATCGTTAATTTAAAAAAATTTTTAAAGTTATGTTATTAAAAATTAGTAACATTACGCAACAAATTAGCTCCAAACGAAATGACTGGTTTAATTTTTAACTAAGATGTAACAAAAAAAAATGTTGAATTTGCAATGATTTTTATAAAAGATTAAGTAATAGTTGAAACCTGGTACTTCCATATTTGGAACTATTACCAATAAATAGCCAGAAGGGAGACTGAGATTGGAGGGAAACAACTCTTCATGAGGTAAATTCTAGTGTTAGATGTATATATATATATATATATATATATATATATATACTTTCTTTCATTTCATACGCATTTTATCAAGTTAAAACGAACAGAAAAGTTCGCTTTGCGAATTAGAAGCAACTTCAGATTGTATAAGAAACGTGTTTGTAATTAAATTTAAATGCAGATTACAATTATTCAATTATGCATCTACAAAAACTTATTACGGAGATAAATAAAGCAAACATGTTATCTTAATAACAACAAAATCCAGATAGACTTTATAAACATACGCACCATATTCTTAATTAGCAACTAGCATAGTTTAGATATTTATCAAGATATTTATTATCAAAATAATATTATTTCTCTTAAATCTAATTCAATTTTATCTTATTCTATTTTATTATTTTTTAATTTTTAAGATTTTACCCCCCCCCCCACTTTTTATTCTTCAAAATTTCCCTCCTATTCTATTTTATTTTAAAATAATTCAAGTAATCTTGATAATAAGACAAAGTAGGTTTATTTTCTATATATGCATGAAGGTTAAAGAGAATTACTGCAATTTCAAGATATTATCAGTTTTTGTATATGAACTTATTACCAGATGATTCTATTTGATTTCTACTAGTCGGACAATGTAAATCCGTTGGACTTAATTACTTTTCTTAATTAGCTTACCTACTATCTTGAGAAAGAGATAAACTTTGCTTATTTAGCAAAGAATTCCGTAACTTTAAAAACTCCTGAGCAAATAGTTTTAGACAAAATTTGTTCGATTGGATCCGTCTTTATGAATTTTGAAAATCTGACATCAGATTCGTAATCAGCGACCCCGAAAGCCCCTGAGAAATGAATTTCGTTCGAAACGCATCAATTTTAAAATTATCCGCCATTTTGAATTTTAAAATCTGACATCAGATTCGTAATTCAATAACTTTTAAGAATATTGTAAAACATAAAGATATTGAGAACTAA